AGGGCCAAATATGTACTTACTACAAGTGGAAGTCATATGGTTCAACAAGCCACACGGCTCTCCATCAGGTGTATGCACTGGGCAAAGAAAACCCCAAGATCTGTAAAAAAATAAAAATAAAAATAAAAACAAACAAACAAATATACATACATATTTAACGTGATTGAACCCAATTTTAATAATGAAGTCAACATGTCAGATCCTGAATAACCTCGCAAGAAAATACATACTCAGGTAGCAATTTCCGCACGCTTGTGGTGCGAAGTCCAGCAAATGAAGCTCCTCGATGGACGGCACGAAAATGAGATAAGTAACGCAAATAATTAAGCCTCTCTGCCTGAACCGTTAAGCCTGCCCTCTAGGAAACAACACAGAAAATAAATGAGTCTTCAAATTTTATAGAGATAGCGTGATATTATATGTGAAATAATATTTTTCCCCATCTCTTCTTTGTCTCCCTCTATCTTGCTCATCTCTTTGTTGCACTGATGTGATGCAAGAGAGTAAACATAAATGTTCAAGGAAGAGAGTAAACATAAATGTTCAAGGACCTTTTTAAGACTATGCTCTTCAAAATCTACTCCCTGGAAACTCCCTGGAAATACACCCATTTTCCTCCCATCCAGCTTCAAATTAACATAGCGATTGTTTGGAATAACAGATTACTTCAGGTCACAAGTTTAGGACATATTTACGTATTGTTGCCCTATATAAAGAACTGTATTTTACTCCATTGATGCAATATACAGACTTTCCCTCTTACTTTGTCTCAATTTTCTTCTAACAATGATGTTAGCCAAACAGAGGCATTTCAGACAAACAATTAAAATGAGCAATTGATGTTTAGTTACAAAGTTAAGCTGTATTAGAAAAAGTTTACTGCTCAAACTAACCAAGAAAGCATATCTGATAGCCACAGGCATCAGTTGTACAATACAAGTACTCAAAATTTGAGCATTCAAAGAGCAAAAATAAAAGGTTTCAACGCAGTATTTATCTTTGCAGTTACCTGCCACACTCAACACATAATATGAAATTGGACCCAAGCTTTTACTCTATAATAACCAACAGTCTATGATCGTATGTATAAAGCTTTTATTTTCTTTTGTAGTCAATTTATAAATGGAAGTTTTTTATAACGAACTCTAATTAGATGGGTCAAAATCATATAATCTTGATGATATTTACCATCAGGAATAAACAACGAATGGTGGTCATCGCTCCATGAAGACCATCCTCAACATAAAAGCCTCATGTCTTATAATCAAATCAATTGCCAACCTAGGAAGCTGCACCCCAGCACAGGGGTAGTGGAAAGCCCCCAGTTTAACAAGTGCCATACGTCAAAGTCAAAGCATGGCCTCAATATCATACAAATTTAACCTGGCTATCAATCAGTTGGGTGGTTGTTTGTAATACAGAAGAACGCAATTGTTTATCAAAACCATTATTCAAACAATGCTGTTTGCTTGGATAAGGAAAATCCAAACAAATATTAGCATTCCAAGTCTTAAATTTTCTGATCATTAGTCGTACAACCACCAACATGATTAAAAATTGGTACATTTCAAGTATTAAATATACCCTACTAATTTGAAGTTTGATGATAACACAACTCATCATTAAAAAATAATTCAGAACATCCTATGAACCATGAGCTTGTATAATCAACATATTACTTAGCTGGTTTAAAGAAGAATTAATTCATTATGTCAAAAAGATCCTGATAGGAGAAAAGCGGAAGGGAATGAATTTAGTACAAATGTATGACAAGGAAAAGTTAAAGCATATAACCAAAAAGCCCATACCTGCTGCAAATCTAGACCTGATTGTGTAACAAGCCTTCCGGTTTTCAACATATTTTCAACAGCTAAACTGATGTGCTTTGAAGGATTTTTATCCAAAACCTTCTTTACATTTACTACTGCATTAACAGGATGCAAGTGTTAATTCATGTGAGAAAAAGAAGGCACATATCTTGATTTATAGAAGATATCTAAAAAAGCATATTAGAGAACGTGCAAGTTGTGTAACACACAGCTGAAAAGAGAGAGGAACAGGAATAATTCAAGAATAATTTTAAACATAATTTTCAATATAAGAAAGAAAACACATACAGCTGCAAAAATCAAAAGTCTTGCTTTTGTTGTTGATCTGATCTTGAAGAAGTTTTTTGGCCCTTTGCAACCAATCTTCTAGTTTTTCCTAGAAACATGATAAACGGTAAGTGAATAAAACCTGAACTCAAAGACAAATAAACTGTAATCTATTAATAATCAGATCTTAGTATTAGAAAGATGGACACATCACTAAATCCAATCAAAATCATTAAACGAAAGATAATTTGCTCCCAAATAAATATTGTTCGCAATAATGGGGCCAAAAAACCTATGTTCTAGCTGTAAGAAAAAACAAAAGTGAGAAGACAGGAATGGCTTTACAACATCAGACAGCTATGGCGGCATTTGTTCGTAGAAATGTAATATTCACGGGTATTGTACCATGTAGTCCTACCTTCCATTCAGTATGGAAGAATATGGTAAGAGTAATATATTGTCAGCTACATGAACCCCAAAAAGGAGTGGCATCCAAACAAAAGCAAGAAACCCCGTCCCACAATAACTCAAAAAACTACTTACAGATAAATAACTGGTCAAGAACTTAAGGATATCAAATGGATGAATCATTGGATTTGATCATGCCTCAATTGCAATATTTTTAACTCCCAACTAAAAATCATTCGGCAGGAGATGGATTAGCCTTAACCAGGAAAACAATTTTATTTTAGTATTAACCACTAAATTGCTACATATTAAATAAACATATCAAAATATGCTATTTAGAAACATACTACTTTACTAAACACATACATATTCCCGCACCCTAGACATGCTTAAAAACATAATTCATTACACAATAATGCTCTGCACACTTACACTAGCAGAAAACCTAGACATCCTGGTGCGCACACCAGGCATCCAAACAGTTTTGCTTTCACCAGGGATTGGCACTATACAAACTACCACAAAAGCTTCCACACACAAAAAGTAATGTCTGAAAAATGACAATTTAATTTTCTACCTTGAGATATATGGTAATCAAGTGACCAGGGAGTAAGACTTCATGATTTTGCAAGGCATCTGGATTGTCTGGCAAGGATGTCTGATCCATAAGAGAAAAAAGCTTCTGCACCATAAATCTAGAGATACAAAACGTGAGAAGTGAAGCACAAAACCAGCGGAGAAGAAATACATTTTTCGTGATCAAAACTGTACATGTATCTATATATATATATATATATATAGAGAGAGAGAGAGAGAGAGAGAGAGAGAGAGAGAGAGAAACCAACATGAGCAGATTGAATTTGTCAAACCCTTTATCAAGGTGAACAAATATGTAGTCCTCTAGAACAGCTTCTCCAACCTACATATTGAACAGTTAGCAGAAATAAGCAGCCAAACAAACCACGCTACCAGTAAAGTAGTTTTCTTTTCCCCAATTCCTTTGGACAAAAGGAGAGGCAAAGTTCGCAGAACAGGACTTACCACAGAAAGATCACTTTCATCCTCCAGTCCACGCATAAGAGGTCGGAAGTGCCCTCCTGATTATGATAAAAGGGATCAATACAAATCACTAATATTATAAATCAAATCTGAAAGGCCATGATAAGACAATAGTAAGTACCAATGTGCTCTAGACATTGACGGCGAGTGATAAAGTCTCTCACTTCATCTAGAATAATGTGTGCCCGCTCACCCACAAGCTGAGTGCCAACATTACCCTTTCCTTTCTCATATTTCTTGACATCGCAACTCTCATCTTTCTCGACATAGCAACATGTCAAATTTTTATAAATTTCGTGATCAGTAGTGTCAATAAGAGCCTGTTAAGGACAATCAGGCGAGTTAGCAAAGAATATATATTATACCACAACACTCCAAATATGTGATCACAGATGATGCATTAATAAATGTGTCAAGGAATTAAATATCCCTAATATGTAGTATAAAATGATCACAATTAAAAAGTTGTCTTTGTGATCATGAAGCCATAAACAAGACCGGCAAATTTGTAATTCATCAACAAGAATTAATAATAAAATACATGAACAAAATATAAAAGATTCACCTCTATCCATACAAAATATAAATCTTCTTGCAAATATAATCTCATTACATTTGTTTTTATCTCAGTCTCATACATTTGAAACCACCGCAATTAAAGTATAGAGAGAGAGAGAGAGAGAGAGAGAGAGAGAGAAAGAGAGATCAAAACAAAAGTTAAAACACATAGATATTTTATTTTCTCCCAACTGGTGTGTTATGTGCAGGTGTGCTACTGAGAGTATGGATCATTAATTTCTTTTATACCCAGTAGCCTCACGTTTATGGGGTCCGCTGTTTAGGGAGGCAGGTTTATTGTGGGGGAACTATGTTTCATGTAGTGCATTGCTTGGAGAGATGTTTAAATTTTTTTGGAGGAAAGAAACAGGGAGAAGTTCTGGGAAGATGTGCTACATTGGCCTTTTTTTTTTGGGGTAGTGTAAGGTGGAAAGGAATAGGAGAGTTTTTGATAATGTTAAGGATGATGAGATAGATCAGTTATGGGATCAGATTCGGTTTTGGGCATCCTTGTGGGCATATACTTTATCAGAATTTAGGGAGTTTACCCTTTATTTTATCTATTAGGATTGGAAAGCAGTATTGTAGGGACATTTGTTTCAGGTGCAATGTGGGAGTGAGGTGTCTTAGTTTTAAGATTCTGGCTGTTGCATTTTTGGTGAATTTCTTGTTCACCATTTGTACATATTGGTTTTTTAATATAATTGTTGTTTCTTATAAAATAAAATAAAACCATAACTAAGAGTCTTCAGTCTCAGGCATGACAATAGATAGTAATGCAAAAGATATAGCAAACATAATGATGATATCCTATACAACTAGTAAAAAATTACAAGATATGCACGTGATTGAGAAGGACTTCACCAAAAGTAAAAAATAAAGTATATTTGTAACAGTATCATCAAAAGCACCTTTAAGACAAGACCCACAGGAAGCAAGTATTCCCTCCCTTGTATCCTGCAAAGTTCAAATTATATAATATATACACTTAGTTGCAGCTCAATATAGCAAAACCAAAATTCTTCTCTAACCCGCTTACCAAAATCCAAGTCTTGCGCTATCATTACGAAGGTAGTACAATTTGACTGTTACTGAAGATTGATCTTCTCTTGCACACCTGGAATGACAGTAAAAGTAGAATCAAATTAATAAACTGCACAACTTTTCCAAAAGGAAGCTGCAACTGCAAACCATTGTTCCTTAAACAAACAGGAGACGGCAGTTCAAATCCATATATTCAATTTGAGTCTGCATCCATCATTCCACTTGTCAAATTGAATATGAATTTGATATATCCAATCTAATTATAAACCAATCAGAGTTTAATATAAATTTTTCATCATGCAATATATATTAATTATGCTTGCATTCATAGACAACATAATCTGCTACCCCATTTCATAAAATACAAAAAGGAAAATAAAACAATGGGGGCACGGTGTTTCCTAAACTATACGCAACTAAAACAGCAAAGCAAAAACCAAAGAGAACAAACCCAAAACAAAAACAAAAATTCATGACCAGACGAATCCTTAAACTCATAGGAAACTGAAGTCCATAAAGATGTTCAGAAATGAAATTTGTCCACAAATGATCCACATCCTCCCCCTAACACCCTAAAAAAAATAAAATTCCTATCTCTCCTTCCAAACAACCCAAATATTGCCAACACATCACATCTTCCAAGCACCATGTAATTGTCCTCCCTCCAAAAAACTTAGGTTTCTCACAAAGTAATGGATTACAAGGTTCTGGGACTGCCAACTCAATCTGAACTCCCTAAATAGCCTTATCCACAAAGAATGCCCCCACTGAGAATGGAGCATTAAATGACTCAAAGATTTAGCATCTCCTTTGCGCATTACACACGGGAGAAAGGCTCCAATATGGTTTCCTCCTCTGTTATAATACCTTGGTAAGAGTTAAGTACAGTTAAGCTAACTTTTAATAAATGATTTTAGCATTTTGATACAACATTGGTAAGACTTAAGGGGGTTTTCTTTTCACGTTTGGTACCAAAACCTTAACCCATGTCTCATTCCATAACCTGAACTTTAATTTGTCCCAACTAATCCCTAACCTAATTTTTGTGTACGTACCAACTTAAATGTTTCTGAATATTATCTCATGGGCAATTTTGGCACTTACATAGTGTATGTCATCTATGTCCTCAATGATAATGAGGAGAAAGACACAATTTCCATCAGATCTGTTACGTGTTTTTAAAGTTTGATTCAGAACTTATTAGACAAAAAAGAAATAAAAATTGAAGGACCCAATTGAGACAAGTTATAGTTTAGGTCATAATTCAGGTACAAATAAATATACAGTAAATTTAGTTTTCCAGTATTCTACTAAATGACTATTATCGTATTAATTTTGCAATTGTTCTTCATTAAGTTAAATATTTTATGTCCTCATTAAGTGCAATGATTAAAAATCCAGTGGATGCTTGGATTGGGTCTCATTTCATAGAACTCACTAATTTCCATTCCAACTTCTATCTCTATTTTTCTGTTGTTTATTTCTGGAAATCTATTTTCCATGGTGATCTGGCACTTTTACAGCCGCTGGACAGCAGGATCACCCTGTCCCAAAGCCCTAGGGGCCCCAACCAAAATTACAGCTAGGCCTCCTATTGATAATAACAGAGAAACTAACAGAAGCCAAGCAACCACTCAGCCACTTCCTCCACCAATTACCAAAACCCTTTCATCTCCAGCACATGATCAAGGAAGGCCCAATCCACACGGTCACAAGATTTCTCAAAAATCATCTAAAAAGCAACTCCTTCCTTCTTTCTAACTTGAAAGTCTTACACAACTTCATTGACAACTGCGCCAAAGTAGAAAAGAAATCTCTAACCAAAGCTCCTTGGGATTTGGAAATAGTCTCCTCCAAGCACTCCCTCAATCTCCTAGATAGCACTTTACAATAATCTTGTACAAGCTAGTGATCAACTTACAGGGCAGCAGTCCTTACCTTCAAATGGTGGGTCTTCTCAGAAATCAAGCAGATAGAGGTTTGGTTAGTACAAGGCATTGACAACCCGGTTGTGAAAGGACTACTGAAAAACCTTCACCAAATCAGCCTTAACAACCTCCCAATCCTAAGAACCTTCAACAAACCATCCATAACAGGGGACTTATCACAGTCAAAAAGATGAATTGTCCATTGTGCTTGAATCCGGCATTCACAAGAAATTTAAATGATTAAGAGGTGGAGAAGTTGGCTTCATCATTTCACTTGATGGAAAGGGTTCATTTGACAACCCCCAGACCAGATTCAAGGGCTTGGAGAGTTGGATCTACACTTCTCTTGTAAATTTTTTTATAGATATCTTTGTGGAGATGACGATGGTCTCAATTTTTATCCAACGGGTTTGATATGGAAGGCAAAATTTCCCCCAAATGCCACAGTTTTGGCATGCCTGGCCGCACATATACATTAGAAGAGAAGACCAATTGTGTGCTGTCTCCAACTCCAAGCTGGTGTGCTACATGTAGCAGAATGGGGGAGAGTCAATCATGTCTTTCATCATTGTTCTGTGCAACAATAGGATGCTTCCCATCCTAAGGATTCTCCAGATGAAGAGCAACAGAAGAATTTTCAATTGTTCTGTCCGTCACTTTGAACCTCCGTCAACAGTCTCGGAGACTATAATATAACCCTAGCAGTCTAACCCCGAGGGTGGACCCCAACCAAAAGGTGATAGACCGATAGTGTGATTTTCTAGCTATCTCTTTGGGCCTCTATTTCTAATGTTTTTCCAAGGGCGTTACCTTTGCTGCCACTTTGTTAGACTGGATGGCAGATACCAGTTAAACCACTTTCTTTCCTATTTAGTTTTGAATTTGATGCAGATCTGTTTCCGTTCTGTTTTGTTTTAATGAACTTGTCCATGGATTGTATAGTTTAAATCTGTGATTAACAAAAGTTTCTTTTTCTTATAAAAAGAAGAAAAAAACATATGACATTTCATAAACTAGGACTAACATTATTATTACTAATACCAGTAAATGAATTATAACAGAATGCCTCAAAACAACTTTATTATAAACGCACATATGTGTGGAATTTAGAGAGAGAACCAACCTTATTACAACTGCCTTATCAGTATATCCTTCCTTTCGATCACGAAATGAATTTCGCACCATACTCGTTGGCTGGAAGACAAAAAGACAATCGCATGAAGCAAGTTAATATCCTCCCCCAGAACTATCTTTGAATATCCATAAAAAATCATAACGTTAAAAAAACTCTCAGTAAGGTACTTGCCAATTCCCATCATAATATTTTTCTATTTCTCTCAAGAGGTAATTGTGGGATACACAAAGGGGAGCAGCCTTCCCCCTCCAACCCCAAACCCCACCCACCCAAAAAAAATCTAGGTTGAACCCAAGACCTCTCCCCCTTTAATCAGGGAAGAGATACCACTTTGGCTACAAGGCTCATTATCTGTCACAAAACTTGCTGCATTACATCAGATGAAAAGGCTCACTTACATAATTCCGCTTTGGCAATATGACAAGCCGAACAACTCTCTCGAGCCCATTTAACACGAAGTAACTATAGCACGACAAAAATAAACCGTTATAAAAAAAGCAGAAAATGAACAGAAATCAAAATAAAAACAGACAGTGCAGCTAGTAAAGACATCTCACATGATGACATGATATGAAAAAGAGAAATCAAAATACTCACCCACCCATTTCTGATGACTCTTCTTTGCAAGAAACTAGCTTTTCAGGATTAGCACCTCTTAAGTGGCAAAGCTTTGACTGCACTTTACAAACCATCCATCAAGAACAAGACTAAAACAGAAGACTCCACAAAACATTTTGGTTAACATTTATTGCAGGGTTCACCAAATATCCAATTTTGGCCATCTTGCTCTTTTGAATCCCCTAATATCACTAGCCCTGCCCTTAAAACTATAAAAAATTTCTATAAGTACCAATTAGAGGAGATTTAACCCCCAAAGGCACCCTCAATGCTTATTCTTAAACGGGAAGAGAAGCCAGCAGACCAGAAGGCGATTCGAATCAGATGCACCATATGAACACTTAGCATGTCTCGACAACCAAGTGGACTAAAATCACAAAGTGATGCATAACTTCATACCAATTTTTAGGTGAAATGACAAGAAACATCTTATGATATATATATGATAAGAAACAGATTAGTAATCTCCAAGATTTTGGCATGGACTTCAGACAAAAATATATACGAGATTTATATAGATAGAAGGGCATACATTTTCGAATATGCTCAAAGAAATATGTAACTGATGTACAATTATTGAAGGAGGTGTACAAGTAGTGAAGTGGGCATGACACCATATGAATATTAGCGTGCAAGACATAAATTGCTTAAATGTTTCACATCTACATTTAATTTGTCAGATTTGAATCTAGCACCTTGCTTAACTGCATGATCAAATATTCTGAAAACCACTCAGGAATATGAATACATACATCATTAACTAATCATGCAAACAAAACAAAATAAAAGACTTGATAAAGTTAAGGATCAAAATACGAGAATACCGACCATTAGCATGATGGGAAGCTGCCCAAAATTGAAATTCTCTCTTATTGCGGGTCCATCATTATACTTAAAGTAAACATCTGCCATGAATTTCCCTGTGTAGGAAAGTTTAGCCTGTCTACACTGTTCAAACAACCACAACCCATTAATGCCTATAATGTACAGAATCATACATTCATACACATATACCTATATGAGTGTTTGACACTTACTTCGAAAGGAAGCAGCTTTCCACGGGCAGTTTTTGATTCTTCCTTTTGAGGTGGGAATAAAAAAGGTTTGCCAAACCAAAGTAAGATATGAGTCAAGAATAAACGCCATTCCTTTCATTCTAACAATGCAATGATTAGCTTTGAACAAAATCACATGTAATTTCCATGAATTCAATCCAACGAAAGATTAAAAGCTACTAGCCTGCAAACAAAACAAATGGAAAATAGAAGGTAAATAATAAATTTTAAAAAAGAAAAAAATAAAGGATATTTGCAAGGCTTGTTCCGGTGGAAGAGTCGACGACTTCGATGGGCTTGATTTTATTGAGCATAGTCTCAAGACCAGCAGTGACAAAGTGATCGAATGACTCTATGTGGTGCCTGAAGAGCTCACGCACCGCCGCGTAGTCCTCCGACTCAGCCGATGGCTTCCCAAACATCTTCTTCATCTTCTCTTCTCTCTTCGACGTCATTCTGATTCTGTTGTGTGCTGTTCGTTAGCTCTGTTCAGTGAACAAATGAAGAAAGAAGCTGGATTTTATTTTTCTTCTTTTCTTGTTTTGTGTTTTTTGTTAAAGTCCTATGTTCGTCGAACGTGTAAAATTGCAGTCGCAGAGGTTTTGTTAGCGTTTTTAGGGTTTTATTAGGGTTTATAGTTTTTGGGTTGCTGTGTCGGTTTGTCATGGTCTGGTCGAGTTGGGCTTTTCTGTTAGCCCAACGTTCTGCGGCTGGGCTATAATGAGGGGATCTTGTGCTGGGGTTGAGGTAAGGGTTAAATAGATTTATATTTTTTTTGTTGGGAGGTTTAAATACACAATTGGTCGGTGAGTTTAAGACCACACTGTATTTCCTAAAATTCACTATTTATATACATCTCATTATCAATAAGAGTAGTTAGAGGATTATTCATTGCTGGCTATTATACGAAATTCTATTGTCCCTTTTAGATTTTTTACTTTTCAAAAGTTATTACTCGTATAAAGAATTTAACATTTTTTCGTTTAATATTTTGTATTATACACGCACGTACAAATTTTTCATTAATACTTCCTTTTTTCATACATGTCTTAAAGAACTTGTAAAATACATATTTTTTAAAAAGCAAATATACAATACATGTACGTACTTATTTTTCATCTTTAATATAAGTGTCATTTATAAAATATTCAATAATACACACATAATTCATGTATTATACACATAATTTTTCACATATTATTGCATAAAAATAATATATATTCAATTATTTAAATAAATCCTATTAAAATATTATATAGTGGCCGAACTTTTCAGTTCCAGAGAGTTAAGTGAGAAAATTTCGGTTTTAGAGTGTAAAGTGATAAATTAAGACTCTATATAGCCGCGTGGATACTCTTTTAAAAAAATTTAAAATAAAAAATAAAAATCGGCTTTTAAAAAAAAATTAATAAAAAGTACAGCTGCATGGCTATTAATAAATAGTATAGCCACACGGCTAAACTGCAGGTATTTTTCCATAAACTCCCCTTAATTTTCTTTCTTCCTTGGATGATCCACGGCTAATTAATTTCCACTATTTACTTCTTTTTATAATGTCAATTAGCAACTATCAATAGCGGATTTCTATCTATTTTGGGTGAAGGGTGAATTATTTTTGAAAACTAGGTAAAAGCTACTCCATTTTCGGTTTGAATAGGTGACCGTTTTGTATGGGAAAGAGGCAGCCAAGAACCTATAGCTTCCATGTATTTCCCGCCAATATCGCTTCAGCCTCTCTCTCTCTCTCTCTCTCTCTCCATCTTGGTGGTGCTGGCCAACTCCCTTCTGTTTCTCCCCCAAAAACAAAGTAAAAAAGAAATAATTCCCTTCCTCAGGTGCGATTGAACTTGACTCTTCATGTCCTGATATCATGTCAGTTCTGTTAAATTTTTCATCCAAGAATAATCATTATAATGAAATAAATTTTCTGCGTTTTTCTTTTTTCTGGTAGTGAAAATTTTGATATCTTGTAGATGTTATTATGTATGTATGAATTGCTTGATGAATTTCTCATCTTTCAATGGCTTATCTTTCTCTGAATGTTCTAATGGCCTCCTGTTTCTGAGCATTTGAGGAGACAGATATCATAAGTGGTGATGACAGTTAGTATGCCTGCTTGTGTCGATATAGAAGAAAGATTCACAGAACAGGAACTTAGTGTCTATAACACAGATTGGAAGTTTAGGGTAAGGACATGTTTTGCTTGAGTTAAAGTATAGGGTTCTGGTACAGTTTATCTGTTTTAGACTTGAATTATCATGAAACATTAGCACAACTATTAATTAAATGAGACTCTCATAGAGCATGGCTACGTCTGTTAGTACTAATATATGAGGAATGGATGTTGTGCTTTACACAAGATTTTATTCATTTGCTTTAAACACATAACATGGGCAAAATGGATCATTTTCCTTTATTCATTTGACTCATCTGTCATTTCTTAGAGGGGTGGCGGTGTCTTGCTGACATTCTCCCAATTTTATGTTTATTAGTCACAAAGTTGCTCGCTGAAGTATTGAGTATACTAACCAACTAGATGAGGACTTTGAAAATTGTTTTTTAATTATTAAAAGAAGAAAAAAAAACTATGATTCTTATTTATAGCCCAATAATAAAGCAAAAAGTATATTTATTGCATCTACGGTATTTCAGTTTGTTTTCTCATTTTCTGGAAAGATTTGTGATGTCCTGCTTGCTTCTGGTCATTGATGGAAATCAGTTAGGTAACATCTGTTGCACATGTGCTTGTCTGTAATGCAAATGTTCATTTGTAGTTTTATAACTGTTCTTATGTGTATGCAATATGTATGTGCTGAGGAAATGGTTTTGTCTGATCTAATTTGGTTCTTATTTCTGATATTGATCAGGGAGCTTTATTAAATCAGTTGAGCAAACTTGTTGCCTCCAAGAAATTATATTAAATGGACACGGAGAGAAGGAAATCATGCTTCCACTTGCCTAACTGCTTGATTATGATGAAGATGGTAGTTTATTCTCAGATATGAGTTTTACTGAGGTTCATGGGCTTTCCGGTCCAGATGTGTCCTACTTAAGTGACTAGGGGGAAGAGTTCTCCTTTATAAGTGGTTATTCTTACGATTTGATTGGTGATGATATTATGGGCCTATAGTTAGCAATTGTGAGATGAATTAATAATTGCTATATAGGAAAATACAAAATCATTTCGTTTTTTCGAGTTCACCTGTCAAAATGGGTAATGACAGTAGTGATTGCCAAGAGAGTGATGAGGCTGGGAGTTCTAAAGAACATGTTATCTTGCATGGTGAACTGGATTTGTGGATTATAGAAGCTAAATCTCTTCCAAATATGGATTTAACTTCAGAAAGAATGAGACGGTGTTTTACCATGTTTGGAACTTGCTCTGCTCCCTTTGGGAATAGACCTGCTAAAACAGCTTCAGGCAGACATTCAACGATTACAAGTGATCCTTATGTGTCTGTTTGCCTAGCAGGGGCTACTGTAGCTCAAACCAGAGTAATTTCAAACTGTGAGAATCCTTCGTGGGAAGAACATTTTTGTGTTCCTGTTGCTCACCCTGTTGCGAAGGTGGAGTTTCATGTGAAAGATAATGATGTTCTCGGGGCTGAACTTATTGGCGTAGTGGAGATATCTATTGATAAAATCATTTCAGGAAAGCCAATGAATGATTGGTTTCCAGTCATTGGCAATCACGGGAACTGTTTAAAACCTTTTCCTGAATTGCATGTTTCTCTTCAGTTTAAGCCAGTTGGAGGTAACCCTTTATATAAAAATGGTGTTGGTGCTGGGCCGGAATATAACGGAGTTCCTAATACATATTTTCCTCTTCGCAAAGGAGGGAGTGTCACTTTATATCAAGATGCTCATGTACCTAACGATATGCTACCAGACATTGTACTAGATGGTGGAAAAAAATTTCAGCAAAGAAAGTGCTGGGAAGAAATATGCCATGCCATTTTGGAAGCTCAGCACCTTATATATATTATAGGCTGGTCTGTGTACCACCGTGTTAAGCTTGTAAGGGAGCCAACAAAGCCACTACCTTCTGGAGGAGAGTTGACGCTTGGGGAGTTGTTGAAATACAAGTCACAAGAAGGGATTCGCGTTGTTATGTTGATTTGGGATGATAAAACTTCACATGACAAATTTCTTTTAAAAACAGTAATTCCCTGACACGGTGACACCTGAAACTTGGCAAATATTACTTGTTGAAAATTTACTATTATTCCTCTTTTAAAATGCAAAAGAGTTTGCGGTTTCCACAATACCAAGGACTTGGATTTTAAATTGTCACAGTAATGGATACAACAAAAGTTTTCATAAGCTCCTTTATGTCACTCCCTACTTTTTGTGCAAAGAAGGGTGTTTTAAAAGTTTGAAAGAAAAATATGGTCATATATATCTAATTACCACAGCAGCTTTGGCATTTGCTTTCTCATTTTATAAATAGGACACATAAGATAGGCTGCTAAAGTTCTTTTGAAGGTTATTACCATTTTTCTTTGAAATATAATGATGCAACTTGGTCATTATTTTCACGTGGATTCCTAATGGCTTACATAATCATTCTTGTTGTCAGACAATTTAGCAGAATGCTGCATGCATGACTAATGTTAATTCTAGAATCCATTTTATTGATGATGATAGCTTGAATGCAGGAAGGTGTCATGCAGACCCATGATGAGGAAACCAAAAAGTTTTTCAGACATTCCAGTGTCCATTGTGTGCTTTCTCCTCGTTATGCAAGCAATAAGCTCAGTATTTTCAAGCAACAGGTCTGGAACATCTCTATTTTAGATCTACACTCATCTCTATTTTACCACCCTTTATTATTGCAGTTGCTCATTTAAATGGATTCCTCTAGTGCAGGTTGTGGGAACCCTTTTTACACACCATCAGAAGTGTGTGCTTCTTGACACAGCTTCTGGGAATAATCGGAAACTAACTGCTTTCATTGGTGGTCTGGATTTGTGTGACGGAAGATATGACACTCCCGAGCACAGGCTCTTTAAGGATCTTAACACGGTGTTTGAAAATGATATTCATAATCCTACATTTCCTGTAAGTGGTTATAGTACCTGTATACAACTCTGTGCATTCTTGATCTTAATGCATGGTAAGATTTGTACTGATGCAGTTCTCTTTATTCTTCTCTCCTTTTTCAGTTTATCACAATAAATGAGCAATGTTTATTGTTTGCCATTTCTTGTTTCCCTAAATTACTTTTGATTATTTTCCACACAAAAAAGTACTTTGGTATAATATTGTTTGGACATACACTTGGTGAACTATAAATTGTTAATTTTTTTTAACTGAAATTTTATTGTACTAATTTCAAAATTCAATGCATGTCTGACAACCATTTATTTCAACTTGTTTTTCTCATAACCTTGAACCTAGCGATAGACCACAATTAAACTCTGTTGAAGCTTTTATCCAAATAAAGTTGGTCTGAAAGAGACGAAACATATAGAAAATGGAATGGATCCCTGATGATGAAAATTAGATTGGTAGCACTTGCCAAGATTCAATCTCAATAATGATAATACTATTTATACTAATTGACTGTGTAAACTCTATTTGATTTGCACCAAAAGTTATGTATTGAAATCAGAAGTTTGAAAGAAGAGAAGGAGCATAAGAATGGAAAAACACAAAAAAAGAAAGACATAGACTATCCGATAAAAATACTTGAACTCTCATGAATATTTTTGTACCATAATTGCACCTGAAGTGATTGCCGGTGTACTCTTACGGCAGTTACAATGATGACATTAGCCGTATTGTATGATGGCATCTATGTGTTTGTTTTCAATAATGTTTCAAAGTGAAATGTCCAATAGAATATGACTTCATTTTAAAAATATATATAGATTATGATTTTCATGATTTATAGTGCCTGGTATGATGTTTGACAATATCACCTTACCGTACTTCAAATTGTGTGTGAATTTTTGTCTATGCATGGCTTGACAGCAACCGTGCTAGATGGCTGCCCGTCCACATTGCCATGAATTAGTAATGTGGCCTGTCCATTTAAGGCTTGGGTTCTACCATCAGATTATTCTTCATATAACTTTTTCTCTTCTGTTTTTGTTTGTATCTTTGTGCTACTACTGATGATGGGTTCAGTTTGTATCTCTTTAGTTGTCTATCTCATAAGTGGTCTTCCTTTTGTTGAATCCTCCTTTTGCTGAACAAAATGATAAATATAAGTAGAACTTCGCAATTTCAAATATAATGTTTTGACAGTTCTATTTTTTGTAACATGTACAGCCTAACACTTATGGCCCAAGGGAACCATGGCATGATTTACACTGTAAAATTGAGGGTCCTGCTGCATATGATATATTGACAAATTTTGAACAAAGATGGAGGAAAGCCAAAAAGCGCGACTTCAAGATAAAAAAGGTCACTAATAGGCATGATGACGCCTTGATAAGGCTAGACCGGGTTTCATGGATAGTCTCTCCATCATCTGGTCGTGATGGGGATCAAAACGTACGTGTTAGCAGTGAAGAAGACCGTGAGAACTGGCATGTTCAGGTAGGGAAGGAAAAGTTTCAATGGTTACAGCTTAATCGTACAACTCATTTCAATGAAAACTTTACACAGATTGGTCAGTTTTGACTCTTGTTTGATAGGTATTCAGGTCCATTGATTCAGGATCGGTGAAGGGATTTCCAAAGGGTGTTCAGGATGCTGAAGCTCAGGTTAGCAGAACTAGCTTTATTCGTATGTATTCCTCATAGAGTTTTCTATTTATTATTCTTTTTACTCGAGATTATGGAGTTAACTGCCAACTTGATTAGTTACTCCTACCAGGCTTTTTGTTCATTAATCATAAACAGACAGGTCAACTTTTAGAGCATGCTATCTGCGTTTTGAGCTTTCATCAAATTGTGCAAAACCAAAAAAAAAAAAAAAAAAAAAAAACTCTTTTAATCTGGGTTTCTCTTCTTGCAGAATCTTATTTGTGGAAAGAATTTGAAAATAGATAAGAGCATCCATGTTGCATATATTAAAGCAATAAGATCAGCGCAGCGCTTTATATACATAGAGAACCAGTATTTTGTTGGATCTTCGTACTGCTGGCCATCCTACAAAAATGCTGGTAAATTACAGCTTAGTTGCTGATGCTGTTATGATTACACTTTCAACTACTAATATCTGGTTGCTTCAGTACGTCATCCTTTTTAATACACCGACATTCATGTTGTTTACATTGTTCATATTTTTCCCTCTCATTTTTCATTATATAGATTGTTACATTACCGTCAAAGTATATGTGTCAACACTCTGATTTTCTACGTAGAGAGAACTTTCTCCTGGCTCATATAGATACATTGTGATTTTCTACCTAGTTCAATTTGCATATTAGAGTAATAAGTTTGGCCAAAAACTTGACTTTGAATGTTCTTAAACTCTCTTGCTAATATCTGAAGATGCAAATTGAAATACCTTCTGATGTTGCAGATGCTAAATCCAAATATTCTTAGCATCTTTTATTTGAAATTAATGTCCTTTGAATGTACAGTTTTTCGTTCTTTAAATATTTTGCAATATCGCCACCACATTTTTTGGACATGTGTTTGAGATCTTGGTGTTATAACAGGCGCAGATAACTTAGTCCCAATGGAACTGGCCCTAAAAATTGCCAGCAAAATCAAAGCAAATGAGCGTTTCTCTGTGTATATAGTAATACCTATGTGGCCAGAGGGCGTGCCAACAGCCTCGGCTGTTCAGGAAATTTTATACTGGCAGGTTAGACCATTCTATCGTTTGTGACACTGCAAAAAACTCCTTAATCTCTTTACCTTTAAAATGTATAAAATAAAAAAAAGTTGTCAACCATTCTTTCTTACTTTGTATAGAAAGGTTCATACTTTAAATGTACAGAAAGGTTCATACTTTAAAATGTATAGAAGGGTTCCTATTTTGTATGCCTTGAATGATATCGTCACATTCAAGGTCAATTAATTGGCTTATTTGAATGCTGAAAAACCGCCTAATTTTTGTTAGCTTGATATGTATTGCTGGCCTATTCCCTAACAACTTAAATTTTTGAGGTATAGTGGTTGTCTAAATCTATTTTACCACAGGCACAGACAATGGGTATGATGTACCAGGTCATTTCAAAGGCCCTTGAAGATGCAGGCCTTTTTGATCAGTATCATCCACAGGATTTTTTGAACTTTTACTGCCTTGGTCAGCGTGAAGCCCCATCTTCAAGTTCATCCCAAACTAATCAGCCAACCGATAATCGTGGACTGGTATACTTATTTCTCCATTCTGGTAAACCAGTAGTTAATATTTTATTGCACACCAAATGCATTATGCATAGACAGGTTCTGAATTCTGATGGCTTTAAGATCAAACGAAAAGCCACTAATTTGTTTCTCTCTCTCTCTCTCTCTCTCTCTCTCTCTCTCTCTCGTTAACAGGCATTAGCCCAAAAGTTTCGCCGGTTTATGATTTATGTTCATGCCAAAGGGATGATTGTTGATGATGAATATGTAATCATGGGATCTGCAAACATTAACCAAAGATCAATGGATGGTTCAAGGGACACAGAAATTGCTATGGGTGCTTACCAACCACACCATACATGGGCAGCTGAAAAGAATCTTCATCCACATGGCCAGGTTTGAAACCCTTCAGCAACTCTAGTTACTCAGTAGAATGTCCAAAATGCAACTTCAAAACTAGTTTTAAATCTATGCATGCATTCCTTCCCATATTGATTAAAAGCAACTTTGGTTTGATTGGATGCAGGTATATGGCTACCGAATGTCTCTCTGGGCTGAGCACCTTGGTGGACTTGAGGAGACTTATCAAGATCCTGAGAGCCTTGAATGTGTTAAGCGTGTCAGCGAGATTGCCAAACAGAACTGGAAAGCATTTGTGTCTGAGGAGCATAAGGAGATGAAGGGACACTTGATGCAGTACCCAGTTCAGATTGGCAGAGACGGACAAGTCAGTTCATTGCCGGGATACGAATCGTTTCCTGATGTTGGTGGTAAAATTCTTGGAGCACCCACCAACCTTCCCGATGCTCTAACAACATAACCAGTTAATTAAGACTTGGAAAGCAAGCTTTAACATATGAGTTCCAACATGTTAAAACGCACATGCATGTGTGATGTACAGTGTGGTTAGTTTCAAAGGGAAATTTTGCTTCCATATAAATTCAGACTGCCCAACTTTAACATGCCTTCATTCCAATGCCAAGGCAGCTTTAACATATCCACAAATTTTTGCTGTACATTTTCTGCACTTCCATTTTTGTTGAATATAATAAAAATCTATATATAATATATATATATAAAGTCAGAAGGCCTTAAAATTAGAACATTCAAAATTTCACATTTACCCTTGGTTAATGAAAATACTAAAACATAAGACACTTTATTAAATAAGGATAAAACAATACATTCACAATCTATTAAAAAAAAATTTTTAAAAACATATACTGCAGTTGTCCATATTAAAAAGAAATTTACAAAGAGGATTGTTAAATTTAATACACACTTGAAGAATATAGAAAAATCTGGAAGAAATTAGAAAGCTAAAAAAAGTTCACTAACTTTGACAAAGTCAAGTTTTAGGAGATGTTTATTGTAAACCCTAGAAAAATCTTGTAATAAAGTAATAATATTATAAAGTAGTGAGGAGAAGAAGCCAAGTCCACCGACTTGGACAATGGCGGCAGCTTTAGTAAGATGTTGTTGTCTCTTGTACAAAGCAAGAGAGTGAGAAAAGGCCAAATAGCCATCAAAGAGAGAGAATAGGCCAATAAGCCTAGCAAATAGTTTCTAGTTGTTGAAGGCCAATAAGCCTACTCCTTTTATAAAGCCTTGTACCCATCTATTGTTGAATAAATAAAATCATTTTTTTGTTCTCTAAAACCCAACAAGTGGTATTAGAGCAAAGTTCGATCATCTTGGGCGTAAGAGTTCGATATAGTCTTCCATCATGTCTACCGCTAGCCAAACTTCTATCCCATTTCCAATCTTTACTGGAGAAAATTATGATTTATGGGGCATTAAAATGAAGACCTACTTTATGTCTCAAGATTTATGGGACATAGTTCATAATGGTTTCAATAATCCATAAAATTTATCTGTGGAACAATCAAAGCAGCTAAAGAAAGATCAGCAGAAGGATGCAAAGGCTCTATTTGCGCTGCAACAAGCTTTGGATGACACTATTTTTCCAAGGATTATGGGAGCCACAACATCAAAGGAAGCATGGGAAACTTTGAAGGAGGAGTATCAAGGAAACGCCAAGGTACATGCAGTTAAACTACAAACTTTGAGAAAAGATTTTGAAAACATTAAAATGAAAGATTCTGAGACCTCACAAGGGTACTATGCCAGAGTGAAAGAAATAATCAATCAATTGAGAGCATATGGAGAAAATATTAATGATTCAAGAATTGTCGAAAAAATACTTATCAGTCTCACTGATAAGTATGATCCACTAGTAACTGCCATTGAACATACAAAAGATATAACTAGTTTGTCAGTGGCAGAATTAATGAGCTCTCTAGAAGCATATGAAAAAAGACTGAGTAGGCGAAATGAAAGTCCAGTAGAAAGTGCCTTCCAGTCGAAACTAAATTTAAGGTCTCAGAAGTCTAAAGATGATGAAAAAACTAGAGAAGTAGAAAATGAACCCAACAATAATTGGGAAAATAAAAGAGAAACTGCGGAGAGGAAAGACTATCCTCAATGTTGGGTATGCAAAAAGACAAGCCACCAAGAGAAAGACTGTTGGTACCGAGGCATACCAAAATGCTGGAACTGCAAAAGATTTGGACATATAGCAAAAGATTGTCGATGCAAGAAAAACTATCAAGCTAACTACACAGAAGAAAATAATAAGTACGAGCATGTGTTCTATGCATGTCTAGCACCATCAGGAAAAGACAACACAAATTGGTGTATCAATAGCAGTGGCAATGATCAGAAGACAGAAACTGCAACTCAATTATCAGCAGGAGCAAAAAATATGGCATCAACAATATCAGAATATCTAGCAATATAGCTTCAAGTGTGCATTAAGGAGGAGTGTTAAATTTAATACACGCCTTGAAGAATATAGAAAAATCTAGAAGAAATTAGAAAGCTCAAAAAAGTTCACTAACTTTGACAAAGTCAAGTTTTAGGAGATGATTATTGTAAACTCAAGAAAAATCTTAATAAAAATCTTGTAATAAAGTAATAATATTATAAAGTAGTGAGGAGAAGAAGCCAAGTCCACCAACTTGGACAATGGCGGCAGCTTTAGTAAGATGTTGTTGTCTCTTGTACAAAGCAAGAGAGTGAGAAAAGGCCAAATAGCCAGCAAAGAGAGAGAATAGGCCAATAAGCCTAGCAAATAGTTTCTAGTTGTTGAAGGCCAATAAGCCTACTCCTTTTATAAAGCCTTGTACCCATCTATTGTTGAATAAATAAAATCACTTTTTTGTTCTCTAAAACCCAACAAGGATCATATCTAAGACTTTGGGTCATATCTAAGACAGTTTAATAACAAAGAAGAAAGAAGAGGTTAAAGTCAATGTTCAAACACCTTCCATTTATCTGACCGCATAGCGCAGTGGATTAGCTCGTCTGACTTCGGATGAGAAGGTCGTGGGTTTGACTCCCACTGTAGTCGATTTCATTTTTAGGAGGAGGAAATCTTTGAACACTGACTTCTGGAAATTGAAGTCTTCTGGTACGTTTATCTTTCAGGTTGTTTTTTCCCATTATTTTTGGTTTCTGTGAAGACTGGGGAAGACTAGAGGTAAGAAATGGAACATCTTGTGCTGTGGGTTTTATGTTGATATTTTTCTTTTCTTCAATTAAGCTCAACTATTGTCTTAGGGAGGCACAACTGTTAATTTTACATGATGCAAAATTTCAATCAATTTCGGTGATTAAGCACCCAAATTTTAATTTGTTTCTGTCTTTATAATGGGAACTTGAAGTCTCCTGGTACGTTTATCATTCAGGTTGATTGTGGGGCTTTACACATTCTGGGTAAAAATGGCTTCCATGGAACAACCCTCACCTCTGAAGCGGCGTGAGGCTTCTGCGTCAAGAAAAGATGATAAACTTATCATAACTCCTTTAGGAGCTGGTAATGAAGTCGGCCGCTCTTGTGTGTATATGTCCTACAAAGGGAAAACTGTGTTGGTATGCCATTAACACAAATGCAATATCTTTTTTTGAGTATTGAATCTAGAGTTATTCTTCTTCTCTCTCTTTATTCTAATTTTTTTTTTTCTCATCTTTCTTGCTTTTGTGATTTTGGTTTACCTTCCCATGAATGATAGTTTGATTGTGGAATTCACCTCGCATATTCGGGCATGGCTGCTTTGCCGTACTTTGATGAGATTGATCCTTCCACAATTGATGTCCTCCTCGTTAGTCAGTATGTTTTTTTGTTCATTATTTATTTATTTTTATCGTATGCTTAACTCATAAGTCATAGCATCAATACTGCAATGTCCTTGCTTCTCCTGCAGCTCTAGTATTTTATTTGTTAATTGCTTATGAAATGATAAAACCATCAGACATGACCCGTTTGGTCAAAAATATTTCTTATTTTAATTGAATGAGCTAACCATTTAAGTGTTTACTCTGGTTGAGTAGAACTTTGCCTTTCTTTCTCTCTGACTAATTTCTTAGAGTTTTAAGAGATGAATTTTAATAGGAAAACTGCTTTGTGCTTAGGGCCAGTTGTACTATGCCCTTCTTGAAAATCATGTAAAGAATTTTTGTAATATGTAAGAAGTCATGAACCATGCACAATCACATTGTATTCTACACATCAGACTTTTTATATATTTGGCAACATGGTTATAGATGCGCCTGATTTCACCTTTTGCTGCCACAGTCATGTGTGGAAGTGTTACCTCATTATTGTAGACTCTTCATCCAATTGTACTAATATTGGTCATACTTTTTGCTTGCAGTTTTCACTTGGATCATGCTGCTTCTCTACCTTACTTTCTTGAGAAGGTTTTCACTTTCTGAATGAATAAATATATAATTAGTTTGTATTTTATTTTCCAGGGAGCTAATATCTCTATAACTTTTGATAGACCACATTCAAGGGCCGAGTCTTTATGACTTATGCAACAAAGGCCATCTACAAGTTGCTTTTGACGGATTATGTGAAAGTGAGCAAAGTTTCAGTTGAAGATATGTTGTTTGATGAGCAGGACATAAATGCCTCAATGGATAAAATTGAGGTTTGTTGTCTTCCCATGACCTATGTATTTATTGCCACCAGTTTTTGTTCCCAACTGAACCTCCTTGTCACAGATTTATATTAAATTTGAGTTATGTTGTTTCTAATGATGTATGTTTGAACCAACCAAAATTTTCCAGCATTACAGCTTGTAGTTGTGGCTGTGTTTCATAGGGGATGTATGTTTTCTCTCTGCCAAAATTCCAAGTGATTTGTGCAGAAAAAGTAGTGCTTTCAAGAATCTGAGTTCAGTCGACATTTGTTGATCCGGTTAATATTTTAGTTTGGTGCAGGCCAGTTGGTGATATTAGTACTTTGAATTGGTTAACATTTTGGTCATTGATAGACTCAACCTCACCATCTTTACATCATTATCCATTTATCTCTATTCAGTACAGTCTTAATCTGAATACTGGTTTTCGATCCTTAATCCTTTACACCCAACATGACATGAATGATTTTCTCATGATTATTGTCTAACACTGTATGATAATTGTAGGTTATTGATTTCCATCAAACCGTAGAGGTTGAGGGCATTCGATTTTGGTGCTATTCTGCTGGTCATGTCCTTGGTGCTGCTATGTTTATGGTTGATATTGCCGGCATTAGAGTCCTGTACACTGGTGATTATTCACGTGAAGAAGACCGGCATCTTCGTGCTGCTGAGACCCCACAGTTCTCGCCTGATGTGTGCATTATTGAATCCACGTATGGTGTACAGCACCATCAACCCCGGCACATCAGAGAGAAGCGATTCACTGATGTTATCCATTCAACCATCTCTCAAGGGGGTCGTGTCTTAATTCCTGCTTATGCACTTGGCCGTGCCCAAGAACTTCTCCTGATCCTTGATGAGTATTGGGCAAGCCATCCTGAGCTCCAAAATATTCCTATTTATTATGCTTCCCCACTTGCAAAAAGATGTCTATCTGTATATGAGACATACACCCTTTCCATGAACGATAGAATCCGCAATGCAAAGTCAAATCCCTTCATATTCAAGTACGTATCACCACTAAAGAGCATTGAAAATTTCAAAGATGTAGGCCCGTCAGTGGTGATGGCAAGCCCTGGTGGTCTTCAGAGTGGGCTGTCAAGGCAGCTATTTGATAAGTGGTGCTCTGATAAGAAAAATGCGTGTGTTATTCCAGGTTTTGTGGTTGAAGGGACACTAGCTAAAACAATCATCAATGAACCGAAGGAGGTAACTCTTATGAATGGACTCAGTGCTCCTCTCAACATGCAGGTCCATTACATTTCATTCTCTGCTCATGCAGACTCTGTTCAGACAACCGCATTTTTGGAAGAGCTGAGGCCTCCTAATATAATCCTTGTTCATGGAGAAGCTAATGAGATGGGGAGGCTCAAACAGAAGCTGATGACCCAGTTTGCTGATCGTAACACCAAAATCCTCACCCCAAAGAATTGCCAGTCTGTTGAAATGTATTTTAACTCACAGAAAATGGCAAAAGCTATTGGAAGGCTTGCTGAGAAGACCCCTGAAGTTGGTGAAAGTGTCAGCGGTTTACTGGTAAAAAAAGGCTTTGGTTACCAAATAATGGCTTCTGATGATCTTCATGTCTTCTCACAGCTGTGCACAGCAAATGTCACTCAACGGATTACTATCCCGTTTGCTAGTGGCTTTACTGTGATAAAACACCGGCTTAGCCAAATATATGAGAGTGTAGAGTCTTCAGTGGATGAGGAATCTGGAGTGCCAACATTGCGAGTGCATGATCGGGTGACGGTGAAGCAGGATACAGATAAACACATTTCAGTACATTGGTCGTCAGATCCTATAAGTGACATGGTGTCAGACTCCATTGTGGCTCTTATTTTGAATATCAACCGAGAAGTCCCCAAGGTAGTTGTCGAATCAGAGGACCTAAAAACTGAGGAAGAGAACAGGAAGAAGGTGGAAAAGGTCATTCATGCACTTCTTGTATCACTCTTTGGGGATGTGAAGCCTGGAGAAAATGGGAAACTCGTAATTAGGGTTGATGGGAATGTGGCACAGCTTGATAAACAGAGTGGGGATGTTGAGAGTGAAAATGAAGGTCTCAAGGAAAGAGTAAAGGCGGCATTTCGTCGAATCCAAAGTGCAGTGAAGCCAATCCCTCTTTCTGCAACTTAGCTGCATTGCTTCGATGTTTACGTTGCTGTATTTTGAGTTACTTTTGAATTTTGTAAGCTAACAGATGAATACTAAACCCATGTATATAAGTTACAACAGCTAGACACTTCAATTCAAAGGATTGGGAACCCTAGTATTATTAATAAAAATCTATATGTATAAAGTCAGAAGACCTAAAAATTGGAACATTCAAAATTTCACATTTACCCTTGGTTAATGAAAATACTAAAACATAAGACACTTTATTAAATAAGGATAAAACAATACATTCACAATCTATTAAAATTATATATAAAAAAACCATTTACCGCAGTTGTCTATATTAAAAAGAAATTTTCAAAGAGTATCCGGAGGAAACAAAGTGGGATACATGTTTTGGTAAAATTATATGAGTTTTTTTCTTACCCCTAGTTTAATAATGAAGAAAAAAGGAAGAGATTAAATTTAATTTTCAAACAACCCTCCATCCGGACCGCATAGCGCAGTGGATTAGCGCGTCTGACTTCGGATCAGAAGGTCGTGGGTTCGACTCCCACTGTGGTCGATTTCTTTTTTAAAAGGCTTTTATTTATTTTTGAAAAATAAGGAATAGCATGGAGGCCTGAAGCTTACGGTCCCACAGCGACTAGGAGCTGTAATTTCTCTCTCTCTCTCTCTCTCTCTCTCACTTTCTAGGGTTTTAGCTCTCTCTGCATTCTCAGAAATCTTTGAACACTGACTTCTCTCTCTCATTTTACTCCCATCTAGCTGTAATTCAGCTCAACTTTTGTCTTAGGGAGGCCCAACTGTTAATTTTACATGATGCAAAATTTCAATTTGTTTCTGTTTTTTTGTTGTTGTGGATAAACATATTTCAATTTGGGTATATAAGCACCTGTATGAATGCCTTTATCTACTTATTGTAATTGAAAATTGAAGTCTTCTGCTACGTTTATCTTTCAGGTTGATTGCAGGGCTTTACACATTCTTGGTAAAAATGGCTTCCATGGCACAACCTTCACCTCTGAAGCGGCGTGAGGCTTCTGCATCAGGAGAAGATGATAAACTTATCATAACTCCTTTAGGGGCCGGTAATGAAGTCGGCCGGTCTTGTGTGTACATGTCCTACAAAGGGAAAACTGTGTTGGTATGCCATTAACACAAATGCATTATCATTTTTTTGAGTATTGAATCTAGATTTATCTTCTTCTTTCACTCTTTTTTTTTTTTTTTTCTTCTTTCTTTCTTTTGTTTTGATTTTGGGTCACCTTCCCATGAATGATAGTTTGATTGTGGAATTATTCGGGCATGGCTGCTTTGCCATACTTTGATGAGATTGATCCTTCCACAATTGATGTCCTCCTCATTACTCAGTATGTTTTTTTTTTTTTTATTTATTTTTAATAGCATCATAAGTTTCTAAGTCATAGCATCAATACTGCAACGTCCTTGCTTCCCCTGCAGCTATAGTATTTTATGTGTCAGTTGCTTGTGAAATGATAAAACCATCAGACATGACCCATTGGGTCAAAATATTTCTTATTTTAATTGAATGAGCTAACCATTTAAGTGTTTATTCTGGTTGAGGAGAACTTACTTTGCCTTTCTTTCTCTCTGACTAATTTTTTAGAGTTTTAAGAGATAAATTTTAATAGGAAAACTGCTTTGTGCTTAGGGCCAGTTGTACTATGCCCTTCTTGAAAATCATGTAAAGAATTTTTGTAATATGTAAGAAGTCATGAACCATGCACAATCACATTGTATTCTCTTTTTTATATATTTGGCAACATGGTTATAGATGTGCCTGATTTCACCTTTTGTTGCCAAATTCATATGCAGAAGTGTCCTAATATTCTGATGATTTCTCTTAGTTTGTATAAATAAATTTTATGATACCTCATTATTGTAGACTCTTCATATTAGGTCATACTTTTTGCCTGCAGCTTTCACTTGGATCATGCTGCTTCCCTACCTTACTTTCTTGAGAAGGTTTTCACTCCCTGAATAAATAATTATATAATTAATTTGTATTTTATTTTCACGGGAACTGATATCTCTATAACTTTTGATAGACCACATTCAAAGGCCGAGTCTTTATGACTTATGCAACAAAGGCCATCTACAAGTTGCTTTTGACGGATTATGTGAAAGTGAGCAAAGTTTCAGTTGAAGATATGTTGTTTGATGAGCAGGACATAAATGCCTCAATGGATAAAATTGAGGTTTGTTGTCTTCCCATGACCTATGTGTTCATTGCCACCGGTTTTTGTTCCCAACTGAACCTTGCTGTCACAGATTGTACTAAATTTGAGTTATGTTGTTTTCAATGATGCATGTTTGAACCAACCAAAACTTTCCAGCATTACAGCTTGTAGTTGTGGCTGTGTTTCATAGGTGATGTATGTTTTCTCTTTGCCAAAATTCCCAGTGATTTGTGCAGAAAAAGTAGTGTTTTCAAGAATCTGAGATATATGTTATGTGTTTCAATCGGCATTTGTTGACCTGGTTAATATTTCAGTTTGGTGCAGGCCAGTTGGCGATATTAGTACTTTGAATTGGTTAACATTTTGCTCATTGATGGACTCTCAACCTCACCATCTTCACATCATTATCCATTTATCTTTGTTTAGTAGTCTTAATCTGAATACTGGTGTTGGATCCTTACTCCTTTACACCCAAAAAGACATGAATGATTTTCTCATGATTCTTGTCTAACAGTGTATGGTAATTGTAGGTTATTGATTTCCATCAAACAGTAGAGGTTGAGGGCATTCGATTTTGGTGCTACACTGCCGGTCATGTCCTTGGTGCTGCTATGTTTATGGTTGATATTGCGGGTGTTAGAGTCCTCTACACTGGTGACTATTCACGTGAAGAAGACCGGCATCTCCGTGCTGCTGAGACCCCACAGTTCTCCCCTGATGTATGCATTATTGAATCCACATATGGTGTCCAGCACCATCAACCTCGGCACATCAGAGAGAAGCGATTCACTGATGTTATCCATTTAACCATCTCTCAAGGGGGTCGTGTCTTAATTCCTGCTTTTGCACTTGGCCGTGCTCAAGAACTTCTCCTGATCCTTGATGAGTATTGGGCAAACCATCCTGAGCTCCAAAATATTCCTATTTATTATGCTTCCCCGCTTGCAAAAAGATGTTTATCTGTATATGAGACATACACCCTTTCCATGAACGATAGGATCCGCAATGCAAAGTCAAATCCCTTCATATTCAAGTACATATCACCACTAAAGAGCATTGAAAATTTCAAAGATGTAGGCCCGTCGGTGGTGATGGCAAGCCCTAGTAGTCTTCAGAGTGGGCTGTCAAGGCAGCTATTTGATAAGTGGTGCTCTGATAAGAAAAATGCTTGTGTTATTCCAGGTTATGTGGTTGAAGGGACACTAGCTAAGACAATCATCAATGAACCCGAAGGAGGTAACTCTCATGAATGGACTCAGTGCTCCTCTCAACATGCAGGTCCATTACATTTCATTCTCTGCTCATGCAGACTCTGTTCAGACAACTGCATTTTTGGAAGAGCTGAGGCCTCCTAATATAATCCTTGTTCATGGAGAAGCTAATGAGATGGGGAGGCTCAAACAGAAGCTGATGACCCCAGTTTGCTGATCGTAACACCAAAATCCTCACCCCAAAGAATTGCCAGTCTGTTGAAATGTATTTTAACTCACAGAAAATGGCAAAAGCTATTGGAAGGCTTGCTGAGAAGACCCCTGAAGTTGGTGAAAGTGTCAGCGGTTTTACTGGTAAAAAAAGGCTTTGGTTACCAAATAATGGCTTCTGATGATCTTCATGTCTTCTCACAGCTGTGCACAGCAAATGTCACTCAACGGATTACTATCCCGTTTGCTAGTGGCTTACTGTGATAAAACACCGGCTTAGCCAAATATATGAGAGTGTAGAGTCTTCAGTGGATGAGGAATCTGGAGTGCCAACATTGCGAGTGCATGATCGGGTGACGGTGAAGCAGGATACAGATAAACACATTTCAGTACATTGGTCGTCAGATCCTATAAGTGACATGGTGTCAGACTCCATTGTGGCTCTTATTTTGAATATCAACCGAGAAGTCCCCAAGGTAGTTGTTGAATCAGAGGACGTAAAAACTGAGGAAGAGAACGGGAAGAAGGTGGAAAAGGTCATTCATGCACTTCTTGTATCACTCTTTGGGGATGTGAAGCCTGGAGAAAATGGGAAACTAGTGATTAGGGTTGATGGGAATGTGGCACAGCTTGATAAACAGAGTGGGGATGTTGAGAGTGAAAATGAAGGTCTCAAGGAAAAAGTAAAGGTGGCATTTCGTCGAATCCAAAGTGCAGTGAAGCCAATCCCTCTCTCTGCAACTTAGCTGCGGTGCTTCGATGTTTACGTTGCTGTATTTTGAGTTATTTTTGAATTTTGTAAGCTAACAGATGAATACTGAACAGTGAACAGTAACAACTACCAAATGACAAATGCAGTAACTGATTGATGTGTCAATCTACTTGGACTAGTTTTCTGTTTAGATGTTTACAATGTTTTGACCTTCCTGGCTGCTTCTTTTTGATGAATGAGTACCCAAATTTTATTACATATTGCTTCGTTGAGTCAAGTAGCAGCTGACATCTGCAAATATTTTTGACTAGCAAGGCACCGCAAATAATCTTGAACACAAGAAAAAAAAAGTACAATAACATGCCTTTATTCCGATGCCAAGGCAGCTTCATGAGTATATCCACCAATTTCTGCACTGCCATTGAGTTGAAGAATGTAAATTCTCATATCTGATAGAATAGTGATACCATAAAATAACTGTTTTGTCATTTTTTACATAAATAATATATGAAACTAAATTCAAGTTACAACAGCTAGACACTTCAATTCAAAGGATTGGAATAATCTTAAAATTGAAGCATTCAAAATTTCACATTTACCCTTGGTTAATGAAAATGCTAAAACATAAGACACGTTATTAAATAAGGATAAAACAATACATTCACAATCTATTAAAATTTTATAAAACATTTACCGCAGTTGTCCTCTTTCTTTCTTCTGAGACAGTTTAATTATAAGAATGAAGAAAAAACGAAGAGGTTAAAGTCAATTTTTGAACGGTTTTCTCTCATCTGACCGCATAGCGCAGTGGATTAGCGCGTCTGACTTCGGATCAGAAGGTCGTGGGTTCGACTCCCACTGTGGTCGATTAAATTTTTTAAAAGGTTTTTATTTTTATTTTTGAAAAATAAGGAATAGCATGGAAGAAGCCTGAAGCTTACGGTCCCACAGCGACTAGGAGCTGTAATTTTCCGCTCTCACTCTCCCCTTATAGGGTTTTAGCTCTCTCTCTGCATTCTCAGAAATCTTTGAACACTGATTTCTCTCTCTGCTTTATACTAAATCTTAGGTTCCCTTCTCTTTTTTGTTTTTTTCCTATTATTTTTGGTTTCTGTGAAGATTGGGGAAGACTAAAGGTAAGAAATGGAACATCTTGTGTTGTGGGTTTTATGTTGTTATTTTTCTTTTCTTCAATTAAGCTCAACTATTGTCTTAGGGAGGAGGCACAACTGTTAATTTTACAGGATGCAAAATTTCAATCAATTTTGGTAATTAAGCACCGAAATTTTAATTTGTTTCCGTCTTTATAATGGGAACTGGTACGTTTATCTTTCAGGTTGATTGGAGGGCTTTACACATTCTGGGTAAAAATGGCTTCCATGGCACAACCCTCACCTCTGAAGCGGCGTGAGGCTTCTGCATCAAGAGAAGATGATAAACTTATCATAACTCCTTTAGGAGCTGGTAATGAAGTCGGCCGCTCTTGTGTGTATATGTCCTACAAAGGGAAAACTGTGTTGGTATGCCATTAACACAAATGCATTATCTTTTTTTTGAGTATTGAATCTAGAGTTATTATTCTTTACTCTAATTTTTTTTTCTCTTCTTTCTTGCTTTTGTGATTTTGGGTCACCTTCCAATGAATGATAGTTTGATTGTGGAATTCACCCCGCATATTCGGGCATGGCTGCTTTGCCGTACTTTGATGAGATTGATCCTTCCATAATTGATGTCCTCCTCATTACTCAGTATGTTTTTTTTCCTTTTTATTTTATTTTATGGTATGCTTAACTCATAAGTCATAGCATCAATACTGCAATGTCCTTGCTTCTCCTGCCGCTCTAGTATTTTATGTGTCAGTTGCTTATGAAATGATAAAACCATCAGACATGACCCATTGGGTCAAAATATTTCTTATTTTAATTGAATGAGCTAACCATTTAAGTGTTTACTCTGGTTGAGTGGAACTTTGTTTTTCTTTCTCTCTGACTAATTTCTTAGAGTTTTAAGAGATGAATTTTAATAGGAAAACTGCTTTGTGCTTATTTCCTTGATTTTCTTATCAGTTGAAAAGATTATATCTAATGTAGGACAAGTAGCTCAAATACCAAATTTACACAGAACTAAATGTCCAATACCAACTATTTACAACAAAGAGCTTTTACACCCAAATGATGTAGGATGAAATAGATAACACCAAGCAATATTCCAGAAGAAGTGATGGTTTGTTAAGAGAAAAAAAGTTATGTCTGAAGTTGAATTAATGGCCAATCAAGGGAATCGGTTTTGGTTTTGAAGTTCTTAAGCTGGAATAGGTTATTATGCGTTCAAGGTTTGGAAAGAGGCGAAAACTGAAAAGGTTTTGTTTAGATTTGGGTAGCAGAAAACCTAGACTTGGTGACAGCTGTTTGTGGTGTCAATGCAATCACACTAATGCAGGAATTGAAATAAATAAATAAAATAAAAAACACAATTGTTAGGAATCTTTCGTCCAAAAAAAAAAAATGTTAAGTATCACTTGTGACCATAGTTGCATGACATAATGTTCAAATATGGCCTTATACCTTGGTAATTGTTGAACTTATTTTCCATTAGAAAAATGAGAGTTAAATTTAAGGTGCTTAGATTCCCAAATTCTTATAGGACTGGACTTTCAAATAGGCATATTTCAGCATATGATGAATAGGTATGTCTGCCGATATTGAATATGGCTTTGTATGTAGGTTGAGTGATCCTGAAAAGGTTGGATATTGTACAAGAAGGATATCTTAGCAAAAATAATTACTTTTTTTTTTTAAGATATGGATTTTATGTACGCGAGCTCCTTAAGATGTGATTATTTTCAGAAATTTATTGAATATTGTTGAAGGTAAAAGTCAAATAATATGTCATGAATTCTTCTCATGTTTTTATTTAAAAGTGATATTGTCTCCATGATCAATAATTCCGTGTGGTCCCCTTCCCCCTTAATTCTCAGATTAACATATTTTACATTACAAAAGATACAACACATAAAAAATACTAGTAGTAATTGGCATTAGAATCAAAGTGGACCAGCAGTGCAAAAAAGATGCTAATAGTAAATGGGGAATACAATTGAAGTGGACCAGCAGTGCACAAAAGATACATCCCTCATCCTACAGTTGATAGAAAACCACAAACAAAATAAACGAGCAAATATCCAACTTTGCAGAAAACATAACAAAGGCCACCAAAACAGCAATCAGGAAATTGAAAGGTTCTCTTCTTAGGGCCAGTCGTACTATGCTCTTCTTGACAATCACATAAAGATTTTTTGTAAACATGTAAGAAGTCATGCACCATACACAATCACATTGTATTCTACACATCAGACTTCTTTTTGTTTTTTTGTTTTTTTGTTTTTTTTCATTTGGCAACATGGTTATAGATGTGTCTGGTTTCACCTTTTGCTGCCAAAGTCATATGTGGAAGTGTTACCTCATTATTGTATTCATCCAATTGTACTAATGTTAGGTCATACTTTTTGCTTGCAGTTTTCACTTGGATCATGCTGCTTCCCTACCTTACTTTCTTGAGAAGGTTTTCACTTTCTGAATGAATAAATATATAATTAGTTTGTATTTTATTTCCAGGGAACTAATATCTCTATAACTTTTGATAGACCACATTCAAAGGCCGAGTCTTTATGACTTATGCAACAAAGGCCATCTACAAGTTGCTTTTGACGGATTATGTGAAAGTGAGCAAAGTTTCAGTTGAAGATATGTTGTTTGATGAGCAGGACATAAATGCCTCAATGGATAAAATTGAGGTTTGTTGTCTTCCCATGACCAATGTGTTTATTGCCACTGGTTTTTGTTCCCAACTGAACTTCCCTATCACAGATTTATACTAAATTTGAGTTATGTTGTTTCTAATGATGTATGTTTGAACCAACCAAAATTTTCCAGCATCACAGCTTGTAGTTGTGGCTGTGTTTCATAGGGGATGTATATTTTCTCTCTGCCAAAATTCCAAGTGATTTGTGCAGAAAAGTAGTGCTTTCAAGGATCTGAGTTCAGTCAGCATTTGTTGACCTGGTTAATATTTCAGTTTGGTGCAGGCCAGTTGGCGATATTAGTACTTTGAATTGGTTAACATTTTGCTCATTGATGGACTCTCAACCTCACCATCTTTACATCATTATCCGTTTATCTTTATTTAGCAGTCTTAATCTGAATACTGGTGTTGGATCCTTACTCCTTTACACCCTACAAGACATGAATGATTTTCTCATGATTATTGTCTAACAGTGTATGGTAATTGTAGGTTATTGATTTCCATCAAACAGTAGAGGTTGAGGGCATTCGATTTTGGTGCTATACTGCTGGTCATGTCCTTGGTGCTGCTATGTTTATGGTTGATATTGCTGGCGTTAGAGTCCTCTACACTGGTGATTATTCACGTGAAGAAGACCGGCATCTCCGTGCTGCTGAGACCCCACAGTTCTCCCCTGATATATGCATTATTGAATCCACGTATGGTGTACAGCACCATCAGCCTCGGCACATCAGAGAGAAGCGATTCACTGATGTTATCCATTCAACCGTCTCTCAAGGGGGTCGTGTCTTAATTCCTGCTTTTGCACTTGGCCGTGCCCAAGAACTTCTCCTGATCCTTGATGAGTATTGGGCCAACCATCCTGAGCTCCAAAATATTCCTATTTATTATGCTTCCCCACTTGCAAAAAGATGTTTATCTGTATATGAGACATACACCCTTTCCATGAACGATAGGATCCGCAATGCGAAGTCAAATCCCTTCATATTCAAGTACGTATCACCACTAAAGAGCATTGAAAATTTCAAAGATGTAGGCCCGTCAGTGGTGATGGCAAGCCCTGGTGGTCTTCAGAGTGGGCTGTCAAGGCAGCTATTTGATATGTGGTGCTCTGATAAGAAAAATGCATGTGTTATTCCAGGGTATGTGGTTGAAGGGACATTGGCTAAAACAATCATCAATGAACCGAAGGAGGTAACTCTTATGAATGGACTCAGTGCTCCTCTCAACATGCAGGTCCATTACATTTCATTCTCTGCTCATGCAGACTCTGTTCAGACAACTGCATTTTTGGAAGAGCTGAGGCCTCCTAATATAATCCTTGTTCATGGAGAAGCTAATGAGATGGGGAGGCTCAAACAGAAGCTGATGACCCAGTTTGCTGATCGTAACACCAAAATCCTCACCCCAAAGAATTGTCAGTCTGTTGAAATGTATTTTAACTCACAGAAAATGGCAAAAGCTATTGGAAGGCTTGCTGAGAAGACCCCTGAAGTTGGTGAAAGTGTCAGCGGTTTACTGGTAAAAAAAGGCTTCAGTTATCAAATAATGGCTTCTGATGATCTTCATGTCTTCTCACAGCTGTGCACAGCAAATGTCACTCAACGAATTACCATCCCATTTGCTAGTGGCTTCACTGTGATTAAACACCGGCTAAGGCAAATATATGAGAGTGTAGAGTCTTCAGTGGATGAGGAATCTGGGGTGCCAACATTGCGAGTGCATGATCGGGTGACGGTGAAGCAGGATACAGATAAACACATTTCAGTACATTGGTCATCAGATCCTATAAGTGACATGGTTTCAGACTCCATTGTGGCTCTTATTTTGAATATCAACCGAGAAGTACCCAAGGTAGTTGTTGAATCTGAGGATGTAAAAACTGAGGAAGAGAATGGGAAGAAGGTGGAAAAGGTCATTCATGCCCTTCTTGTATCACTCTTTGGGGATGTGAAGCCTGGAGAAAATGGGAAACTAGTGATTAGTGTTGATGGGAATGTGGCACAGCTTGATAAACAGAGTGGGGATGTTGAGAGTGAAAATGAAGGTCTGAAGGAAAGAGTAAAGGCGGCATTTCGTCGAATCCAAAGTGCGGTGAAGCCAATCCCTCTTTCTGCAACTTAGCTGCAGTGCTTCGATGTTTTTGTTTCTGTATTTTGAGTTACTTTTGAATTTTGTAAGCTAACAGATGAATACTGAACAGTGAGCAGTAACACTGCCAATTGACAAATGCAGTAACTTTTTCCTTCCGTTGATCATCGATGTGTCAATCTACTTGGCTAGTTTTCTGTTTAGATGTTTACAGTGTTTTGACCTTCGTGGTTGTTTCTTTTTAATGAACGAGTACCCAAATTTTATTACATGGTGCTTAGCTGAGATCTGCAAATGTCTTTGATTGGCACTGCAAATAATCTCAAAATCGACATCCGTTGGCAATTTTACTTTTACATTGGTTTTTTATTGGGGAAACATTTTCACTTTCACTTTGAGCAGGCAATAAGAGATGGTTTCTTTTTTTCTTTTGCTACAATAAGAGATGGTTGTATTGTACGCCATGCAAAGTACGTTTCAGAAGTAATAAATTATTCTGCCGTTATTTTCTATATATAATATTTTTTGCCTTATACCTCCAATAAAAGTACTAATTTCAAGGATTCATCATGTTTCTTTGGATCAATTTCTGAGAACGGATAATTCCTTGCTTGATTGAATTTTAACCTAGCAGAGAAAATCCGGATGAACGTTAATTTTGTGCAGAACATGCCTTGCTTAGAAGAGAAATTGTATTCTAGAGAAGATAATATTTCCATTTTTGTTTAGTTGAATAAGAGACTGAAAAGTATCATTTTCAAGGAAAAGGGCTCATGAAATAAAAATTGAATGGGGAAAAGAAATGTATTCCATCCAAAAGTTTTAGCCTAGTTTCGTGGCGGAAGTGATTTTTGGGTTTTTCTTTTCAAATGGAATACGTGAACAAATAATTAGTTTTAATGGCACATCTGGACAAGTATTATGAAGAAAAAAATATTCATTTATGTAAAAACTCATAACTAACATGTTAAGAGTACATACAGCTAATTTCGTATGGTGAAAGTTATACACAAATAATACATGAGAAGGGTTTCACAATTTCTACAATTGAATATGAATTTGAACATGGAACAATATCACGCACGCATCCTCCTCCGACTGGCCTACAAGAAGAGAATAGCAAACTACATAAATAGGTATTGCATGATTTTCAGAGCACTCAAGTAGAGATGCTTCATAAGACTCAATAGGAAGTTTTAGATTTAACAATAGTGAACAACTCCGGTAATTTTTTTAATGTAGCAGAAAACCAGTTTTGACTTTGATGTTATTCATCACAGAATTTGACCAAATACAAAATTCAAGGCGAGTTGGTAATGCAGCAAAACAGTAGCAACAAAGTCGTTCTATGGCTAATTGTCTTCTATGCACGGTTACTATTTAAGTAGAGCAATTATATACGAAGAAATATTGTAAGAGAACTCAATGGCATCTGTCCGACTCAGAACCATTATATGCACGTCAGCTTTTCTATTCTTTTTCTGGGCCTTCTTAGAAAAAAACAAAGACAATAAAGGTAGTGATGACAGGCCATACTTACTATGCCTTGCTTTCGAGATAACATATATAAAACTTTTAGAACACTATCCATATTTGGGGTGTAACCCAAGACAAGAACTCAGGTGCATGGTGAATGCTCTTAAGTACTACCACTCGAACTACACGCCTCTTCCAAGACAACATTCTACTAGTAAAGCAGTCAACAACACATGATTAACATACAGAGCACTCAGCAGACTACATAGTATGTTGACAGACTAAATGGTTGACACATTCTTTGTTACAGAGCTTAAAGCAAAATTCAGATGGTGGTCAGCCACTCGATGGAATTGTCAGGATAACTAAACAGCGATGACAAATTAATAAGACATGGAAAAACAACTTGTGGTAAAGAGGCTTAGAAGACTTGTAATAATTCATTTCACAAGGAACTAACAGGAGCAACACCCCTCTCCCGAAAAAAGAAAGAAAAACCAAATATAGAAATCAATAGGAAGTCAGCAAAAGTGCAGACAACTAACAGCTTAACGGCCAGGGAACACCAGCAGTAACTTCAACACAAACAACACCAGCCCAAACTTTTTTATTTTGATTGGAAACACAAATATTTTATTTAGAATCTATAAACTAAAGTACAACAACAGTGTTCAAGCTGTCCACTAAAGTACAAACAATATCCATAACCAGACAGCTCTTTCCAAACATCAGAAGGTATAAATAAATAAAAGAATACAAGTTTATAATAACAGAACCCCCGGAAAATAATAAGCTATGGAAGCAAAAAATGAATTAATTGAAAAAAGAAAAAAAAAGCTCTAGAGCTTCAAATCAGGGTTACTCAACCTATCTGGCTTCTATACATAACCTCATCATTTTAAGTTTCCTAATCCCCCACCTGAAACTTTAACTAAAATCCAAAATTCAGGGCTTCATTTCAATCACATACCTTTTCTACCTGGTTTCAAATAAGTACTGCAAACTCTGGCGCCCTAATCTCATGCTTGGTGAGACTCCACTGTTTCTCCACGGTGAAAAATTACTTATATATGCCCAAAAGAAGATAAGACTGAAGGATTCTGTAGGCAATCAAGAGTCTGATCTGGAAGTTGTGAACGATGAGAGGAGACCTGCAGCCTGGGCAGGTAGAATATCACCAAATGTCGACATGGCGGCTGCTGATCTATCCTTGAATATGCCCACTTGCCCATCTGTTAGCATTGATCCCAGTTTCAATGTGCTCTCTCCAAATATGCTTCTAGCCTGCCAATTACAAGGAACATCATATTCACAACCTGGCTATCCAAATATGGCAAACAAGTGGATAACCAGAAAAAATAATCCATATAAATCCTATATGCAGTAGACTCGCAAATCAAAATCAAGTTGACACAAGAGTAAAAATTGTATACCATACCACTCAAGTCTGGATGGTCTTAAACAATATTCACACATAAGAAGTTTATGAGAATTTTGTATCTAAAATCAGCATATTGCCATCACTCCCAAACTATAAACTTTGGATTATCATCAATAGACCTGGCAACATACTGTGTTCTAGCATGTTCGTATTGTGTGGAAATATACTAAACCCAAACACGGCCCAAGAATAACATAAACAAAATATAATATATTGCCATAAAAACTGTGTCCAACACATTATACATCAGATACAACAATCCAAAACACGTTAAAGAAATACAACCCAAAAAATTTATACTCTGAAGAGTTTTTTAAGCATCTATCATGAAGAAAACATGTCACTAACACATTAACCTGTTTCACCAATGGCACTGACTGAACCTTTGAGATAAGGTGTCATCATAAGTTAACCCATTACAGATCCGAACTGAAAAGACCCCACCAGAAAACTTAACTTTTAGTTCATGTCAGTGTTGTGCTATTGTCCCATGTATGACTTCGCCAAGTCTAATAATGCCATTAAAAATTTACATCTCAAACAACATATGCATTCCTATTCCAATATGAAATCAATACTTGTTTAAATGCAACTACGAAAATAGGAAGAAATTGTGACAAGAAAAACTAAAGAGATAGAAAGCCTTGCCTGCATGAAAGATTTAAAAATTGGTACTGCAACCCCAAAACTCGAGTTATCATCCAAATCAAGCTTACTGGACAGGTCTCCATTTGCATAAGATTTCCAGGTACTTCTCGAAGAAATATCATCTGAAGATGTTGGAATGGACGTCTTAGCTGTCCCTCTTGAAGACAATGCTGGGGCACTGGAACACCAAAATGAAGTCAAAACTATGAACCCAATATTGAATGGTACCCTCTGGCAATAACTATTTTGGCCAGAGTTAAAACTGGAAAACACCAATATGCAGTCATATGTAACTGATCAGCCAGTTCAATTCAATTTATACAGTTCATGTATAAGAAATTTGAAAAGACTCAAAACTGATAACACATGCCGGTGGACACCATGCAAAGGGGTTGCTCAAAAAGTAGAAAATAATTTAAGTTTCAGAAAACGTACCTGATGGGAAGGTACTTGAAGCGAGGAACTGAAGAGCATCTCATTATATTGGACTCGGAATTAGTAGGAAGTTTTTGAACAGTATCTGTATACATGCGATTAAGTTGCACAAAGAATCCGAAAAGGACAGCATGCCGTAGGTATGATTGCCTCTCATTTTCCCAGAGATATGGCTCATACCTGATATGAGATAAAGTAAGAAAACACAAAGTCAAATGCCTAATTAGTTACAAAATTATTTTTAAATGCTATGAATAATTGATATACGACACAATATTATAGATATCCCTCCATTTTATTTTTGTTTTAGCAGGCTTAGGAATCTAAAGACACATAGCCAGATCAACCAAGCCATGAATTCTTGATCTCACCTCCCAATCTTATTCTAAAAGGAGGAGGAGGTGCCACTAGGCTCAAGAGCCACTGGAAATGCAGATAACAGAACATTATAAGATTTACTCTTAGGCAAGATCCAGCTCAGGATTGCCACAGGAAAAGAAAAAGATCCAGCACAGGATACTTGTCGGTGCATTCATAATATCACCACACATCATTCTATCCCCTATCAATACTAGTCACTATCTCTTTTTCCTAATTAAGATAAAGATATTAGCCAATGTTTTCCTTATAAGATCCAATACGCATTGTGACCAGAATATAAAAAATGACTAGCTAGCCAAGACATAACCTGGAAACTCCTGAATATTCATTTTCCTCTGAAAGCAACAATTAGGGACAGCCTTTTAAGGGGAACAATGGGGGAGAAACATGCATGTAAGGAGACACCACTCTCAGATCCAAACTTTTGGAAAATCTTTATATTCTTTAAATTTTATTCACAAGAATGAACAAACTCACGTAAGCCAATCTATGGGATCCAATCTTTGCGAAAGGCGATTTATCAACCCATCAAAACGCTCTCTAATGACAGACTTCACGTGGCTTGTTCCTGCTTCCGTCTGAAAGGACTTTTTGCCTTTAGGTTTATAGATGGCTCCTCATTCACATTAGAATCACCCCCAGAAAGGACATCAACAACAAATCTCAAATCTAACAAAACTTGCAAAACTCCTTTTTCGGACACTTCAGTTCCACCAGCCTCTAGAGTAGAAAGGAAGTCCCCATAAATATCAATGACCTACGTGAAAATATTGCAATCACATAAACAATCAAAGAGAAATAGTTGAGTAAAAATCACAACAATTGTTTAACAAAACAACTTGCAACTTCTTCATTCTTCACATAAATATCACAAAGTAAACACCTCTGAGAGTTCAAGCTAAGCGATAGTAACAATTTTTTTTAGAAGAAACAAAATTAAGACAAAAAAGCGGGGGTATTCAGAAAATTACAAGTAAGAATAACAAACTGATGGTTAACGGCCTTTTGGTCTAGTGGATGGCATGTGGAATAACATACTGATGGTTAAAGCTTGTGAAATAACAAGGATGGGTCGGATTTGGGATTTAGGATTTGGTTGGGAAAAACAATTACATATTGATGAATACAGAAAAGATGAGTGAAGTCAGACATCAAGCTGAGTTACATACCTTTTCCAACAATTTTGATGCAAACTTTTGCAGAATTGTTTTGTCAAGAACATGACCTCCAATTCGATGAACTTCTTCGCATACACGGAAGAGGAATGAGGTTACATAGAGGGAAGGCATGCATGGGAGCCAAATTCTCAGGTCTGATTGGTTATCATCAGACTGCTCTTGCTTAACTACTGTCTCTTCCCAACCCTGCCCAAATAATGAAAATTATGGTAAATTGTATTCTAATCAACATCACACTTGCAAACGACAAACAGCATAGCGTAATATACCATCAACTTGGTCCTAAACAGAACATAAGCACTCCAATATCTTGGTCAGCAGATGGATGAACACAAAATGTTCTTCAGAAATACTAATAAAACGTGCACTTAAACACACTACTATGTTAAGCCAACCCATGGATTTGCTTTAAAAGCATGCAACCAATTTTACTTCTTCAGGTCTGTTTCATTTAACACCATATCATTAGTCCTGTATTTGTAGGTATAGACAAATTTTTGTGATGAATGTTTGTTTACCATATCATTAGGCCCACTTTCCAATAATCACTGATTATAGGGTGGTTGCTGACCAATTATCAAATTATAATAATCAAGACCACCTTGCAATATCAAGTTTAGGCTGTTTAGCTTCGAAAGTCTCTAAAGCCCCTTCATCTCTCTTTTTTCTAACTGAAAACAGATGAAAAGAAGGATCATTTGCACTTCCCAATTAGCATCCAACAACTAGTTTATTACCAGTCATGTAAGCTCTCAATTTATTTCACTTATACTAATTAAAAGGCATAGTTAATTGATAGCAGCACCGGAAAAGGTACACACAGAAAGCAGTGTGTTAAATGAAACTTACCCTCAGAGGACTTGATGATGACAAAGCATAATCTTTTTCAAGATCATGAGAAAGAATAACTGAAAGCTCATCGGACAACCATGACATCCACAAACCATGCGCTCTAATGCGGAGATCTCGCATAGTTACATTAAGTTCTTCAAGTTTAGGGCTTGCACTTTGGCTTGCTCCAAGCAATGCAGCAGTAGCAGATGAAGTGTGCCTTTTAGAACCCAAGGGGCTATCAAGCACGGGAGAATCAGTGGGGGCTCTAGATTGTCTCAACATGGACGGTAACTTATCGAAAACTGCAGACCCAGTTGCATTTGCCCAAGACCTTGGAGGGCCAAGTATGATGGGAATGTGTTTGGAGTGGTTCTGCAATGCAAACAAGAGTCTCCCAATGAAAAGTGCCCTCTCAACGGTTACCAGCCCTTGCTTGTCTTTGCCACTTTCCAAATTCCCAAGCTCACTATTCAGTTGCATCAATATAACAGATATGGTTTGGTAACATTTATCTTGTAGATAGGGTGCCAGATCCTTTAATCTAAGGGCTGCCTTTGGAGATTCTAAGAAACACAGTAAGTCATCAAGAACCCCCTGACAGCTACCATCCACAGCATCCCTAATACCACTAGCTTGAGGACCAAAATAGAAATTGAGACAATTCTCTTCACAAGGCAGAGCAGAAGTACCCTTCTTACCATGATTGGATTTGGCTTCTACAAACCAAATTCCACCACCAGCACCAAGAAAATCAATGGGTTCACCCTCCTTAACGTTCACGGCCCTCGTGAGCTCCTCAAACCTGCGGTCCACAATCACCTTCATCCTCCCGACAAATGCTGGTTCAAAGATACTGTCCCATAGGTCCGAATCGTCTCCCAGAACAAGTTCACTCATTCTACTCCAAGGCAGGTCAATGTTGGACCCGAAAACATTCTTGAGCCACTCCAAGCTCCCTTCTAATACCTCTTTGCTATTCATAGTCTCCCTAATCAACTTCTCAGCTGAGGCGAGCTCATGGCCGCTGCCAATGGCATCAATGAGAAACCTCCCATTGATCTTATCCACCATCTGGCCTCCACAGTCCTTAAGCCACGAGCGACAAGCCTTGGCAATATAATCCTTCTCCAGCATTCCCATGGCGGCCTCCAGCTTCTCCCTGAACGAGTTCCAAAGCTTGACCTCCTCATCCGGGTTGGGAATTCCACCGAACAGTTGAGATGCAGGTGGGGAACCCAAAACCACTTTGTAAAACAACGGCATGTCGTTCAACACCCGCAAGAAGAGCTCCCCAACCTGCCCCACAGTCACTTGAATCACCCTCAAGGCCTCGCACAGCACCGAAACGACGTCGGAGCACTGCGCATCGACACCGCAGGCGTTGAGTATCTGCGAGACCCACGACTTCCGAGTCTCGAGGAAGAGCGAGAGGACGTGCTCGGGGCGGAGGTCGTCGATCAGAGCAACGGCTGCCAATGCGTCGGCGTAGGAGGAGATGGGCAGCTGGAGCTCCCGATCGAAGAGGCGGTCGCGGGCGCGCTGAGAGATCTGAGACTTGAAGCTATCGACGATCTGCCACTGGTGCTGGAGCAGAGGGAAGTTGGAGAGGAAACGCACGTGACCGGGGAGCGTGAGGATGGAGTGCACGTGACTGGCGCGGGAGTAGCGCGCGGCAGACTCGAGGAACATGGACTCATCGAGGCAGCCCCAGATGTTCTCGGGGGTGTCGACGAGGTACTTGACCCGGCAGGCAATGCCGTAGATGCGGTGGCGGGTCGGGTCGTGGCGGGAGGGGTCGGGCGGGTCGGGGGTGGAGGCGGAGGAGGAGAGGGAATCGATGGAGGCGTGGACGGAGGAGATGTTAAGGGAGATGGAGTGGGAGGAGCGCTTCATGAGGACGATGGAGTCGGCGGAGTCGATGAGATCGCGGTAGCGGGTGCCGACGAGCTGGCGGAGCTCCTCCATCTTGGATTGGATCTGGGTTCGGGTGGTGGACTCGACGGTTCGGATCTCGGAGATGGGTTTGGAGCGGAAGAGGGCCTCGGCGTCCCTGGAAGCCGCGGCGGCAGTTAGGGAGGCGGTGGAGGTGGCGCCGCCACTGAGGCCATCGCCGGAGCTCACTCTCATTATCGATTGTTGGGATTTTTGGGTTGGGTGAGTTCAGAGACGACGAGGCGGTTGCGGTTGCAGTGGATCAAAACGACATCATTCTCCCTCTTTTTTGTGTTTTTGATCAATTCGTTCGTCTTCGTCCTTCATTAATCGAATCGAAGTTGTTAAAACTCTAGTCAAGCTGCTAATTTTGCCTGGTAGATGCTCAACTTGGACCTGCATTGTGGGCTTTTTTAGTCTGTTTGTTTTTGGGCCCTCATTTGTTGCGACTCGCGAGAGAGACAGAAATTTAACAAGTAGAAGAAATCTCAATTTTGCTCACACAACAAAACTACAAATTTTCATGCAATCATATATATTTTGAATACCGTTTTCGTCATTGTATTTTACACAAAGTTTCAACTTAGTCACTGAGAAACAAATTTAGTCAAATTGATCAGTGTACTCTCAAAATAGTATAATCGGGCGGTTGTACTCGCTTTTTTTTTTCAAATTTTTTATTAAAAATCATATAGCCATGCGGCTATACTTATTCCCACACGTGGACGCCTGATCGCAAGGGGGTCCTCTTTTTTATACCTATAAATTGTATAGCCGCACGGCTATACTCGGTCTTTTCTATTTTTGTAAAAATGGTATAGCCGGGTGGCTGTACTCGGTTTTTTCCCCTTTTTTTGGTCTAAATCGTATAGACGAGCAGCTATACTTGCTTTTTTATTTTTTTATTCTAAAAATAGTATAGTCGGGCGGCTACACGTGAGCGCTAAATCGCAAGGGGGTTCTCCTATTCTTACGTATATAAATACGGCTATACTCGGTTTTTGTTGATTTTATTTTAAAACTAGTATAGCCGGACGGCTATACCCATTATTTTTCTGATTTTGTTTAAAATTAAAAAAACCTCTCCCGACGAAATATCGTCGGCAGAGTGCTATGTTAATAAATGTTTGCCAAGTTAGACATCCCCACACGAATGAAATTTTTTCATTAAATAAAGATAATATAGTAAATTAACAAATTTTCATATTTTCATATTTTAAAAATTTTAAAATAAAAAATAAAATAATAACATGGATCATATTTTCTTGGCACACAACAACCAAATCATTTTCCTCTTTTTAAGAAAAAGACAAATATATTATCCGAGGGACAAAATATCAAATACATATTATTTCAAAAAGAAATTTGAAATTGCCGTAGAAGTGGGTGTAGAAAAAGTGAGAAAACACTTTTGATAAGAACCACACAACATTTCTTTCGAGAAGGACCCATGATCAGTATTATTGAGTGCATAGAATTAGTTGTTGTGATAAATTTTTTTTTTTTTAAGGGTTTATTTGTTGAAATGCTCCTTGTAGTTTTTAAATAGTCTTAGTTTGCCCTATGACTTTTTAAATAACTCAATCTTCCCTCTGAACTTCCATTTTGTGACCAATGTTGCCTTATTACGTTAGTTTTCATATAAAAATTGTTAAATCAGCTGACATGATATGGGTATTTTGGTAAATGTAACTATTAAAAATTCAAATTAAATATAAAAAATTCTTAAATTTTTAACAATACCCAACGGCTCCTCCCAACTCCTGAGCTCGACAGTCTTGTCAAACCCCTCATCTTCTCTCTCTTCCCACCGATTCTCCTTCTCATCTCTCCATCTCCTCCCCTGCTATCTCTCTCATCTCTCCCTATCTTCCCCTATAACTTAGATCTGGAGGAGAGAGTGACGCCGGGGAAATATCTCCTCTGTTCACAGATAAGAGGGTTCCCAAGATGGCTGATTCTAGGTATGCCTAGATATAATTTCTATAAATTTAAAGCATTGTCGGGTTCCCTCAGCTAGTACTTTGTCAAATGCTAGAAAATAGTGGCTTGTTCATCATGGCTCAATGTGAAGAAATCTTCCCTAGGAGAGGCTCAAAACGCACACGTGACCATCTTCTATGGCGAACAAGTAATCGTGTTCAACGGAACAATTGACAGAGAGAGGAATTAGGTGAAGAGTTATCAGTGGGTTGCAAGGATGGACTGACTTTGACGGTTTTACTCCTCAATTTCACGAAACAATTGACAGACTTTGACGGTCGGACCGAAAAATTTAATCAATAGACCAAAATGAAACTGAAGCAATAACTGGGGGTGACCAAAAATTTAGTCTCTGAAAAGTTTCTGTCAAAAACCATATATATTTAATAATTTATTGACCCATAGTCTTATAAAGAGTTCAAATGAACTCTAAATTTCCAATGTGGGACAAAGTTCAACTCAAACTAGCTTATAAAGCCAACATCGGTTAATATAAAGCTCTTCTAAGTTTAAATTTCCTTGCTTAAATCAATCCAGACCAAATTAATCTCTCATAGATGTCCTCGTTTGAATTGAAATTGTGGTTTTTTTTTTGGGTACTTCTTAGCTGATCTCGATTGTGATTTGCCTGATCTAAGGTAATTTAGTGTTGGTTAGGTGGCATGGGTTTAACCTTTGTATAGTAAAGGAATTAGAATGCAAAGAGAACTAAATTAGTTTTATCAAACTATTTTTTTTATAATAAAAAAATTGTGGTAAATTATGAAAGTAAAATCAACAACTTATTACTAGTCTAGTTGTCTTTGTTAATTTTCATTTCTCCAACTTATTGTGGTGCATCAAGGCATGCTCGTAATAAGTGGATTGTCAGTGGATTGTCAGTGCATCAAGGCATCCCGCACTTGATTTTCCTTATGTCTTTTTTCTTTTGACTGACCTATAAATTAGTCACTAACGACTTTGTCTAATAAATTCTCATGACTTGCCAATTGCTTTGACCTCCAAAGTTTACCAAACAAATAGAAATAATTTGTTAATAATCGTATTTCCTATCATAATTTACTTCTTCATTCATTATTTATAGGTTTTTTTAAATAAAAAAAAAAAGGACGAATGAGGTCTAACTCAATGAAAAAGGACATTGACTTGTAAATAAGTGGTCGCAAGTTTGAATTCTCATGACACATTGACAGCGCGTATACCCCATGTAGTACGGTTTTCAATTTATGTCTAATTAATTTAGGAGGAGGAAGTGTCATGCAAATAATCATTAACTTTCTTTTTCATTAGTGTGTCCCAAACAAAAAAAAAAAAAAAAAAAAAAAAAATTTGTTTGGATCTGCTGCTGATAGAAACCCACACGATTTTTTAATGAGGATGGACCATGAGTGCATTTTCTAATTAGTGGCAAGCATAGGCATCACCCCACACATTCTTTCATTTCTAGTCTTTTTTTCACTTGGCGGACCTTAATTCAATAAAGGGAGGGGTTGTAGGTGATTTAAAATGAATTTTATGGGTCTAAGCTCAATTTATCAAAAATTTAAGAGATGCATTATGTTGAAGAATATGAGTCCCACATCGGAAACTTGACTAAATAAAATACAAAATATAATGAATGGTTCTACAATTAATAACACCGAGGCCTTTTGTGATAAAACCCCACACCTACTTGGCTTTGTAGGTGGTTAAGTTGGGGACAATATCAGTGTTGTTAGTAGTGGGTCGTTGGCCCGTCTCTCTGAATTTAACACATTAGATAGGATGTACTTTTCTTGGATATCAGGTTTATTGAGTTCACGAACGCCTCCTCACACATAAAAATAATTACAATCACTGAAACTAACTCAGAATTTAGTTTGGATGAGATAAAATAACTCAAAATTTAGTTAAAGCTCTTCTAAGTTTAAATTTCCTTACTTAAATCAATTTGCCTGATCTAAGGTAATTTAGTGTTGGTTAGGTGGCATGGGTTTAACCTTTGTATAGTAAAGGAATTAGAATGCAAAGAGAACTAAATTAGTTTTATCAAACTGCTTTTTTTTAATTGTGGTAAATTCTGAAAGTAAAATCATCAACTTACTAGTCTAGTTGTCTTTGTTAATTTTCATTGCTCCGACTTATTGTGGTGCATCAAGGCATGCTCGTAAGTGGATTGTCAGTGTGTAGAATTAGTGGTGATAAGAAAAAAAGGCATCCCGCACTTGATTTTCCTTACGTCTTTTTTCTTTTGACTGACCTATAAATTAGTCACTAACGACTTTGTCTAATAAAACTCTCATGACTTGCCAATTGCTTTGACCTCAAAGTTTACCGAACAAATAGAAATAGTTTGTTAATAATTGTATTTCCTATCATAATTTACTTCTTTATTCATTATTTATAGGTTTTTTTTAAAATAAAAAAAAGACGAATGAGGTCTAACCCAATGAAAAAAACATTGACTTGTAAACAAATGATCACAAGTTCGAATTCTCATGACACATTGATAGTGTGTGTATCCCATGTAGTGCAATTTTCAATTTAGGTCTAATTACTTTAGGAGGAGGAAGTGTCATGCAAATAATCATTAACTTTCTTTTGATTAGTGTAACCCAAAAAAAAAAAAAAAAAAAAAAAAAAAAATCTACTTGATAAAAACCCACACAATTTTTTTACGAGGATGGACCATGAGTGCGTTTTCTAATTAGTGGCAAGCATAGGCATCACCCCACACTTTCTTTCAATTCCAGTCTTTTTTTCCACTTGACAAGCCTTAATTCAATAAATGGAAGGGTTGTAGGTGATTTAAAATGAATATTATATATCTTGAATTAGAAAATAGGGCATCAAATTTCCGAGTTTAATTTCCACCAAAATAGGCGTCATTTCACAATTTCCATAGTGCCATTTACAAAATTTGACATACATAAATCCAAAAACTGAAATCTTCAATTGCCAGAAATTGAAATAATGGAAATATAAATTCCGTCATTTTAGAATTCTATGTAATTTTTAATTCTTTCATCTAAATGGAGGGTAATAGTGTGCCTTTTCCCTAGAAATCAAATAGACAAGAGAAAAATCAAACCTGCAACTTAGAAAAAACCAAATTCATATAGATAAAGAAAAGAAAAGAGGTAAAATGGAAAAGAAAAAAAAAGGAGGTTCACAAAAAAAACCCATCAAAGCAGCCTATCATATAAAAAACACATTAAGTCCAAAACTTTTTAATAAAAAACCTAGTGGACTATTTAAATGGCTCAAAATTACTAAATGGCCTTAAAAACTAATCAAAATTAAAAATAACCAAAATAAAGGCCTACCAACAGACTCACCTATAATTAAACTAATTGCACATCCCAATTTCCACAAGAATAAAAAACAACGCTAATATATACACATTTATATGTATGATGCTACTACACTTTTATATGTATTAACAGTTCATACCACAACTTTTTTTGAATTTACAATTACCGAGATGATATAGCAATTGCCAAAAGAAAGTCTAATGAAAAATAAATGACATTATGCCAAAATATTTCCTACACGTTATGAAAGACTAGCTTTTTAAAATCTTAGTCATTTGCTCCATTGAACTTGAACTCCTTATTCACGTCTTGTTTAAGTCAGTCAACTCGAAGTAAAAGATCAGTGACCGTCCCTTTCATTTTGTCAATTTTCATATTTTTTCTCTCTCTTGACGTGTTTACTTTGGCAAACTAGATTGGAGCTTCCAAGCAACATCCCATCAAAGCTCCAGGCAATAACACAGCAAAGAGGTCAAGTCACCACCGTCAATAACAACTTTCACTATCATTGTGGGGTTGTACATAGAAAATAGGGGATGCTCTAATACCTCAGATACCATGCTAAGATTTTAAAGTGACTGACCCTTGGTTCATTTACTAGCAACATCGATATTGTCCTCAACTTAATTACATGTTTAGTAAGTGTGGAGTTTTATACAATTGGCCTCGATGTTATTAGGGGTAGAGCCATTTATTATATGAGGACTTTCTATTTTGTTAAGTATCCGATGTGGGACTTTGTGTATTCTTCAATATCTTTGTTACAAGCTCTGCAATTAGGCCATTGTGTTAGTTTATGGGAGAAGAGTTTTAGGAAATGGTTGGTTTAGTATTTAGGACAATAGCTTAATTTGGAATGGAAAACTTTTGAAAGGGTAACAAAGTAGTTTTATTAGAATGAAGTAGGAAAGGTACAAGGCTTTGGATATAGGACAGCTGTAGTTTTCAGCTTGATTACTTGAGTTGGCTGTAGGCATATTTATACAGATGCTAAGTTGGCAATTTTGCTTGGACAAGTCGGTTGCATAGTAACCGACTTATCTAAAGTCATTTTTAGCCACAAGTTAGTCCTATAATTCTAGAATTCTCTAGTTACAATTACAATAGATCATTATTAGGATTGTTCTAGTAAGAGTCAACAAGTTTTACTTAGTAATTCTCTCAATTATTCTAAAATTTTCTAGTTTTGCCACACAAGTGTGCACTAATATTTAACACATTGATTGGCCTACAACGACAAAATGAAGAAAATCTGAAAAAAGAGGACTTTAATGAAAACATTCCAAGCTCGTGAGAAAAGAGGACTTTAATGATAAATTATGTGTTTAGGACAAAACAGTTGAAAGGGGAAAAGTAAATGATATTCTATTCTATGTGAGAAGAGAAGATCCCGTTTGGACACGTCCTCTCCCCCAAAGATGTATAAATAGCACTGTAGATGACTCATTATTGCTCACAGAGTAAGTATTTAGCTCATGAATATGGGTAGCACTGTTGTCAGGTTTCTAAGCATTGCAACCTTATTTACCATTTGCTTATTATTATGCAATGCAAATCTGAGTGCGCCTTGCAAACAAAATGAGAGACAAGCACTTTTGATGTTCAAGCACGATCTTGAAGATCCTTCAAATCGGCTTTCATCTTGGGTTGGCAAAGGAGACTGTTGTAATTGGACGGGAGTTGTCTGCGACAATTTAACAGGTCATGTCCGCGAGCTACACCTTGCCGGATATGTGGACATGTTAAGTGGTAAGATAAATCCATCTCTACTCAATTTAAAGCATCTTACCTACTTGGATCTAAGCAACAATTATTTTGAAGGAATGCAGATTCCTAGCTTCTTAGGTTCTCTCAAAAGTTTAAGATATCTTAACCTCTCAGACTCGTCGTTCGTCGGATTAATTCCTCATCAATTGGGAAATCTAACGAGTCTACAGGTTCTTGATCTGCACAATAACGATTTGGAGGTTGAGAGCCTTCAATGGATTTCTGGTCTTTCTCAATTGCAACACTTGGACATGAGTGGTGCAAATCTTAGCAAAGCATCTGATTGGTTGCGGGTGACAAACACACTCCCGTCTTTGGTAGAGAACTTGGTTATGTCTGATTGTGGACTTTATCACATACCTGGTGGTATTGCCAACATGACTAATCTTAAATTCCTTAATCTCGGGGGCAACCCTATCAGTTCTACTATACCTAAATGGTTGTACAGGCTTAGCCATCTTCAGTCCCTAATTCTTTCCTTCAATTTTTTTCATGGTGATATCTCGTCTTCCCTTGGAAACCTCACATCCATTGTCAATCTTGATATGTCGAGGAACAATCTCAATGGAAGCGTGTCAGAAATTTTTGAAAGTTTTTCTAGGTGTAGTTCAGGTCAAATGGAGTCATTGAGTCTGTCAGATAACAATCTTTCTGGCCAATTAACAGATAAGCTTGATCATTTTGAAAAGTTGCGCGTCCTTGAGCTTGCTAATAACTCACTATCAGGTCCCCTTCCACCGTCCTTTGGCAATCTGTCATGCCTAGAAGTTTTGAGAATTGGTGATAATAATTTAACAGGTGTTGTCTCTCAACAACATTTCACTAATCTTACAAGATTGGTGGAATTTGACGCACGTGGAAACTCATTGACTCTTGAAACTACTCCACACTGGCTTCCTCCATTTCAACTTTCTATTTTGGTTTTAGATTCTTGGCATCTGGAGCCATCGGAATTCCCCATGTGGCTTCAGAGTCAAACGCAGTTGGAGTCTCTTAGCATGCCCAACACAAGAATTTCAGGTACCATTCCGACTTGGTTTTGGAACTTTTCTTCCTACTTAGTGTATATTGATCTCTCTGAAAATGAATTGTATGGTGAGGTTCCACATATATTTCCCAGTCCGCAAGATCAGGAAATTTTCCTAGGTTCTAACCAGTTCAATGGTTCATTACCTTTTGTTTCATCAACATTATATGTACTAGATCTTTCCAACTCATCGTTTTCTGGAACGCTCTTTCACTTCTTCTGTAATAATAATAGTGAACCAAAGGCACTTTCAATTCTTCGTCTGGACAACAATCTTCTATCTGGAAAAATTCCTGACTGTTTCCGAAACTGGGATAACTTGGTAGTTGTAAATTTAGAAAGCAACAATTTAATTGGGAATATTCCAAGGTCTTTGGGCTACTTACTCTCCCTCGAATACTTGCACTTGCGCAATAATCACTTGCATGGGGAGTTGCCTCCATATCTAAAGAAATTTACATATTTGACTATTCTTGACCTTAGTTACAATAAGTTTCTAGGAAAGATACCAATGTGGATTGGAACAAGCCTTTCAAATTTGGTGGTTCTTAGCCTTCGTTCAAATCAGCTTCATGGCCACATTCCGTACAAACTTTGCAATCTCACATATCTCCAAATATTGGACCTCGCACATAACAATCTCTCAGGAAGAATGCCAAGATGTTTGTACAATTTTACAGCAATGAGTACAAACACCACCTTTTCAGAAGATACCCGTTCATACACTAATCCTTTTGGTGCGGACCAAATAGAGAATGCAAACGTGGTGACAAAAGGTAGAGAAGTGAACTATAGAAACGTTCTTTTTAGATTGGCAATTAGTTTGGACCTTTCGGACAACATTATCTCTGGAGAAATCCCTGAAGAACTTACCAGCCTCATCTACTTGCAGACAGTGAATTTGTCAAACAATCTTTTGACTGGAAGAATCCCTCCCAAGATTGGTGATATGAGACGGTTAGAATCTCTTGATTTGTCCATGAATCAACTTTGTGGTCAAATTGCACCAAGTATGTCAAGTTTGACATTTCTCAGTGCCTTGAACTTGTCCTACAACAATTTGACAGGCGAGATTCCGAAAAGTACTCAACTTCAGAGTTTGGATCAATCCAGTTTTATTGGTAATAAACTTTGTGGCCCTCCACTTGAAGTGAACTGCAATAATTCCAAAGGGACAGTACCACCGGTAGCAGATCAGAAACACGGAGGAAGTGATTTGCTTGGAGACGGTTGGTTCTATCTGAGCTTGGGACTAGGATTTCTGTTCGGTTTTTGGAGTGTTCTTGGCTCGTTGTTGTTGAACTTGCCATGGAGCATTGTCTTTTCTCGGTTCCTAAATAGCATTGTGAAGAAGCTTTATAGGGTAATTGTTGAACATTTTTAACTATTGCTGCAGGTAGATTGACCTTGGTTTGTTCTTTTAGATGTTATCGTTTCCAAAAGTTTAAGAGATGCTTTAGATAGGATGTACTTTTCTTGGATATCGATGCTTGTAATCAGGGTTAGGCTTTTAAGTCCCCCCCTTCTTTTTTCAGTTGTTAATCAATAAAGTTATCCCTCGTACTGCAGAGGTTTCTTCCACACAAAAAAGTGATGCTTCAAAAATACGAGTCTACTGAGTTTGAATGGGATGAAAGACAAAAGAATGCAGAGGGATAAATAATCCCAATCAATACGATCAGATGCTTGTTTATATGTTTTTCTTAGGAAAAAAGATAACAACTCATGACAGATGAGAATATTATATATCTTGTGGCCCCTCCCATCTCTTGAGCTTGACGATCTTGTCAAACCCCTCACCTTCTCTCTCTCTTCCCACCAATTCTCCTTCTCATCTCTCCATCTCCTCTCCTACTATCTCTCTCATCTGTCCCTCTCTTCCCCTGCAACTTAGATCTGGAGGAGAGAGTGATGCCGGAGAAATATCTCCCCCAAACTGTACCATGTTCTTCCACAGAATCAAAGGCAACCCAAAGTCCACCATTTCCAAAATTTATATAATTCCTCAGTAAATAACTCAATAAAGTTAAAAATAAAACAGAAGAGCAATCAATACATAGCGTGCGGGGTGATGAATGATGAGTGATTGAAGAGGAAAAGTGGAAGGGGTGTGTGGGTGACAATGATAGAGGAGGAGTGATTGGAAAAAGAACGGGGAATGGAGGAGAGAGACGACCTCGATGACGATGGAGCAGAGGAAGGTAACACGAAGGATAGAGGATGGTGGTCGACGTTGATGTCGAGGTGCCTGGGTTTTTAATTTATTTTTCAAAAAGTTAATTTATTTTTTTCAAAAAGTTAATTTAAACACAAGAATTTCAGGTACCATTCCTACTTGGTTTTGGAACTTTTCTTCCCAATTAGGCAATATTGATCTCTCTGGAAATAAATTGTATGGTGAGGTTCCACCTATATTTCCCAGTTCGCGGAATCAGGAAATTTTTCTAGGTTCTAACCAGTTCAATGGTTCATTACCTCTTGTTTCATCAACAGTAGAAATACTAGATCTTTCCAACTCATCGTTTTCTGGAACGCTCTTTCACTTTTTCTGTAATAATAATAGTGAACCAAAGGCACTTGAAATTCTTCATCTGGGCAAGAATCTTCTATCTGGAAAAATTCCTGACTGTTTCAGAAACTGGGCAACCTTGGTAGTTGTAAATTTAGAAAGCAACAATTTAATTGGGAATATTCCAAGGTCTTTGGGCTACTTACTCTTCCTCCAATACTTGCACTTGCGCAATAATCACTTGCATGGGGAGTTGCCTCCATATCTAAAGAAATGTACAGATTTGACTATTCTTGACCTTGGTTACAATAAGTTTCTAGGAAAGATACCAATGTGGATTGGAACAAGCCTTTCAAATTTGGCGATTCTTAGCCTTCGTTCAAATCAGTTTCATGGCCACATTCCGTACAAACTTTGCGATCTCACATATCTCCAAATATTGGACCTCGCACATAACAATCTCTCAGGAAGAATGCCAAGGTGTTTGTACAATTTTACAGCAATGACCACCCGTTTATACTTTAATCATCCATTTTATATTGTGGGCCGAATAGAGAATGCAAACGTGGTGACAAAAGGCAGAGAAGTGAAATATGGAAACATTCTTCTTAGCTTGGCAGTTAGTTTGGACCTTTCAGACAACATTATCTCTGGAGAAATCCCTGAAGAACTTACCAGCCTCATCTACTTGCAGTCGGTGAATTTGTCTTATAATCTTTTGAGTGGAAGAATACCTCCGAAGATTGGTGATATGAGAAGGTTAGAATCTCTTGATTTGTCCATGAATCAACTTTGTGGTCAAATTGCTCCAAGTATGTCAAGTTTGACATTTCTCAGTGCCTTGAACTTGTCCTACAATAATTTGACAGGCGAGATTCCGAAAAGCACTCAACTTCAGAGTTTGGATCAATCCAGTTTTATTGGTAATAAACTTTGTGGCCCTCCACTTGAAGTGAACTGCAGTAATACCAACGGGACAGTACCACCGGTAGCCGATCAGAAACACGGAGGAAGTTATTTGCTTGAAGACGGTTGGTTCTATCTGAGCGTGGGACTAGGATTTCTGTTCGGTTTTTGGAGTGTTCTTGGCTCGTTGTTGTTGAACTTGCCATGGAGCATTGTCTTTTCTCGGTTCCAAAATAGCATTGTGAAGAAGCTTTATGGGGTAATTGTTGAACATTTTTAACTATTTCTGCTGGTAGATTGACCTTGGTTTGTTCTTTTAGATGTTATCGTTTCCAAAAGTTTAAGAGATGCTTTAGATAGGATGTACTTTTCTTGGATATCGATGATGCTTGTAATTGGCGTCAGGCTTTAAGTACCCCCTTCTTTTTTTAGTTGTTAATCAATAAAGTTATCTCTCATACCGCCGAGGTTTCTTCTATACAAAAAAGAGACGCTTCAAAAATACGAGTCTACTGAGTGTGAATGGAATGGAAGACAGAAGAATGCAGAGGGATAAATAATCCCAATCAAGACGATTAGAGGCTTATTTATATGTTTTTCTTAGGAAAGAAGATAACAGCTCATGACGGATGAGAATATTATATATATTGAATTAGTAAAAATCAAAAGCCAGGTGGAGGAAGACATTAGATGAACACAGCCAAATCACTGCATGTGTTTCAAAGGGTTGGTTTACTGAGTTCACGAACGCCTCCTCACACATAAAAACAATTACAGTTAGCTATAATTACAGCTTCTATAGGCGTTTGCCACAAGGTATTAAAATATATATATATATATATATACATATATCTATCCATGTTTGCCACATTGTTATTTGGATGACTCCCTTTACAATATGTGTCTTTTGTATTTTTATTCCTTTTAATACCTTTTTATAAATAAATAAAAGTCTCTAAATTACACCCTATTCAATTACATACAAATTTACATGGAATATCACAAAATAGTGGAAAACAAAAATCAAAATATTGAAATGAAATCAGCACAATAAATAGAGACAATAAAGCTATAAAACAATACATTAAGTAGGGGTATTTTTGGATACGAAATATATTAAGTTTGAGATATTAAGTCTAATTAAGTAACTTGTTTAATTGGATCCTAGTCATTAGATTTTACTTATAAAAATCTAATTTTATTTATATAAAAAATAAGATGATAGACTACACGTAAGAAAAGAAAAAAAAATTAAGAGAAAAAGCCAAATTTACTCCCTATTTGGTAAATGAAAAAATAATCTGATTTTAAGAATAATTGCTGTCAGCCACATCGATTTGACAAAACTGCTAGGAGGGTGATTTCATTTCCACTTATGCGGAAAGCGGTTTGGGGAACGGTGCTCTTTAATGAATGTTTCGTAAATGCCCAAATTATCCTCTTAGGCTTTTACAAATGACATCTAGTGTCCTCTTCACTTTTGCTGAACCTTCCTTTCTCTTCCCTCACGATCAGTACTCAGTTATTCTTCTTCCTCATCTTGTTTTTTTTTCCTCATCTTCTCTTCACACCTTTTTCTTGAAATTGTCTCCACGATTCCTGCTACCTAGATTTAAGGTTTGTTTCTCATCTTTAAAAAAAAAACAAAAAAAATTTCTCCCTTCATTTCTAGGTTGTATTCTCAAACAAAGTTTTACTCCGCATCACCCTCGGGGCGGGTTGCTATGAATTTATTGGTTTTGTTGGATCACTGGCGTATTTTCTTTACTCTCTTTCTAGGTTTCAATGGAATGCTATGAATTGATTTTATAAAAACAGAAAAGAAAAAAAACGGGGGGACTCATCCTAGCTTCTGGGTTCTAATGGATGAGCCACATATCGCATCTGGAAAGAGGGGGCTCATCATACCTTCTCGAAAATGTCATTGTCTAGTAGGTGGAAAATTCTCAATAAAGAGTTGGGAAAATGGAGAGATGCCTTGGCAAAAGCGAAAGACAACCATAGAAGCGGGGAAAATCTTAGTAGCGAGGTAAATATTTTGTAATTTTCGTTTTATTTAGTTTAATGTCCTAATATATATATATATATATTTTTTAATGTTTCTTGCATTTCTAATTTTTTCTCTTAATATTTCTTTCATAAATAATATTGCGTTAATGTATCTTGCATTTCCAATTTTTTCTTAATCATTCTTGCATTTTCAATAATTTGTAATGTTTCTTGCATTTCTAAACAATTTGTAAATGTTTTCTGCATTTCCTTTTTTTTATTATTATAAATTATGCAAGCACAAATGTGGTTTGGTGATATTGGGCAAGGCAAAAAAGTTTTCAACCATGACCAATGTTGGGAGGTGGTAAAGAATTGTCAAAGATTCCAAATTATTCCAACGGGTCCAACCGTTGTGTTGAACGAGATGTCACTCCACGATTCATCGGCATCGGATTCGCCTTTAGATTTCTTAATGAGTCAAGACTCACCCATCCAAAAGGAGCCGAGGCCTTGGGAGAAAGGCGGCGAAGGCGAAGAGGGAGTAATTCTAGCAATAATACATCTAAATTTTTGGAGGAAATTGCAAGGCAAAGCGCCATAAGAATTGAAATAGACTTGAAAGCCCAAGAAGACGAGAGGGCAATTCAAGTAGAATATGCAAAAGAATGGGAGTATGCATGCCAAGAAAGGGAGTATGCATGCAGAGAAAACATTGAGAAGAAGGATCAAGAAACATGACCATGGATACAAGCCATATGTCTTCTGAAACAAAACAATTTTAGAAGCTAGAACAAAGGGATGTTATGAGAAGAAGATTTTTTCGAGACGATGGACCTAGCAACACGGATTGGTTAAATGATCAAAACCATTAAGTATTAGTAGACCAACATTTTATGAGGGACAAATACTAAAAGGGGAAAAACCAAGAAGCAAAGGGATGATTACGCATTACGCTTGCAATAAAAGCATCCGACCCTATTTTTTATTGCAGGAAAAACACAACAGGTTCACTCTATATATCGAATATAGTACGTAATATTTGCAAACCACAATTACACCATACAATGCTATTTAGGAACCGACAAAGAACAAAGCTAGTCCCATGCCCATATAGAACCAATTATGTTCGATTGTATGGCTTCCTCCGTGTTTCCCAATTGCCACATTTCTGAGTGGAGGTCCACAAAGCTTATTCCCAACAAAACTAGACTCATCAAAGGTCTCAAATTGACGGCCTCTTGGAATCTGTCCCGTGAAATTGTTATAGGACAAGTTCAAAGAACCGAGCGATGAAAAATTCGTGATGCTCGGAGAAATTTCACCAGAAAGTTGCTTAATGGACAAATCAAGAGATTCTAACTGTGTCATGTCACCAATCTTCGATGGGATTCTTCCAGTCAAAAGATTATTCAATTCCCCCCAGATATATTGTTGTATGAAAGATCCAAGTTAATTACCAAAGTAAGCAATGTGCTATATGTAAGTTCTCTACCTTTCCTAACCAAGATCGCATTATCTTTGTACTTGCCATAAAAACCATGCATATCTGAAGAATGAAGATGAATCGCTCCATTTTAACTCGGTAGTCCGCTCTAAAATTGCCGAAACATATTGGTATTGTCCCGACAAGATTATTATGTGTGAGGTCCAAGATTCGAAGACTTGGGAGATTGTAGAGTTCATAAGGAATATCTCCATGAAGCTTATTCGAACGAAGGATGAGAACCATCAATTGTGAAAGGCTTTTCCCTATCCATGTTGGTATGCTTCCAATAAAATTGTTCTCTCCAACGTCAATAAGTAGCAAGTTCCTACAATTCTGCAGTGACAGAGGCAATTCTCCAGAGAGGTGATTATTGCGTAAATGCAGTGATTGGAGGAAAATTAAGTGTCCAATGGAGCTCGGAATGGTCCCGGTTAAATAGTTGTTTTCTAAATCGACCACGATCAAGTTTTTCCAATTTATCCAACAATCAGGAATCTCTCCTGTGAGATGGTTGTCGCCAAGATAAAGACTTGTGAGCTGCTTTGATTCATCTGTCCTGTCACAAAGAAAGTGAAAGATAGATCCGGAGAATGATGAATTGGAAAGATCTAGCACAGCAACTGTGGAGGAGACAAGAGGTAATGAACCGCGGAAATTGTTATAGCTTAGGTCAACCATTGCTGAAGGGGCAGTAACTATTCTTGGAACCTGCCCGTACAATTGATTTTGAGAGAGATCCACAAATGCCAGAGAAGAAAAGTTCCAAAACCAGATTGGAATGGTACCAGAGATTCCTGTATTGGATATGCTTAGTTCCTCCAAGCGCGTTTGACTCTGAAGCCATCTCGGCAACTCCGGTCCCAGATGCCAATAATTTAAGTGCAACATGAAAAGTTGAAAAGGAGGAAGCCAACCTCTACTGGTTTCCAGAGTCAATGAATTATCATTTGCATGAAGTTCCTCTAATCTTGTTAGATTAGTAAAATGGACTTCAGAGACATCACCCATCAATGAATTATTAGAAATCTTTAATAGTTTTAAGCATGACAGACTTCCTATGGACGGTGGAATGGGACCAGATATTGAATTACTAGAAAGATCAAGGACGGCTAAGTTTTTAAAATTTCCTAGCTCATCTGTGAACTCTCCAGAAAGATTATTATAGGATAAGCTCAAAGACTCTAGTTGACTTGAATTACAGCTAGAAGAACTTTCAAAGATTTCTGATACCCTTCCGCTAACATCGTTCCAGGACAGATCAAAAACAGTCAACTTACAGAGATTTTTCAATGAATTTGGGATTTTCTCTCCAAGTTGATTATGATTGAAATCAAGATTGACAAGGGCTGTCAAGTTTCCAATGGAACTTGAAATATCAGCATGCAAATGATTGTCTGAGTGAATGAGGTATTCAAGATGGCTAAAGCTGTACAACCATTTTGGTATGGTAGAACTGATAGAGTTCCTCTGAAGATTAAGAACTCTAAGACTAGTCATGTTGGCAATACCACCTGGTATGTGATGAAGTCCACAATCAGACATATCTAAGTACTCTACCAAAGAAGGGAGCATGTTTGTCTCCTGCAACCGGTCAGATGCTTTTCTAAGATTTACACCATGCATGTCCAAGTACTGCAACAGAGAGAGACCAGAAATCCATTGAAGGTTATTAACATCAAAATAGTTACCGTGGAGATCGAGATGGTGTAGACTAGAGAGGTTTCCCAGTTGATGAGGAATCACTCCCTGAAAATCTTCTTGTGAGAGATCAAGATATCTTAAACTTGCAAGAGAACCGAAGAAGTCTGGAATCTGGCTTCCGTCAAAGCTATTCTTGCTTAAGTCCAAGTAATTGAGATTCTTTAAATTGAGCAGAGAAGGATTTAGCTTACCGCTCAAATAGTAACTACCAAGGCGGAGCTTGCGGACGTGACCGGTTAAGTTGTGGCAGACAACTCCAGCCCAATTGCAGCAGTCTCCTTCACCAACCCAAGATGAAAGCAGATTTGAAGAATCATTAAGCTCTTGCTTGAACATCAAAAGGGCTCGTCTCTCGATTTCTTTGCCATAAGGCACACCCAGATTTCCATTGCATAAACAAATGATAATGGTAGCAATGCTTAGAAACCTGACAAGTAAAACAACTCCTCCCATGGCTCTATGAATAAGGTTGTATTGATTAACCTGATGTGTATGAGCAATGAGTTATCTGAAGTGCTATTTATCTGAAGTGATACTTTCTTCTTACTAGCAGAAGCAGGATCAATCATCAATGACCTTCAAGTCCTTTCAGAGACTTCTACGAAATTACTGCTCAAGTCCTCCAACTTTTAGGGAAACTAAAATTAAAAACAAAGAAAAAAGAAAAAAATAAATGGGAATGTGCAACAATACCCCAAAAAGGTCAGTCAACATAAAATTGTTCAAAGTCACTAGATGAAGAGCGTCCTCACTTATTTTCTGAATACATCCCCATCAGGGGATGGAGATGGACCATCAGTGAATAGGATTAATTAATTGTGATAAGAAAAGGCAACGCTGACGGTCGTTTTGGTTTTGTCATTTTTCATTTTTCTTCTATTGACGGACTTGTTTTTGGACCTATTAGTCCATACCGACTTTGTCTACCATATGAGGGGCTGGATATGTAGAAAAAAAAAAGAGAGGCTTTTGTTTTTTTTGGTGACTCTCCCAGTGCTTGGGCTTCAATGGACAACTATTTCCCTGATCAGATCTTTTAATTTCAATCTTGACAGCACAAGGTTAATATAACATAACAGAGAGAATGCAATGTTGTTGGTGACAAAAGGTAGAGAAGTGAAGTGTAACACATTGCTTGGACCTTTCAAGCAACATCCCATCTGGAGAGATGTGAGATTGTTAGTGGTCCGATACAAACTTATGATGTGTAAGTCCCACATCAAAGAATATAATAATACCTTATCAAAAAGAATATAATAATTATCTACAATTCAAATATAGGTGGTCCACTATTGATAAAAAATATATCATATATATAGGTAGTCCACTCTTAATTACATCGATGCTTTTAAGTATAAAACTCACACCTCGAGGTCCGTTAGGCCTAACTCAACCCTTTGAGAAATGGCTTGGTCAATTTCCAGGGAAGTAACTGTTGGTTATCCAAATCAGAGACACATGGTTCCAAGATTCTTAAGAAATACTTTTTTGGTTGCAAGGAGGTCCTAAACCCTATATATAAATATCCCATGGCTCTTTCTTACCATAAAAATTGAATTCTGGCACAACGTTGCTATACTTAAATGGTGTGCCAGAAACCTTGTTAAGAAGATAATACCTCAATAACTCATCATCGCTTGGACGAAACTTAAATCCAATTGGAACATCAACATACTCACAAGGTGCCATATATAAGTATGTGTAGGTTTGTTAAAGATGAAATATTTCTTGGTTTCTTGGAATGGACGTTTCTCCGGGATTTTGAGTAGCAGATAAGGGAGCTTCTACAATGAGGAATTAAAGTGAGGAGGTTATTTGAGGAGACCGATCCGACCGTCAAAACATTTAAAATATTTAAGTCCCATGATTTCTTTACATTTGTTGATGGTGAGATTTGACCTCCTCAAATAACCTCCTCACTTTAAGCCCTCATTATAGCCTTTCCGAGCAGATAATGGATGCTTGAATGAGTTTCTTGGAGAGATGTGGGTTAGGGCTTTTGTGATTTCTGTGTGAATTAGTTCTTTCCCTTCCAATATATGGCCCAGGGCCAATACGGCAACGGCAATAAAAAAACGTGGGCTCAAAGTCCCGAAAAAATCGTCAACAAATTACGAAACCCACTTTTCATGTGATAGAGTTGTCCACTGTTCAATAATAATAAAATCATTGGGCTTCGGCCCTCCTTGTAACCAAAAAATAATAATAAAAACAGAACTAGTGTGTTGAGAGAGAGAGAGAAGAGAGAGAAAGTGAAAGAAGCGGCAGGGGAGGATGAGGCGGAGTCGGAGCAGAAGATGTTCGATTATCGCTAGTTTCTGCCCATCCATCACTCACTGCCCTCCAAACTCCCATTCATAAAACCAAACTTCACACCCCACACACTCACACACCAACCCAGGAAGAAGAAAAAGAACGGAGAAGAAGAAGAAGAAGAAATTACCAGAAAACCAGCCACAATCAATAATGGGGAAGGGCCCCTTCTCTTTCAAGCGAAGCAGTAGCAGCAAACGCCGCCCCAAGAAGTTCATTGGCCCCCCACCTTCCCCTTTCCCCTCGCCGCCGCAGCCGATGAGATCTCCGCCAACAAACAATAACAATGCCAATTATAATAATAATCTGGGTGTGGTGGCGGGTGGTGCTGCTGCTGTAAAGGGGAAGAAGAAGGCCGGAGGAGCCAGGCTCTGGATGCGATTTGACAGCTTCGGCGGATCAGAGCTCGTCGAGTGCGACAAGAACGCTATCATTCGGCGCGCTGCCATTCCCGCCCGAGACCTGAGGATTCTTGGCCCTGTCTTCTCCCATTCCTCCAGCATCCTTGGTACTTCTCCAGTTTATTTTTATTGAATCAATTAAGTTGTTTGTTTTGTTAATTGTGTTCATTTGTGTTCTGGGTTTTCGAAATTTTATGAATTTATGCTACATTAGGTGTCTTTTAGGAGATTGAGATTCTGGGTTCTGAGTGCAATTTGTATTAGTTGGTTTTCCTTGTCCTGTTTTTGTTTGGGTCTTCCACCACTAACTTGGTTGTGGAGTTGTAGTTTTAGGGTGTTGCCAGGAATGCTTTGTGCAAATGGATTGGTAAGCAGCCTACTCGTACATTTGAAGTTACCGCGTAGGACCTTCGGATTGTTGGACTACATGTACACCATGATCGTGGCAAAAGTTTTAGCTCCTGATAATTATGTTTTCCTCATTGCAATTGCAGCTAGGGAGAAGGCCATGGTGGTTAATTTAGAGTTTATAAAGGCTATAGTTACAGCTGAAGAGGTTCTGTTGCTTGATCCTCTTAGGCAGGAGGTTCTTCCATTTGCAGATCAGCTAAGGCAACAGCTTCCTCAGAAAAGCCAATCCAGGATTGAAGAAGCAAGTCCACTTGATGAACAAGATAATGGAATGGATGTTTCAACAGGAAGGCAATGGTTACCTGTTCCAGAGGCCACTGAAGGTTTGCAGTGTGATCTCCCATTTGAGTTTCAGGTTCTGGAGATTGCATTAGAGGTTGTCTGTACATTCTTGGATTCAAGTGTGGCAGACCTTGAGAGAGAAGCTTACCCAGTGTTGGATGAACTTGCCAGAAATGTTAGCACCAAGAACCTTGAACTTGTGCGGAGTTTGAAAAGCAATCTTACCCGTTTGCTTGCACGTGTACAGAAGGTATGCTTGCTTAATCGTTCTTAATGAGGATCTCTTTATTATATTTGTCCAGATGATCCGCACGTCATTAATCGTATGTCTCACATCAATAATCTGACCCATCTTGGAGTCAAGTTGTTTGTCGAGTCATAATCCTTGTGATATTTCGATTTGTTTTGATAACTCAAAATCTTCCTGGAGCATTGATGCCCTAAATAATACAAAACTGTGAATATCAACATAAAGCAGTAAATGTTAGCTTGTTGTTGGTAGTAGGGGCTATCTTAAAATGCATTCAATTGACTAATAAAAGCACCTATAGATTCATTCAGCGTAAATTTTTGCCTTCCTGGTCACTCTAGTTGGTTGTCTTGGCATTAATGTTGTGGTTGTTTGGTACACTGAATAGCCATTATTATGGAATCTGATTTCATTTAGTTACCTTGGTCTTTGTTTCGTAATTGTAGTGAGGTCGGAATACAATTTTTTTCTCTTCATAGCCTCTCCCGCATTCAAGCCGTATGAAATTGTCTAAGGCTTCTGGCTTCTAAATCCCAAACTTTAAATAACACCTTAGCCTAAGTATAATGTAACTGTAATATATATCCACTTAGGAAATTGAAATTACGACGTTAAAGATGTCATAATTCCATTTTCTAAATGCTCTTATGGATGAGTAACATGCAGGTTTGAATAAGTTTTAAGAGGGTGGCTCATGTTCTGGGCAATAATAGATAAATTTGTGATGAGATTTATTTTCTTAACATGCTTCCTGCCTGGTCTCATGGATATGAAGTGAATGACATCAGAGTTTGAGCTTTACTATATTGGTCATCAATGTTTCTACTTGATGGGGTGGCAAACCCAATATCCCCATAGATTGTTTCATTTTCTTTATAATAAAATTAAACTCAAGTCCGACCAAAAAATAAATAAACTTAACTGCTGTCACTTTTGCTAGGGAAGAGGCTGGGGCTATGTATAACTGAAAGATGTACTTTTCTCATGGCAGCTTGCTGGTTTCCTGTTATAAGTGGATTTTGGAGATGGATAATTTTTTAGGTGCATGTGATTTAGATATTTCTCATTGTGTCAGATAGAGGGTTTGCCTATTTCAGTATTATGCTGGACTATAATCAAAAGAGCCTTTTTGGCTCTCTTTACCTCTATGTCTCTTATCCTTAGGAGGTTTTCTTCCACTAGGATGTGTTTTTCTGCAGAACTCCATTTTTTCTTGTTTGGATTGTAGCATGTACACTTTTTGTAAATGGTTGGTTACTTTTTAAAAATAAAAATAAAAATATTCCTTGCCTTGCACAAATGTCATTTGCTCTACCCAATTTTACCAGATGTCCCCAGAGGTCCCCAAAGGGAAAACTTTCATTTAATCTTGACCATTATTCCCTTTTTCCTCATTGAGTTATTAATGCATGCAGAAGTCTTTACTAAAAAAATTCAGTCGGAATAGAGAAGTTGGTACTCTTTACTATTTGATAGAATACACATGATATCTATAACTATTTTCTTTTTGGACATGAAGCATGTATCTATCTGATGTCAGGTGAGGGATGAAATTGAGCATTTGTTGGATGACAATGAAGATATGGCGCAATTATATTTGACAAGGAAATGGATTCAGAATCAACAATCTGAGGCTTTTTTGGGCCGTTCTGCCTCAATTAGCATCAGCAACACCGCACCCCATCTTCGTCGTCTTAGTTCTAACAAAAGCGGGAGCTTGGTAACTAGCAACAATATGGATTATGATGATGTAGAGGATCTAGAGATGCTTCTTGAGGCATATTTTATGCAACTAGATGGAACCCGTAACAAGATATTGTCTGTAAGTGGCATTTGTACTGACTTGGTTTAATTTCAATTTCTGGCTCGACTTGGAACTTGACTTTAAATTTCAGTTTCTGAAAATGCTCTCCTAGGACCTGATTATGGATAAGGCAACCCTTTATAAACAGTTTTAGGGATCAGTTCTCAACATTAGGTTGACCTTTGCAGTTATCACGTTTGATTCAGTTTCATATAACTGAATTTAGGTAGGATTATTTATATGTTGCACAGTTTTCCATAAGAAGTTCTGTGGTTGCACTTGCTCTGGAATAATTTGGAGGCTTCAGACCTTTGTGGATTCCCAGTCGGAACTAATTTAACTAACACTGGTATACGAAAACTTTAATTTTGAAACCAGTTTTGAAATTGGGGAGGAATTATTGACTGTAAAGATTGATCAGTCTAGTTAGATCTTTCTATTAATTAACCCATCCATCACTTGATAATAGCTAGCTATCGCATTGGCTTCTTGACTTTGATGATGCTCTCTGTCTGGCACATTTTTTCTTTTAAATGGTAGTAAAAGACCTGTCTCATAATGTAATTTAGTCATGTTCAAAGATGTGATAATTGAAGCTAAAAACTGATTTTTAAGGTGAAAGACACAGTCTATGGTTCCTTCGGCTGAACCCAATGGATCTTTTGGTTCCTTTGGCTGAACCTAATGGATCCTTAAATTGGAAATGGCAGGTTAAATACTAGTGGATGACCATTTACCTTTTTCATTTCAGCTAAATGGTAAATTGGAAGAGAATTGAAATGTACAAACTGGGCATAGTAATTGTATTATTCTCTCCTTAAAACTTCCTCATGTTCTTATCATGTTCGTTGGATGTAGGTACGGGAGTATATCGACGACACAGAGGACTATGTCAACATTCAACTCGACAACCAGCGAAACGAACTCATTCAGCTCCAGTTGACGTTGACCATTGCATCATTTGCTGTAGCAGTAGAAACCTTGATATCTGGGATCTTTGGTATGAACATCCCCTGTGTATTATACGAAATGAATGGGGTATTTGAGCCCTTTGTCGGAGGCATTACAGCATTTTGTGTGTTGCTCTTCTTTGTTATCTTTGGGTATGCCAGATGGAAGAAGCTGCTTGGTTCATGAGTCCACTATGTCATCTTCTGTAGATAATACTAGATTCGCACACTTATTCAAGAACCCTACTAACGGGAAGGGTTTGAAGTATATGCTGAAATGTAGGGCCAGCAAAGAATTGCTTGTGATACATTTTAGGTGAAACATTTTAGGGATTTCATGACTTAATATGACAAACTGTTGTAACATCATTCAGTTTTCTTTTGAAATTATATGGCAAGTAGGTATTTGTCAGTGTACGGTTGTATAATATGGCAGACGGATGAATGTATTTTCACATGTCATCAATACATAAGGCCTCGTTTAGTAATAATGTCTTTGCTTTTAGTTTTTGGTTAATTTTAGTTCTAGTTTTTAATTTTTTAATTCAAAATGTTATTTTTGTAAATAAATATTAAATTCTAAAGAACAGTTTAGATTTCTATGTTTAAATAATTCATATTACCTATAGTTTTATTTTTTAATAGACGTGATTTTGGAGAGAGGAGAATCGAACCTAATACCTCATGGGTAAATGCTCTTAACCACTTGAGCTAGAACACTCTTGCATATTACCTACAGTTAAACAATTAGAATAAATGTAATGCCAATGGGTGTTTAACTAGAGGTGTTTGTTTGCAAACCCCATGGGACCAGTTCGAATCCCCTTGTGTGCACTCCTCCTCCAGTTCGAATCCCCTTGTGTGCAATGGCAGAGAGCTTAAATTAAGAGATCCCTCAACTGAGTTTATTTGAAGTACACTCTTGTGAGCCCATTATGAATTGTATTTCAATTATCCAAACCGTCTATCGTTAGGTACTCATTCAAAGATCATTTCTGCAAATAATAATAATAATAATAATAATAATAATAATAATAATAAACAATAAAAAATCACTTGAATTTGAAACATGTTGATCACTCAATTAACGATTGTCAATTATATTGTAGCTTGATAAAAATAATATGACAATATATAAAGGATATAACTATTTAAACTTTATACCAGCTCTTTATGATATAAATACATGAAAAGCAACTATAATCACTAATGATCTGCTTGACTTTCGTTCTCCACATGCCTTCTCATTAAAATTTAATCTAAAGGAATTTAAACTAGACACATCTTCCTTAAAATAAAAACCCAATTTACTCATAATTAAAAATAATTAAAAAAGCCCTAACTTGACTAAACTCTTAATTTACTTAACGTCTGTAGGTTTCTTCCTTTATCTGCACGTCTCCCCTGCCCCAAATCTTAGCTATCGGCAAACTTTCCTTCTCCCATACCTCTGTAAACATGCTATTCTTCTTTTTTGGGTTTCTGCCATATGCTGTTATTTTTTTGGTTCCAGCAACTGCTCTTTTTTCTTTCCTTCCTTCCTTTCTGGGCAAAAATCTTACTCATACCCCCTTTAATCCAAAATTCTCTGTCTCTCACCGAAATTAATTAGAAATATTAAAAGAAATAGTTTAAATGTGGTTAATTTCTTGGCAAATTTAAAAGTTTCTCTGGTGAATGAGATATGGGAGGGAAACATGTAAATTGGAAGAGAGAGGGATAATTTTTTGAGTAACATGATTAAATATTTAAAAATTATACAATTACGAGAGTTTTCACCTCTTCTTTGTAAGATCTTTTTTTTTGTGGGTATTTTCTGGCTTGGTTTTTTCAAGCTTTATCTATTTTTTATTGATCCAAGTTTGCAATCTTATTTGAAATGTCTATGCCAAAATTTCTTATGTCCTGTGTGATTGTTAATTGAGGTGCACCATATTAGTTTGTATTGGGTCTCTTTAGTTGAATTATGAATACAATCCTAGAATTTATCCCAAAAAAATACACAGAATGTTAGAATAGTTGGCTTATATTAATTGACATGATTGTCCAATTTTAACTTGCTACATAAGATGATATATGAATGTGGTATAAAAATATGGTGTTTGTGTACCAAAGAAGATGGAGTGTAGAGAGAGCAGGAAGAGAGGGAAAAAGGGGATTCAAGAGAGAGGAGTGATAGTTAGCAGGGAACAAACGTGAAGGCGTATTAAGGGTCTAACTTATTTGGGTAAAATTTTAATTCTTTTTTGTTAATTAAAAACTTATCAAAAGAATAAAGACTCAAATCAATTTAACTGATGCAGTTGTCTATCTCGGCTTCCCACATAAGATAATATACAATGTGATAAGGCCAGACATGTATGTCCATCTTAACTTGCCACATGAAATAGTATTAGTATGCGGGTATAGAAATATGACAACCCTAGCATTATTGTTTATAAAAGGAATGCACTTTGACAACTGGATTATCAACTAATAGTTTGTATTTCATGATCATTGGAATTCATTGAGCCTTAAAGAGAGAGCAAGCCCTATTTAGTTGGGCAAAGGCCAACCATTTCACAGGCAAAAATGTGGTCAAAATGTGTGGACATGTCTGATTTTTATATTGTACGGATTTTTGTTGTCTTGTTGTAGACTTTATTGATGAGGAATTGGCTGGCTGTCTCCCCTCATGCACACTTTATGTGCCAACTGCCTTCCTTCTCTCTCTCTCTTCTATTTCTATTTGCCAATGCCCCATTATTTTATCATTAATGTCGTTGTCAACAACTCACTCCACATTGTCCTGCTTTACGTTTGCAATAAGAAAAAGCAAAAACAGGGAAATGCTTGTATGCAATAAAGTTGCATAGCACCACAAAGAAAAGTTAAAGCCCTACTTGCTGAATTTTAAAAAATAAAAAAAGACTTATCAATGAACAGAATATTACCACTTTGCAGCAAGTGCTGAATTTCGATTCTCACATTTTATTGGCTAACTTCTTCGGGGGTTTTTATCACAAAACGTTAATAATATGTACGAAATTATTAGATTACATTTTTATTTTTTTTGGTGTCATTAATGGTCTTTAAGATTAACACCCATACTCACAAATAGTCCCTATTGTTAGATTTCCTCAAGAATTATGTTAGTTTGTTGACGTGTCATATATATGGAGTCTATATATCTAATAAAATAATGTCGTATGAATTTATAGGGTTAAATATGAGACTACTGATCTGTAAGTTTATTGTACTTCAACTTTTAATCTACTTTGTTTTGTCACTCATTTTCTTTAGGGTTCTGGTAATAAAAACCTATGCCCACCTAGTTGTCGGATCAATAGTTAATTGGGGTCACCCTCTTTTTGTTTGACCATCACTTTACACAATCCAAACTTTCTTTTATACCAGGAGAGAAAACTTGCGTATTCTAAAAACAGAAACTTACGGATGAATTTTTTTAATATTTTTATTTTTATTTTAACATCTTTAGTCCTAGAATAGAATTTAGTGGTACCAAAAAAAAATGAACTGGAAAAGGAGAATAAAAGGACACAACAAAAGGCTGTCGACATATGAAAATTGAAAGATCCTTGGGGGAAAACGAAAAAAAAACAATCAGAAAAAAAAAAAAAAAAAAAAAAAAAAAAAAAAAAAAACAAAAAAAAAAAAAGATGAAAAATGTATTTAATTTTGGGAATTTGTTTTCCATCCAACCCCCATACCTTAACCAGAAGACATAGTAGAGAGAGAAAGGAGAGAGGGCTTCTTCGAAGAGAAGAGGGGAAACGAATCATAGATACACACAGAAACCCTAGGACAGAGGAAACTCTGTTTCTTCGATCATTACATCTCAAGATCTCGATTGTTCATTCCATATAGGTAATCAATCTTTTATCTATTCATTTTCTTTCTTTAAAACAAAGTAAACATTTTGTTTCATGCATCTGTTTCTGTTTTCATCAAATCAGCTGGAATTGTTGATTAGTTTTGCGGACAATCGGACACATTCTATGCATTTCGTCGAATCATTGATTTTCTTCTTTTTAAATTTTATATAAATGTTTCCTAGGGCACTATTTATTATTTCAATTCAGAAATTGTGAGATTCATTTTGTGTTTCGATGCTGGGAAAATGTGGCAAAGGGTAATGAGCGGATGTATTTGAATCTCGGAAAGTTTTCGTTATTTGGGGCTGAGAAAACAGAAGCCTTCGCCTCAACCAACTGAGGCTAACAACTCAATTGTTTGGGAGATGGTATTCCAAATTTATCTTCCCCTTCTCTCTTTCCATGGTTTCCTTGAGAAACAAATAGAGGGTTTGAGTCTGTTGCGTATGGTGATTAGGAGTTTGTGGCATCTTCTTTAACACAATAAGTGTTGTGGCCGAACCCACCAATTAATTTAGAGTGTTAGTGTACTTGGTTTTATTTCACGGAGAAAAAGAAACAGAAAACCCAGTTGGGTAGCAACTTTAGTTATGTTGTAATTTGGGTTTAGATATTATAGTGATCCATGTACTATTATGTAAATTGTTTTATTTTTTTATTTTTTTTTTATGATCAGCATACTGCACATAAAATTGGGTAGTTGTGAGAGTGCTGTTGATTGAATGTATTGCCATGCTACATGGACTGGGATATGTGTGTTGTGTCATGTGCGTGTCCAGGTTTAGGGTTTGTCTGCCTTAAGTTATTGATTATTTTGATGTTTCCAGTAGGCATGTTCATAGACATAACCATTCATGTAACTGTGCATTATCTCATGTTAGCATGGAGAAGGATATAATTATAGTTATTACTTTATTTTTTTCCCCTTAATTTTTTAAAAATAAGAAGACCTGCATTTTGCTTTTCCTATTTTCCTTGACCCATCTGTCTATTGGTTTGTCAACACTGTGCTTGCAAACTTTTCCCCCATTAATAAATTAAATTTACTTCCCTTCTTTATCCATCATCTTGCACTATATTGGTTGACAGGGGCTGGTTGTGCTTCAGTGATGGCAAACTCCAAGAGTTCAAATATCAGAAATTTCATGTATTCTGGAAAGCATCCTTTGCTTCCTCCAAAAAGTCCATTTCCTAGCGTTTCCCCGTCATATGCAGATTACGTCCTCAGTCCTGCATTTGGATCAAAAACTGTTCAGAAGCCTAGAGAGGGAAATGCACATCACCAGCGAACTTCCTCGGAGAGCCTTCTTATAGAGGAACAACCTTCTTGGCTTGATGATCTCCTTAATGAGCCGGACACACCAATACGCAGAGGAGGTCATCGTCGTTCATCAAGTGACTCATTTGCATATGTGGATGCATCTAATGCTTCTAACATTGATTATGCAGCTCAAGACGAGTACAAATATCATCATATGATTTCTGCACCCTCTTGGGGATCTCAAGACTTTGATCCCCAAAAGATTTACGACATGCTTCATTATACACTGAACTGAACTTGGTGAAGCAGAAGAATAAGGCATGGGAGTCTTCTTTGAATAGTGTAAATAACATGAGCAGCCTTCCTTCTGTCAAGGATAACATTGTTCTTCAGAGTTCAGGATCATTATCTACACCACAAGAAGCAGATGGGTTTGCTTCTACTGCAAGCGAAAGGCAGGATCAGGTTGAATCTGGTCCGCATGATCCAAAGGCTTCTTCTGAGAAAAAAGACAATTCTAATGCTAAGCTTTATGCATCTGAGACGGATGCAAAACGCGCTAAACAGTACGTAGTTGATTATTATTTTTTTTTCTACACGCATACTGATTTACCTCATAGTAACATAGAAATATTATTCTTGCATAATCTTTGGTTGTCTTTTTGACCTGCATCTAGTTTTCTTTATCCAGTTTTTGCATATGTTTTCGAGTTGAAATAAACACCCACCCTCTATCTCACACTCACGATCATGGGTGGCTGCTTTATGAAAACTCTTAACCGTAGGTAGAATGCAAAGAATGTTGTTTACATTAACATTAGTATGACTACTGTTCCTTTAAGCTAAGCTTATGCGGTCAATTGCATATTAAATGCAAAGAAAAAGGGGAAAGCGGTTCAATGGAGTTATAAGGACACAGGAATGAATAGTCTCCTACGCCTGGTACACAATACATTGGCTGTATACTTGGTTGCTTGTGTGTAACTTGGTGCTATACGGGGATTAGGGATTGCATTCCCACATTTAGTTTGTTACAGTGCAACTTCAAGTGCATCCATACAAGCATACATTAATGCATAAAACTTGCATACAAAGTACAAACACATCACATTAATATATTGGAAGCATTTAAGGATGTAAATGGCTGTAAATGCACAAACCTGGTCTCAAATTGCAATATGTCAAACCTGTTTTGTTCTTAGTTTTCTTTTATTTTTGACATTTTAAGTCTTTTGTTCCGCCATATATGTTAGGAATTCCAGTTATGAAAAACTGGATAATCAAAATACTGTCAGTTGGGAGATCTGGGTTGTGGCTGAGGGGGGTGGTAGGAAAATCTAGTAAAACTCCTGCTCTGGACCAGGTCAAAAACATTAACAGTTTTACAAGGAAGTTGGAGCGGTACTGTCATGATGTTTATTGCTACTGGGTTTACTTGAAATCTTAGCTTTAATTGTATGCCTGTAGTTATACTGTTAGTTTCTTATAATACTGGTAGCATCTATTAGATAATAAACATTTTGTACTTATGCTTTGTAGGAGGCTTACATCGTTTAGGGATATTCCAATACCTGTATTACAACAAAATCACATGTCATTTCTTTTTGTTTAATATTTCCTTTGAATATGTGGCTCTTGCTTCTTTATTGCTTTAAGTCCAAAATTTGGGAAGAGGGTGAAGGATAGAAGAAAGGTGGTAATGGTAAAAGGGAAAGAGCTTTTCTAATCTTAGCTGTGAGTTAGAGAGGCATTTCCTGTCTTTCTATAATGTATAAAGGTGCAGGCTGCAACTTTGGTACTCTAGAGGGCCCATAATTGAGCACTACCTATTGTTCTGCTCTACAGCCTGCTCCTCGGAGTTGAGCCTGATGATTCCTTTAGTTTGTTGAAACTGCTAGCCATAATCTAGGTCATTACTATTATGCACATGCATCAGTGGTAAATTATGAATCAGAGTAGTTTAGATCACTTGGTATTATGCATGATGTTGACCAATATCCGGCCACTAGTATTGGACTGCGCAATAGCTTAGATCACCTGGTATTGTGCATGATGTTGACCGGTATGCAGCCGTTCATATTGGGCTGAGTAGCTGTAAAGCATTGTAAATTAAACGTACTACATAAGAATTAGCAGTGATTACTCTTAATTTGGGAAGACATTACAGCTAGAGGAGGAAAAGCTAAATGTTAAGTAGTATTTATCGTCCTTTTAGCTTAATATCTTGCACTCTCCTTAATATTAACAATTCTAATTAATATAGTTTAGTTTTCTGGAAAAAAAGTGGAGGAAGACAGTTGAATGTGAAGGATCGAACTAGGACAGTCCTTTTTCTCTTAAAGGCATGAATCTAGGCTTGTTCATGTCCCAAGAGTAATTCACTTAAAGGGCTGTCTCCATAAGTTTGAGGGTTTAGATTGAGAGATGTGAATATGCTAACACGGAAAATCTTTAGAGTAAAAAACTTTACTTTGAGGATGCAACGGTAAGCTAATGCATTTAAATCATAATTTGTCATTTTTATTATTTATACATAAAATATGGCAGTTCACTGTTTCAAGGAATCAAAACAAATTCGTAACTTTGAGAAATTCTGCAAATTATAATGTCAGTTTCCTTGTAACAGTTGTTGTTCATAATTCCAGAAACTGGATTGGTGTCTTCCATAATGGGAATATAAATTATACGTATGGAGACTGAAATACTTTTTACTGCAGGCAATTTGCTCAACGCTCACGGGTTCGAAAACTTCAATACATAGCTGAGCTGGAGAGGAATGTACAAGCTTTACAGGTAAGTGTCACCAGAAGCTTGAAGTACTGTATTTAAGTATTAAGATTGATTTGGTACTACATTGAGTGGTTTTATGAAAATTTAATATTGTTCTTGTATGTGTTACTCTACAGGCAGAAGGGTCTGGAGTTACAGCCGAGCTGGAATTTCTCAACCAGCAGAATCTGATTCTGAGCATGGAGAACAAAGCCCTCAAGCAGCGCTTAGAAAGTATAGCACAGGAGCAACTTATCAAATACTGTAAGCTTCTACCTTGAACGTTCAGGTTTTGATAATCTGTCCATTTTTCTGCTTCATCTGTCTAGGAGAAAATGTTTGGAATAAAATCAGTTATGTGAAGGATGAAGCTCTTATCAAAATACATGGTAGACCCTATGACAGTTTGAGAATGATTGGAATCTATGTTCTAAAGATTTGGAGACACTTAGATAACATTAAGAAATGTTAGTATTCAGGATAATATTTCACCATTTTCTTAATAATGTTCTTAAAATATGTTCAATTTTTCTAAAAGGACTTTTTGACTTCCAATTTTAAACTACCTGATAGAAACAAATTCAAAAATAATTTTTAATTCAAGGAAACAGGCCTGGTCCCAAACATAATGAAGACATCACTCTAATGGGGCCTAAAAGTAAAATTGTAGGCTGGATACTTGATATGTTATGATTATGCTTAACTATTTATTACATTTGCAGTTTTAATTATCTGGTATAGGATGTAACTGCAGCTATAATTATCCTCTAGACTGATGGAAATTCAAATAATACAATATGAGGCCTAATGATATAATAGTCACTTTCTAGCAGACGTTTTATCTGATTAATGATAATACATTTTAAGGAGAATTTTGAAGTCATGATGTTTGCATATAAAAATGAATGTAAACATTCTCTCTAGGGCTTCCTCGCTGTACAGTTCAATGATTGGAACTGTCTATGTTTTAGGTTCTTCAAGGGCCATCCCTTTAAAAAAATTAGCCCTAACAGAAATTATTTGGTCATCTATACTGTGCAGACAAATGCACTGTGTCAGATAAAAATGAGATGGTAATGACGGTACTTAAATGGTTAAAGATTTCCAATTTGGCAGATTTTTTATTTTTTATTTGCATAGATTATCCTTGAAGGCTTGAAGAACCTAAAAACTGGACGTTTCAAATCATTGTTTTCTTAGATGTGAACCCCCTCACTTAAAGGTTCCTGTACTATTCAGAACCATATGCTTTATTAGTTACAACATAGATGTACCTTCGTTTGTGGTAATGGTTGCCATATGGCAGGTTGGTAGATCTTGAGTAAACAACTGTAGCTGATGAATTGTTTTTCTTTATGAGTTTTTGAATACAATGATTTTTTTTGGGTCTGAGAATACGGTGGATGTTAATGTTGCATACTACACTGTCTCTTTGGAAAAATGTTTATTCTGCTTCGTGGAAGCATTGAATTGTTTTTCTTTATGATTTATTGAATACAGTGATTTTTTTTATTTTTTATTTTCTGAGAATACGGTGGATGTTAATGTTGCATGCTACAGTCTCTTTGGAAAAATGTTTATTCTGCTTCGTGGAAGCATGGGTTTGCTAGTGGATGCATTGGCTCTTTCTAAATTATCCAACATAACAACCAACATATTTTAAGAAACAGTGAGACGTGTTGAAGATTTAGAAGGCTCGTTTATCTGAAAGGTTTTCACGTATATGCCATTTCATCGGCAGAACATTTTATTTAAACCCTTCTGATTGTTGTTCAGTACTTGTAAGGTCACTAAAGTATGTGTTTTAATATTCAGTGGAGCAAGAATTATTAGAGAGAGAGATCGGGAGGCTACGAGCCTTGTATCAGCAACAACAGCAGCACCATCAGCAGCAACAGCAACAGCAACAACCTTCTTCTAGCCACAGACGCTCTAACAGCAAAGACCTTGATTCCCAATTTGCAAACCTCTCTTTGAAACACAAGGATGCAAATGCAGGTCGTGACCCTGTAACAGGCACACTTCGCATATAGATGTGTAATGTAGCCAGAGCTGTCATTTGCCTCTACTCTTCTCCCATTGATATTGCCACGCCTGACCAAGTTCGTTGCCTCCCTTGTGCGGGATAAGGCTGCGCTATTCCACTCTTGGCGTCCTCTCTCTTCTCATTTTGTGCAATTTGATTTCACTGTTTATCACCCTTCTCTGTTAAGTTAATATTGGTGCGCCTGGTAGTCATTGGCCAAAGTAGTTCTACTTGGGGCAGGTGACTTACCGGAGGTGGTAACTCAAAACAGGTTCGGTATTTCAATCTTTATTGTATGTCTTACGTAATCATGATTCATAAATGTTGTATGTTCCATTTTTTGCCCATTGCAGATTTCAACATAGTACAAAAGATCTTTTGGGCTAATTGGATGTGCACTAGTTGTAATGCATTATGGTAGGAAAATGTGTACTCGTAACATATGTTTCAAATGAAATCTGTAGTTTCTTTGATTTTGTTCGTCAGTGATGAGAAATTGATTGGATGCACATTTAGCACCTTTTTATTTTTATTTCTATTTTTATCATATGTCACCTTTTTATTTGAGGAAAAAATATATATATTAGGGGAGGGACCGCTAGCTGTGGGACGGGGACTGCCGCTGTCATTGGGTGTTTTGGGGGCTGCTGGGTTTTTCCTCTCTAAAGGAGGGGGTGTAGAGAGTATTTGGGGGTTTCAATAGAATTCCCCTTCTTTTAATATTTGCTTTGCCATGCTGCTAATTTCGTGAATGGTATTAATTCCTCGAATGCATCATTACCTCTTTCGTTTTCATTTAAACTTCACAGAAATATATTGTGTCCAGAAGATTTTTCCATTGAAATTTGAAATTGTCAACCAGAAATTTATGTACTTATTGTGATTATTATATATATAACATAATGATCAAGCTGCATCGCCAAGAAATAATATACGGATATACTACGTCAGCGTGTCATACTCGACTCAAATATGGCATGTTTCCCATTTTGAAACAGAAATGAACTGTTTTTGACAGCTGGACTTATTTCTTAATTTTTATCTTATGCAATAAAATTACAAATTTGAAAAACTTGAGAAAAAGAACACCCCTACTTTTTTTCAGCCGTCATTTTGGCCGCAATGGTGAGTTCAGTAGTAAAAATGGGTACATTGGCAAAACAAAAAGAAAATCAGTAAACCACGAGAAAGAAATGTCCCATTTTTCAATCCATGACAAGTTTTGGTTTTAGTTTGTGCATTTCCCTTTGGACTGTCAATATATACTGAAACGTCCGGGGAGAAAGACCACTAAGACATTCAAGTATTTCTGCAGTACTACAACACTAAAAATAAATAAAATTGAATCTAAAATCACCAATTTGCAGACTTTATTTTTTAATCAGAACACAAATGCAAGGATCAAGAATGAGAAGAAAACTAAGGAAGGCCTTGATGTTGTTGCACTGTTGGGAAGTGTAGGGTACTCATCTGGAGGGGGCATGACACATTCATCACCATTAAAGGAAATTCTTCTAGGAAAAGTCCATCCTTCCCTGAAAGTGAAAATCCCAGGATCTTTGTGCAGTAACATCTCCGATTGAGCATTGCCGCTCTGGCCGGACGCGAGTAACATGTCATTGTACGATTTGATCCCCCAGAACATCCCTGTATCATCTGGAAAAAAAGACAGCTCAATGTTCATTAAAACTACCCTAATGGGCAATAGCTAGGGTTTTTGCATATGATGAAGAAAATGTTGGTGATTTTTGGTTTGTTGAACTTACTTATATTTCCATACGCATTGAGAGGGTGGTAGTTGAAGCTGAACAACTGAGTTACACTCCTCAAGTTGGGGTGTTGAACGACTAAGCTCCAAGACGAATAGTTTTTAACAAAATTAAGATTAGTGATTGTAATCTTCACCCGCCAGTACTCCTTATAGCTTTGCTTCACATGCCAATGCACTCGAATCGGGCACATGTGCTGTGAACAAGTCACCAGAGGTGGCACTTCTTCGTTCTCCTGCGCTCGTGGAAGCTCCAACAGATGCGGAGACTTTTCACCAGACCTGCCGATTTTGTAAAACTTTCAGACAAATTGCTTCAAATCATCAAAAATATGATGCCAATTTGCAAAGCTCCTAGTCAAAGAATAGACGACCAAGGGATGTATGTTACTTTAGGCATTTTGCTCCCGGCAGTCCTTGGCAGCCGCAGCTGCATTTCGGGCAAGGAACAATGGTGCTATTGTAGAATGCAGACAAGGAAACACAGCATTTTGGAGAAGGTGATGCTCTGAACTGGGAGTACATACAGGTCACATTCCATGTCTCTACAATAAAACCACAAGGAAACATGTGTTATGAAGAAAATTAAACATTGTTTACTTCATTCATATTATTGCTACTCTTCTTCCCTGTGTATCCCTCCTTTCATTTTCAGTACTCACCTAGAGTTTGTACCCATCGGCGGCCATCGGGACTAGACCTAGTTGGTAAGACGAGAAATGCGTCTCCACAGGTATAACCAGGAATTCCGAGGGTGAAATTGGTAGGCATAACTTCTGTAATGTTGTTGGTTTTTCCAAATCCAACATTCATCTGGAATGCAGATAGAAACTTGGAAGAGTCTTGGATCATGGAAGAGAGCTCCCCTCCCTTGCAACAATTGGAGAACTGCTTGTTGTAAGGGGCTCCTGGCAAAAAATCAATAATCACTGGCTGCTTTTTACAGCAGTGAGGAAGTTGTGGTGAGCTCCTGAACTTGGAGCAGTTTCCTTGCTCCATGGCCTCAGCTCCCCACATGTCCCAAATCACTTGATCATCATCTTTCCATATCCAACTCAATTTCCAACCAGGCCGATCCAAATGCCGGAATTGCTGGAAGTTGTATATTGATACCTTTATCTGAAATAAAATAACTATAGTCAAAATACCTGTAAAATTGAAAGTTGTAATGAACACTGAGCTGCAATTAACTCATAATTAAATTCATTAAATCCGCCTAAACCACACCACAATGTTTCAACAATCTAGCTGGTAACAAGTAGATTTAGAGTAATCTAAAAGTTGGGCTTTTTATTTTATTTTATTAAGGTTGAGCAAAAGAACAAAATGCAGTGTCTTTGAGTAATCTAAGTTCAGTTTTTGAAATGTGTGCATGAACTTACTAGAAAGATAGTATAAAAATTAAATTATTTACTACAAAAAAAATTATACTAGTTCATTTAAGAATTTTTTTATTTTTTTTAAAAAGGAATACATGTTAATCCTTTTTTATCCACCATTTTATGGCAAGGATTATAAAATTTAAATGGACTGACACTGATCTATCAAATGGATGGCTTGGGAGTTGTTCTGGATAGACTAATATCACTTTAGGTGATTTTAATTGATTTTATAGAAAAGCACCTCCTTCCTCAAAATCGCTTAAAATCACTATTATATGGAGAAGTGTTTCTTCCAATGAATAATTCTGGATCTCCTAAATTCACTTCCAAAAAAGCCTAAATAAAATGTGAAGCGAAATTTTCAACACATCAAAAGAGAGAGAGAGAGAGAGAGGATCCAAATCCGCATTTTCATATCCTCAATAGTGATCGAGTCAAATAATACCATATCTAAATGATTTGGGTTTTTGCATTATATCCTTTTCTGGTCTAAAATCAGAAAAGAAACTAAAATAATTGAATCTTTGGCCCTCTGAGGGGCATGGCGGTAATTTAGGTGACAAAATAAAAAGTAGACAGAAGGCAGTCATGCAGAACACTGTGATCGATTCTGTCCCATCACAAAATGGTCTAATTTTCAGTGTGCTGAGGTGGCCCGCAGTAATTGGGTTCCTGAACCAATTTGTGATGAGCTCAACGTGAACCTCGCCCACCAAATCAGAATTAGACAAAAACAGTACGGCAGGGTTTGAAGGTTCATATCCTCGAACAAAACAAAAATTTTGGAATGCAAAACACCATGCATACACAAATAATAACTTCTTCTTTTCTTTTCTTTTTTAATTTTAATTTGTATGTAATATAAGAAAGTGATTTTGGGTTTGTTTTCTTCCATAGAGATTTCAATTGTAAGAGGGCTATTTGAGAATTGATATAAAAATAATAATAACTAATGCAAAATTGATTGATGGGGTAAATTAACAAAAACTTACATCATATGTGCTCCCAGTTTGAAGCCGAAAATCCCAAGTGATGGTTATGTTGGCATAAGGATCTAATGAATCATACCCATCTGCATTTTCACCAAATTTTTATGCCAGTAATAAACTACCCAAAACTTTGAAGAAATTAGAGAGAGAGAGAGAGAGAGAGAGGAACTTACATGATAATGAGAAGGAGGTGACAAGAGAAGAGATGAAAATGATGAAGAGCACAGCATTTGATCTTTGAGCACCAAACAGAAAGGGGGGGCTCATCATCTCTCCAAATTAAAACACCAAAATTTGGGATCAATGTTCTAATAAAACTTTCCAAACTGCACTAATTGGTATTTTTCTTTCACTTAATAAAACAACAAACCAGTTTGATCGAAAAACGCATAAAAAACTCACAGATCACACAAATGTGCTTCACTGCCTACAAAAATTATGACTAAATATATATACATAAAAATCCCATAGAAAAAAAAACAAAGAAGTAATATGTGTGCGATTGCATGCTCTGGTTTTATGTATGAATGTATAAATATCTGTCTCTTTCTCTCTGAAGTCTCTAAAAAGATGCTCTAAAACAAAAAGAGAGAAAGGTAATTACCAAAAAAATTTATAATTAAAAAAAACAAAGAAAAGAAGAAGATGGAAAAAAACGAAAGAGGAAATTAAGTAATTATATTGCAATTAATGTTGTGAGAGAGGGTGAGACTGGTGTTTTCCAAATCTGGGTGCAATTAAGAGATAGACAGAGAGGGAGAGAGAGAGAGAGAGAGGTGCTTAGAATGCGTCTAAAAGTCTGTACATGAGTGAGTAGGTTTTTGAGTGTAAACATTCAAAGCTCACGCGTAATGCCATCCGGGGCATTTGGCCTGCCGTTTGGATTTAGTCATTTTAATTACCATTTTTCACTTGTATTTTTCCAATTTTTATTTCTTGCACTTCATGTGCATAAAAAATTACAAACAATACAAGAGTTATTTACACTAATATTCACTAAGGTGTTCGGTGTTTTCACAAAATTCTTGAGGTTTCATAAAATTACACGAACACTTTTTGAGGTTTCAAATTATTTTCACAAAACTCATTTTTCAGTGATTATTAATCCAAAAGTATATGGAGGAAAAAAATGAACGAAGAAGGGTGTAGGGAGGGTAGGGGTAAGGAAGGAAAAATGAAACAGAATACATGAAAACAAAAATCATAAAATAAAACGTACTCGAAATTGTTTATAGTTTTCCGTACCATTTTTCATGCACATTTCTTTAATATATTTTCCACATAAATTATAGATCAAATTCCTGAAAATAGCATATCAAAATTATTAGTGTAAGGGCCATAATGTCATGGTTGATTGGTATGAGGACCGCATTATGGATCAGCATCACTGGATTATTAGTACTATACATAGCTAAGTCAATTGACCCATTACTTAAGCATTCGTACCTCCACCACTTGTGCAAAATAATTTAGGATTGCATAAAAAATAATAAAAAATCATAAAAGCGACATGAAGAAGGAAATTCAAACACAACACATCGAATGCAGGATAAACGCTCTTAACCCCTGTTAGCTACGAACCCACTTAATTAGTAGTCGATGTTTATGAAGGGAATAATCACAAGCAATGCATTTTGGGTGTTTTAGTGAAACTCCCTTATAATAACTAGGGGGGGTTTGCTGATTAACATTAGCTGATATCGTCCAAAGGAGCCTGAAGAAGGGGCCTAGGGATTGAGAGTCATAAAAGGAAAAGAGAATTAATAAGATCACAGCCCCACATTTCCATCAAAAGAAATCACAGCTCATATCTCATCTCATCTCATCATCATCAGTGGTGTGAAATGCCTGCCGGGTCGTGGGCTGCATGCATGCATCTCTCTCTCTCTACCCTACACCATTCCAAAAACACCATCTTATTAAACAGAATAGTACAATATCTGCGATTACAACATGGAAGATTCTTCCTCAATTTGTACATCTTTTTGTTTTTGTTTTTGGTTTTCTGTGTAGGCTTAACATGGAAAAAAGCAATTGGGATGTTAAAATGTCATGGTCATATATAATTTCGATCCCTGGTATTTAGTGCTGGGGACATTGATCACCAATCTGCAGTATCGTCTCCTTGGGTTATAATTGAGACACTATTGGAAATTTTACGTCCTCGTGCATATTTTTATACATAAAATATAATAATACTTACTGAAGAAGGAAATCAGCCCAGAAAAGAAATATTCACGAAAAGTGTCATAATGATGGAACGTGGCCAAAGATGATAATGATAAAGCATGATTAAATAATGTCAATCTAACTCCCTTGTAAGAATAAAATCTTCTACTCGTGTTTTGTTACTTCTGTTGGAGTAATTATAGTGTGGTACTAAAGTATATATGGTCGCGTGATATAACTCGTTCACGTGTTATAGCATGCAGGGACGGACCCACAGTGGGGTCACTGGGGTCAAACGACCCTATGGAAGCCATGGAAATAGGGTTGGAGGTCCACTTGAGCTGGCTGTGTGACCCCTTGGATTGCCCTCCAAGTGTTTGATGTTTTGCCTGAGAGGAAGAGGGGGGAAGCTGTGCGCAAGAGGAAGAAGAAGCAGTGCAACGTGTTTTTTTTTTTTTTTTTTTTTTATTTAACACTTGGGCAAAACGACGTCGTTTTGGCCCAGGAAAATTTTTAAAATTAAAAACCCTTATGTATCCCTCCATTCTCCAACATTAAACTGTTTGTTGTAAATATATGCATGTGGAGCCCACATATTTTTCCTTTTCCCTGTACAATACCTGATGAGCACGTTTCTAAGGGAGCCTCTGTTCTATAAAAAAAAAAAAAAAAAAAAAAAAAGAGGCCTCATCTTCATTGTAATGATTGATCAATCTGAATAAAACTCCCTAACTAGGATTTCTCTCCCTTTCAATTCTCTCAATCTTTCAGTTTCTCAATTTCAATCTATTTAGTTTATAACACTGTTTTCTTTTTAATCTTTTTAACCTGTTTTGTTGTTGGAATCAACAAGTCAACTTTATTTCATTTATTATTATTTCTTCCTCTCAAATTCCAATGACTGGCTTAGAAATTAGAATCCATGAATGATGAACTTTACTTGTAATTTTATCTAAGGATGACCACAATATGGTTTTATTACCACTATTTAACACTTAACAATTCCCCACAAAAAAAAAAAAAAAAAAAAAAAAAAATTGTAATTAGAACAAAATGCATGCATACTGGTTTTAATTTAATGGAAATCAAATTTATAATTGATTGGATGAAATTTATGATTTATATGTATTAGATTGATTTGTTGGATGAAGTTTTTGCTTATTTTTGTTGATTAGGCGGTTGTGGTTTTTTTCGTTTTTTGGTTAATTGGCATAGGTTTGGTTTGAAATTTTATGAATTGAATCACTCAAAAAATACATTTAAAAAATGACAAATTGAAATAATTCAAAGTATATTTTTCTAATAAAGGAATAAAATTTGGAAGAGAAAAAATAGATAAGAAAAATAACCCATTTTTAAAATTTCTTTCGAACATTTACACTATGACCCTACGGAGTTCGGATCCTGGGTCCGTCACTGATAGCATGTTTACTTATCATGAATGGATATTTGAATTATTCAAATTCATGATTCCCTGTGTCTACTGACACATGAGTATTAGAATTATTTCAATTCCTAGCGTTTACTAACATAGAATAATAATAATAAAAGGGTAAATTACTCAAATGGTCCTCAAATTTGTACCCGATTTACATTTTGGTCCATCAATTAAATTATTTGTTCAAATGGTTCATTAACTATATATTAATCGCTCCATTGGTCCTATCGCTACTTTCCATTCCCCCATGGCCACCACCCTCAAGCTCCAACACCCAAATCCATCCCACAACCACTCTCCACCCAAACTCATCCAACAACCACCCTCCACCCCAACTCCTCCCCACCCGAGCCAACAACTACAGAAAAAGATAAGAAAAAAATCTTCCACAGACCCCTTCCCAACGATCCCAAACAACCACCCAAACCCTCTCCCTCTCCCTCTCCCCTTTGATTTCCCGTTGTTGTTGAGAGATAACCACCCACCACCCTCCTCCCCACCTTATCACTCGCCAACCCCACCTCCCAAAATCATAGTCACTGTCAATTTCTCACCCTCCAAGTGTACTCTCCTCTCATCCCACCTCACCTCCTCATCTCCCAAACCATCCAAACTACCCAAACTCTTTCCCCACACCCACAACTCTATACCCAAAGCACCCAATCCCTCCCTCCACCGAAAGTTCCTCCATAAGCTTTTAGAACCATCATTCGACATTCCAGAACCTTCTCCTTCTTCCAACCCACCTGCCAAGTTCAAGCCTTTGGAGAAGTAGCAAGTGGTGGACCTCAAGAAGAGATACCCATATGTCCTTTTGATGGTGGAAGTGGGTTACAAGTACCAGTTCTTCGGCCAAGACACCGAAATTGCTGCTAGGGTTTTAGGGATTTATGCCCATATGGAGACGTATGTGGGGAATGGAGGAGAAGAAATCAAAGGGAGGGGGTTTGGGTCTCATGAGTTTTTTCTCTTTTTCTTCAATTATTTTCTAATTTTGTACTTATTTTAACCCTATTTTATTTGTTAATTATGAAAAGTCGTATTTACCCTAAAATTTGGTTAAATTTAACAGAAAATTAGATTGTAGGACCAATGGAACGATTAATATATAGTTAATGGGTCATTTGAACAATTAATTTAATTGAGGGACCAAAATATAAATCGAGTACAAGTTTGAGGACCATTTGAGTACTTTACCCAATAAAAAAATTATGTGAATTTGAGGTTAAAATCCTAATCCAATAACCTAAAAACAAGGATGTAGATCAACTAGTTGATCCAATTCCAATTCCTTAATTCTTAGGTTTCCTGATTCATGACTTCTTTCATTCCTAGTAAATTAACGTGCTGTAAATGGTTACTCATTGATAATATACGGTAACAATAGGAAATCTTAACTTTGAGCGTATTCGAGTACAATACTATAATTTCTATGTAAGTAGCAATCCCATGAATAAATTTAGGTTGAGAACGACTTTGTTTTAAGCTCGACTACAATGCAAGCGTTGAAAATCGTGAAGTTTTTTAGCCGGCACAATGTCTTCCTAATTCACTCCATGTTACTATATCAAAGTGCGATGGGTAGAGAAGGTGTTGCGGAAAGGCTACAATAAGGGGTATGGATGAGAGACTCAAGTTGGAACCATTAAACTTCAACATTTTCAATTCAATTTTTGTTTTCTTTTGTGAAACTAGGGGCTCAAAAGCCCAAACAACTCAAACATGAGAAAAAATATAATTGCCCAATGGGCTAGCAAGGAGTAAACCAATATCTCAAAACATGTATGCCGCCAGTGTAATTTTGAATTCGCATTTGGCATTATAAATTATGCTACAGACATACGGAGCCAACTTTTGTTTTTTAAAAGAAAATGATTTTACTTTTGTTTTTATTTTGGTTCGCTTTCTTCTTTTTTTTTTTTTTTTTAAAGGACCGGAGGAAGCAATTTTCAACTTCAAATTGAAGGAAAATAAGCATAATTAGATTTTAGATAGATAACATAAAAGCTAGGTGGATGAAATATAGGTTTAAATATTAAACACAGTGCCCTTCAAGCACAAACTATATGCTCTAACATTTAAGAAGATATTTATACAAATCTGGAAACTGTGAGTATCAGTTACATATGATCCCATGAAAGGCTTCAAGTTACTCAGCTGAGGAGAGGAAGCAAATACTGGCCACCCTGAAATGAAAGAAGAAATATTTAGACGTGAAACATCATATTGCTTTGAAACATTACAAATATGATGATCCAAGAACAAAGAAATTGCAAGAATTTAAAAGGAATCACATTTAAGACGTATTCAGGCTCGTCATGAACCAACCAAACTGACAGTTTCCATGAGGATCGAATGGACCAGTTATGGATCCCAAAAATAAATAAGACAATTAACTTGTGAAAAGGGTCTAATCTCACACTATTGAACATGGGGAGAAGACAGACTAACACAATTGTAAATGTTATATAATTTTTAATTTTTAATTATCAAGAGAACAGTTTGATTAGGAAAAAGATATAAAATGATGTTACCTCTAAAGATCATTGATGCCGACGTCTTTTGACATTGTCCTCACTTAATGACTGCCAGTTATTATGATCAAGGTTGCTCAAGTCATCAAGTTCCGCAATGGCAAGCAAGTATGTTGTGAGTTTCCTAAGCTCCTGATCACTGTCTCGGCTAGAATGAGCCCTCTTGAATGGCTTGATGGTTAAACCATTTTGTGGGTTCATCACAAAATTCCTTCGCAGATCATCAAACATTATAGTGTTTTTTGAACTGTAGAACTGAACACAACAAGAAACAACTAGTCATCAACTAACTGATCGTTAGACAGCAGAAGAAAATCACAATACTTCTATACAATGCATAGGAACTGTTATCCATCTCCAAATAAATGCTATTGACAAAAAGACAAAATTCATTACTGTGCCTGAAAATGATGGCAATCCATCTAGAAAATAAATAAATAAAAAATGCCCTTACAACTTGTAATGGGCAAATTATAATGATGGTATTGTGTCTTCATATGTTATGCAAAGGAGTTGGCAAACTCTCAACATCACTCAGAAGTTACAAAAAAGGAAACAAGAAAAAGAGCAAAAGGAGATAATTAATAAATCCATAGTTCCATACCTCAGGGAATTGAGCCCAGATCAAGCCTAACGGCTTGCAATCAAAGATCCCACGGGAATCTGATTGAACTGTGATCATTGCTAAATGGTCTAGAAGAGCTGTGATTTTGTAGTTGGGATTGCTGAGTACACCAAGCTCAGCCATCTTCAATTCAACCCATTTCATGCTGTAGAAAGGAAATATATATATATATATATATATCATTAAAATTAAATGAACAGATTATAAATCTATGACCATAGTTATTCATTATTCATTCAAATTCCCTGTAATCTACTAATAGCAAGCAGTTTGAAGCCTTTATTTGTTTGTATACTTAAGCTTCCAGATATAACCTTACATTTAAACTGAGAGGGAAAAAAAAGACTAAAGCAATTTTTTATCAGTTCAAATTAATTCCTTTGTATCTAAGGGAAAAAAACAAAGCCTTAAGTGTTTTGTAAGAGTCCATTCACATGCAAGAAGAGGTGACGCTTGAGTACTGAAAAGCAATTTAAAGGAACTCTCCTCAAACTCATTAGTCTCACCAACATAAATGACTTCTCTCAAATTTATACATGCATAGACACAAACATATCTGGCAGACCTCTTGACACATTTCTAAATGCCTAATTCACAGTCTAGCAAGATAACATGATAGAAAGGTTGAGATAACAAATTAGATTTCATCCGCTATTTTGATCATTCTTATTTATCAAGGTATTTATCATCTGAGCACTATCATTGCATTTAGCCAGATATAGAGGCCATTGTTTTCCAGAATAAAATATCCATTTCAAAGAAAATTATGTCAAAGAACATAAAGGAATAGAAAGAGAAAGGAGTAATTCATTCAACAAGAGTGACAGGAACCAATGTCATTTTGATGTTGAATTTATTTAACTTTATTTGTATCCATCGATAAAATAAGTCTTGTGCTGCCAAAACAGTTCAATTTGGATGAAGGAATTTATTGGTATACTTGCTGAAATCAAGCGGTTTAGTTGCTTCAAATGAACCACAAAAATCTGTATGCAAGTGACTGTAATGGGAGGCTTCTTACAGGATTTGGGATTGATAATGATCAACAATACATAAAAACAAAAGAAAGGATAGTAAAATATCAGCAAATAACCAACTAATTCACTTCCAATGTTATGCAACAATCTCCTAGTTAGCAAATTAGCATAACACTTACAAACATGGGAAAATAATAAGGGACATATGTGTCGCAAATTCTTTACCAGTAGAAATTGTATAGAAATTTTGATTAATCCATCACTACCTGTGCCTTTTTATAGAATTGAGATAGCAATGGAATTTCAAATCGACAACTTACCTGGTTGCAGACCATATCATGATATCGTATTCAGCATAGGCAGCTGCAAGAAACTCATGAAGAACTACAAAATACAGTGTGGGAATGTTAAATGAGAGACACATGGAGACTCTTGAAATGTAGAAACTTGGTATGACGAATATACTCACAAGGCCGCATAAGCTGAAGTGGGTTCTCTGCTGGGGACCGGTGATCAAATAGAGTATAATCAATATCCAGCACAAGCAGTTTCTTTCCTTCCCGGCATGGATTCCGAAGTTCAATCTATAATCCAATGCAAAGAAGAAAAAAAAACACCATATATTCATCTGAAATTGGGCAACTGTTTACCTAGTTTATTTGTTTGTTTCGTTTTCCTAAGCAAACCGATTTGCACACAAATAAATTTGAATTTGAAGCAGAAACAACCAAATAAAATAACAGCAATTACTTTAAAAGTACAAAAATAAATAGAAATAGCTAACCTTGTACTGACTTATACGCCTCCTCAACTTCTGCTTATTGCCATGTTTATCTTTAATTTCAACAGCCTCATCTTGGGGAAGCTCAAAATCATCAACAATGTCTGGAGACTCCACTTGATCCACTATAATGTCATCCTCCGTGGTACTAATTTAATTCAGCAACAACTTATCAAACACTTGGTGTGCATAAAATCATACAGAAAGAACATATAGAGAAATGTGAGAGCGAGAGCAGACCCAATCATGGTCATTTTGAGGGAGGACTTGAAGGGGAGAGAGGAGAGAAAAACGGCGTCGTCGGCGAGCTTTGAAGGGAGGATTTTTGGGTAGAGAAGCTTTTGACGTTTGGGCAAGACGTCGGTGGCTTGGCAGATTCGGCGCTTGAGCTCGCCCACCGTGTCGTCCCCGCATACGCGAACCGTATACTCCTTCCCGCTCCACTTCACTGTCAGTGTTATCTCCTCCTCCGGCAACGACGTCGTTGAGGTTGAGCCTACACCTACTCCTGCCATTGCCATTGCGCAAAAAACAACTGCTTACTTTCTCAATCTGTGTGTGTATGTGTGTGTGTGTGTGTGTGTGTGTCTCTCTCTCTCTCTCTCTCGTTGAGGTTTAGACTTCAGGAGAAGCTACCTATTTTCTATTCTGATTCTTATTTTGTGCTCATTTTCATTTTCTTAGAATTAAATTTAGAGCCCAAATATTGATATTTTTTTAATGTTACTACTTACAAAGGCTAATATGCGGTTTTGCCCTGAATTATATCATAATTGTCAATTTAACTCTTAAGTTTTTTTTTGGGTAAATTAAAGACTTCAACTATACTAGCCTCTCCTTACGCGTGCAAGAGACATAAATATTCATATTCTATTAATATTAGAAGTTAAGTTTGAACAATTGATGAAAATAAAAGTAAATATAAAATTGAACGTGTGCTATCAAAAGAAAATCATATATTAACAGGAAAATCTCCAATTTAAAAGTAAAAACAATTCTGTCAATCGTCATCAAGTGGAAGGGAAAAACAACCTTCAATATGTGTATGAGAAGACTTTCTCTTATACCATCCATAAGAGTGGTGTAAGTGATGGTACGAGGAACAATTCCCTCATAAATACTAGGTAATTACTACACTCAGCTTAACTATAAGCTGAGTTTAAAATAAACTTCACAATGTTTCTTTCATCAATGGCAACAAATCAACGATCAATTCCGTAGTTGATGCATCTGCAGAGAAACCCCTCCCCACTATTTGTTGAATAAGTACCACTGTCCCCGATGTCTCATAAGTCCTTTTGATGATAAACCATAGAAAAAGTCCAATGCATATTCAATATTTCCAGCTATGCATAAACCTTCGATAAGAAAAGTGTAAATCACAATTAGTGAAAACAATACACCTCAATACTACTACAGTGGTCCTTTTTCCTCCCATTCATCTCTTCTTTTTCTTTTCTTTTTTGGTTGAACTTTCATTTTGCTCTACTAAAAAATGGTACTGGTAAAAAAATAAAGGCTGGAAAGTGGTATAAATGCCTAACTGCATTGTCCATTCCAAAGGTGAAATAACAAAAAGAAATGGCAGTAGGTGGGTTACATACAAAGTGCCTCCACATCCATCAAGAGAAAAAGGAAAATAAAAATAAAAGTGCCTCCATGTATATCTAGTCTTCATCCTCTGTTTCTTCATCATCGTCGTCATTGTTTTCACCGTACCTCCAACCATCCTCAACATTGTCGCGGTCCTCCTCTGTCTCTTCACTATCTTCTTCCTCGTAAACTACTTCATCTTTGACGGGCCAGGGCTTTTTCATTGTGTTCGTAGTGGCAGGAGATGGAGTTGAGCCTTTACGCTGAACAACTTTTGCAGGCGGGTACTTTAAGTTTGGTTTGGGCCTGTTTTGTTTCTGGCTCTTGCCATTCACACGTTTTCCAGCATAGGCATCTTGATCACTGGCTTCATCCATCTCATTGTCAGCATTATTAGGCGCATTCTCCGCATTCTCATCGGACATATGGCCTGGATGCTCTCTCCTGAGATGTAGTTTAAGCTTGTATTCATGGATGTAGGCCTTTTCACACCCTTCATAAGGACAAGCATAAGGGCGATCAGATGATGCAGAGCCATAAACCCCTGCGGGAGGCTTGGAAGTTTTGATTTGCTTCTCTGCAGGTGGGGTAGCATATTTTGGCACGTCCACCATCACACTCTGTAAAATTAACAGTAATATTGAGAATCAAGTCATACTTCCTATGTTATTTAAGTCTAGCAAAGTATGAGTGACCAAATTGAACGCAGATAGTTTGGCCCTATTTTCAGATATTTCTATTAGTAAGGAGTAAGGACTGTCCCATGCCTATGAATTAAAAAATTCTTATCTTCTGTATCAAAACCAACAAAGCTTTTGAATTGTACTGAAAATGGCCTTTACCTGTTTTTGATTTGGACTGGTGAATCTAGAAGAAGATAATTAGATTTTTAAAAAAACACGTCAAGTTTCTAAACAGGATGAATTCCAACCATTTGAGAAAGATGTGCTACTTCAAATTCACTCTCAAAATAATTTGAATCTATTTCCATCTATTACAAAGAGTATCAAAACTATATTTTTATATTTCTTTCAACATTTTTAATCAAATTTAATGTAAAAATTTCTATATAAATCCCTCATACAGCCTAAATGAATTTGGGCAAAAAAAATTCCATATCACTAACACTATATTCAGTATAAGAAAGACGAAAAAAATGAAGAAAATAACGGCAAAATATTTCATAAACAATAAAAGTGGGGGAGTATTACCAACCTTCTCATGGTGAGACGAAATGTGGTTTTTAAGCTTGTATTCATGAGCATATCTCTTTCCACAGTCTGGGTATGGACAAATATGATAGTTCTCTTGCGAATGTGTTTTCATGTGAGACCTAAGGTTGAAATCCAGGGAGAAGGCCTGCAGATGTGAGATTTGAACTTAATGACAACACAAAAAATAAAAAGTTCTACATGTCACACACACCAACAAATAAAGGAAATATATTAAGCCCAAAAAGCTCGGGTGATAGTGGGATTTATTTTCTTAATTGGATGTGTAATATTTGATTACTTGTATGACAGTAATCATTATCTTAAGAAGCCTTCGTTAAGGATGCCCATAACTGTAATTCATGAACATATTCTGTTTTGCTGATCCTATAAATTTCACTTTTTTTTCCATATAAATTTTTAAAATCTAGCATCGAAGGTTGTGAAGGAGGCTCGTAGGATCTAGTCAAGCCTATATTAGATATACTTGATTCATTCTGAAAAGGGAAGGTGAAACAGACACGCATACGGCATTTTTAGACAAACAATATTGATCACATGTTGTAGGGGGAAACGTACAACCAACCATCACAAATTCAACATTAGATGCCAGGAGAACAAAGAAAGAAAACAGCAAGGAAAAACTGTTTTTAATAATGGAAAAGATGATACCTTACCACAGCCTTCAAAAGTACACCGATAATCTCTCTCCCCAGTATGAATAAGAAAGTGTCTTTTCAACTTTGAACTATCCAAAAATTTCTGCAACATTCACAATATTATTTTTCTGATTACTAAGCAAGATATTAGAAATTTTGCTGGAAGATCAGTATCCATCCATTGATTTTTCTTTTTCCCTTTTCCCCTTTTCCCCTTTTCCCCCGAAATTCCATTGGTTTACTTACCACTATACCTTAATTTAAAGTAACACTAAAGTGTGATGAGGAACTAAAGGGATTGCATATTTGGGACAGCACAAGACTTTACAAGTTACAGAATAATAAAAAAAGTTACAGGCCAACTACTTACAAAATACTTTCTTCTTGTTTTTTTGTTTAACCAAACTGAAATCCAGAGAGGAAGAGAAATAAAACATAAATTTTGTTGGAAAGTCGGTATCCAACCACTAATTCTTTTTCCCTGAGTTCCATTGATTTACTTGCCAATATACTTACTTAAAACTAAAGCAGTTCAGTTCAACAAAGAATTATAAGGAAGTGCATATTTGGGACAACGCAGGACTTTACAACTTCTAGAAATAAGTTAATGGACCAAGAAACTGAATAAATACTCTCTTCACGTTAATTGACTAATGGTAGACCCCACTTAGCAAATACCTCCTTAAGCCCAACCAGAAAAGTTATTAGACCAACTAGTTAACAAATACATCCTTCATGGTAAGTTAATAATGATAACGTATGGGATTTAACTTCAACATTCACCTTATCATCTGAATTTAAAATAGTAAGCTGATAAATCTTCTCCATTTCTTTTCACAAGATAGTAACTTTCCATCTCAATTCCATAGCGTTACTGTATCTGTGTAAACAGACACTACAAGGAAAGCAAAAGGCAGGGAAAAACATCATAAACATTGAAAATAATACCTTTCCACAACCCTCATAGTGACAAACATATTGTCTTTCCCCATGGATGTGTGAATGCTTCCTCAAAGCACCAGCATCAATAAAGGTCTTCCCACAGCCTTCATAGCTGCAAAGAAAAAGCACTTCGGTTGTTGGTTCTGGCTCTGGCTCTGGTGCCACAGTTTCTTTTGATTTCTCTTTCAAAGCCTTTATTGTATCCGCTAACAAAAACACAAAAAATGAGAAACAAAAAATCAGGCCAAACTGAGGCTTCATAAGAACGAAGACAAACAACAGCTCTCTTTTCATGTCATTCCAAGATGACTCCCTTAAGCCTAAACTCATTTGTGATCCATAAAGTCTCAAGCCTAAAGTAAAATTAACACATTGAATTCAAATAATGCATCACTCACATGGCATATCAGGAAACTAAAACCTAAGGATAAGATATTATACGGCACATGACAACACAAACTCAAGAAATGTACAACCCAGAAAACACTTTAGAAGTCAAATTATTGACTGACAGAATGCATTAGCACTAATGGAATATGAGTACTAGTGCATACAATGATGAAAGTATATGACCTTGATGTACTAATGGCCTATTCATTATGTAATATATATATATATATCAGTTATTCTCTTATCCGGATGTCCGCATGTTATTATCGTGGGGATGCTATTGTAAACAGGCAGGAAAGCAGAGAAGGGTAGTACAAAATACATGACGTCTGCATGATAATAACGTCCGGATGTCCGCACACATCAAAAACCTGCATGCTAACGTCCGTGTGCGTTCTGCATGCTAAGCTATATATATATATATATATATATATATATATATATACAATCACAGAAAAAGAAAGAATTTAGTACACAAGAAAGCTTCCATGACTTCTATAAGATCAATCACAGCTTAGCATGCAGAACGCACACATCATACTAAAGACCGTACTAATTCCATATGTTTGTCTCTTTTTTTCTTTTCTGATAAGAAACTTGCTTTTCTTTTTCTTTATATTCATAAACACTTACTAATTCTATATAATAATTTTGACTCTTGCAAAACTCCTGCAAAATGACTTGCAAAGTAAGGTGGCCTAGAAGTAGGTTCAGGAAGCACACTATAGAACACGGTAGGAAAGAAAAAGTAAGGTGTACCTGTGACCCATTTCAATAGAGAGCACTTCCCACCAGTTGCTACAACATCTTGGGGAACCCTAACAGAAAATTTCATCAAACTATTAGCCAATGCAAGATAAATACTTCAAAATTACCAACCACAACTGGAATCTTTATTTATTTCTTTCTTTATTGGTGGAAGGAGGTCAAACGGGAAGGGATTCAAATTTTTGCATTGGGTATGAGGGTAAATGCTTACTATCACAGGACATACAAGCCCACGGTACTGCAGTGGGCAGCTTGCTTCTAAATGAATTGGTCTTAATCATTATACAGAAAAACAAAAAGAAAGTGTTCGATAAGCTGATTTTCTACTTTGAGAGTTCCTAAGCATTAAACTCAGGGGGAAACATAAAATTACGCGATTTAAACCCAAATTGTACAGTAACCAAATAATGAACCCATTTCATGGAGTGAACTTTTATGTTTACTTTGGTTTTGAAATTGCTAAACAAAGCATTGAACGGCATCTTGGCTTAGATATTGCTACTTTTCTTTCAAATTATCACATAGCCCAACCCATCCTTCTCACTTCTCAGCAACCATCAACTACAATTGAATCCCATGAAAGTACATTGCTTCAGCATGACAGAAAATTGAAAACATAAAACTAAGTGCGCCTCTATTTTCATATATTTGACACCAAAAGGACAAAAATAAAAATAAAACACAACACTCAGAGCAGTGATTTTCAGAGAGTGATAAAATTGAATTTGCACTAAAATTCCAACCCAGGAAGTTCAAAAGATTGTATTTCCTATTGTTTATCTAAGTTTTCTCGGAGACCAAACAAAATCAGTAATTGAGTCCTAGAAACATAATTCATAAAACATCAAATTAAAAATTAAAGAAAAGGAAAAATAGATACCATTCTTTAAACCATTTAACAGCGGGAGTCTTGGATCTGAAGATGGGGCGCCTTTCGAAATAATTGTGATGGAATTGGGTCTCCATCTCGTTCTCCTTTTGTTCGACGCCCTTATTTGAATTCCAAGACCAGAATTAGGGCTAGAATTAGCGTTTGGATATTAGAGAGAGATTGTGAAGGAGATAAAGCTTTGGGTTGAGCAGCTCTTGCTAATGTCGGTTCATCACTTCATGTCTGTTTGCCGGGTCGGGTCAACGGCCGGAGGCTTAGTCTGTTTCTTTTTCTTTGGTCATGAATTTGTTTCTTTTGTTTTTAACAAAAATTGTATCAACCAAGGGAAATAGTTATTTTGCATATCATAAACTCTGTATTTTATTTATTTTGAATTTCTAGAATGATACTTAAATTTATATCGGTGGTAATTGGCAGTTGGCAGTTGGGTGCCAAGTGTTAGTTCTTTAGGCTCGAGGTTGTGGGTATGTCCATATTTTATATCGGTGGCAAAGTTTCAAGAAAAATTATCATGTTTTTCTTACAATTTCTGTGGTTTTTATTCAATTTTTATCTATATTTCTGTTGAAATTTCCATATTTTTGAACTACCGATATTTTCAAAACTATCGATACTTTAGACCTTGTTCACAACCAAGCCGGTCTTAGGAGTGGGTGCGAAGGGTGATAACCATGGGCCTCCAAGTAAGGGGCCTCAACGGACAGGGTCTTGATTAGATATTGGTTTTGTTAAAGTACCCTTTTGTACTTTGGTGGATTTGTATTTCTTCCCAATCCTTGTACGATCGTTTTTATGTTTTATATCAAATTGATGTTTTGCTTAAATGTGTTTATCTAACTGAGCTCCCATTTTGTTTTGATAATATCACAAAATTTGAAGAATTTCTATTAAATATCGTGTTGTTTGAAACCGTCAAATCCGTTGATAGATATATTGAATCATTTGTGAATGGAAGCACAAAAGATGAATTCATGCTCTAAATCTCTGCCACAAATGATAGATTCATGCTTTGTCAGCATTAGAAACTCCTAATATTAACATAAAAGTTAAAGGAATTTACGGTAAGAACAAAAGTGACACAAAAATTAAAATATAAGGACCATAAAATTTCAAAACTAATTTGGAAAACCAAATTGAAACTTGAGTGCAAGTCTTGCTGCCAAACATTGGTTTCCAAACTTAATTTAACATCAAACGTAAAAGGTATGTCAACATTCTCTTGCGTCATCACATGTATATATATACACACACACAGAAGCATCAACAACCCCATACATAATGGGAAATAAATTAACTTGAAAAACAGAGAATAAGCATCAGCACCGAATGACACCCCATCAAACAAAATCTTTGTAATATTCTCTGCCCACCTAATTTCTGGGAATCTTCTATTTGGACTTTGGAATGCATGCCCTGCAGGTTTTCCAAAAGTTCAATATATATATATATATATGAAAAAAGAAAAAGTATAAAAATAAAAGGCATGCTCTGCCCATTGATTGACCAGGCCGAGTTTCTGACTCAACCGAGTCCTAGAGAGTTAACTCAGCCAATATCTGCAGCATCATCCAAAACCTGCCACAAAAATAGCTTCCCACTTGGAACATCAGCATCACTTTGTTCTGTTGCACACTTTGCCTGCTGCAAACTTTTTGCTAATTTTTTCATCCTCGTGGGCACCAAACTCCTCAGCATGTTACTCCAAATCGGTAACCTAACTCGTTCAATAAAACAATTTTCAATCTCCTTAACAACGTCCGTCATTGTTGGACGACATGCTACATCCGATGAGACACAGCTTGCTGCCACATTTAACATGTGCCTTATTGTGCTTGACATGTACGTGGGCAACCCTAGCCTTGCATCACAGATTTGTTCTATTCTTTGCTCTTTGATTAATGGAATTGCCCAATCCACTATTGAAGCTGGTGATTTATAGATGTCAATGACTTTCCTGGAACTTATAATCTCCAACAACACAATGCCAAAACTAAACACATCATTCTTGGTACTTAGTTTGCTAGGAGTGGTGTAACAAGGGTCCAAGTATCCAATAGTACCTGCAGCGGGTTGACTCGGGTGACTCGGCGAGTCGACTCGCAAGAGCACAGCAAGTCCAAAGTCCGCCAACTTGGCATTCCAATCTGAATCGAACAAAATGTTTGCGGACTTGACGTCTCTGTGGATCACCATAGGTTCCCCTTGGTGAAGAAATTGGACCGCCCGGGCAACACGAATGGCGATTTCCACACGTTTAGGCCACGGAGGTGGTGTGGATGCAACATGAAGTAGGTCATGGAGAGAGCCATTGGGCATGAACTCCATGACAAGGAGCTTGTTCTTGTTTGAGTCTTGATGACTTGTTCCAAGAAGGCTTATAACATGTGGGTTTTCGGGTAGAGAAGACAATACACATATCTCATTGTCGAGCTTAAGGAGTGATACTTGATGGGCATGATATTGATCAAGTGGCTTCTTTATGGCAACCAGTTTGTTGACTACTATGGCTTTGTACACCATGCCATGGCTTCCTTTGCCAATGAGCTTAGTTGGAGAGAAGCTTTCTGTTGCCTTCACAAGTTGATCATAATCAAAGTCCACCATTTTCTTCTTGATGAAAAATATACCAAGAAGTTAGACTTTGATGAGTTTGGATAGATGTGGAGGGAAATGGAAATGAGGGGTTGTATTTGTTTGATGAGGTTGATGGGTTTCATGTAGGTGAGAGTGGGTAGGAGCAATACTGGAAGAGCTTTTGGAGATGCCAGCGAATAAAGAGGCTGTGGGGGACATCAAAAGGAAAAAGCAAATAGTAAACAAAAATGAAAATGAAAGAAAAGAGTTATTGAGAAAAGGAAAAGGTAGCAGTCTGAGAGAAAAGCAAAACCCTACAACGAAAGGCTTCTGACCAGGGATGAGATCGATGATGCTCCATTAGATTAGATATGCTGGTTGGTTTGATTTCCCTGGTTGTTTGGTCCCTCTCCCACCCTATAACACTTTTTTATTTTTCAATTGTAATTTAATTTAGATCGAGTTAATTACAGCAATGATCCCTGGATTATTACCCGAATGTTGTTTCAATCCTTAAATTTGTTTTTTTCAAATCTATTGTCCTGGTTTTTTTTCTTATTCACTTTAGTCCTTCCTTACCATTAATTCGATCAAATTTTTCTGTCAAATTTAGGGTAAGCTCCTCATTTCACCTGTCATTTTTAAAGAATTAATAAATTGAAGAAAAAAAATTGAAAAATGAATTCTTATGCTCCATGGAGGAGCAGCGACCCGTGGTGGACTCGTAAAGACAGATTGGAGTCAAGCTCCATTCACAGCCTCTTCTTGCAGTTCAAGTAGTGCTGCTACATCATCTGCATCCACTAGTGGTGCTTGGTTTTCCCAAGAGAACAGTACAAGTGAGGAAAGATTGAAAGGGGTGCACAACAGCTACATGATATAAAAGATAACTGACGCAATTAACGGGGTCTAGCCCAGTAGAAAAGTAACTTGATTTGCAGATCAATGATTTCATGTTCGAATCATCATGGTACCTTGATAGTGTGTGTGAGTAACTCCACTATCCGTTGTAATTTAGACTATCGCTTGTATTAAAAAAGTTCATGCCCATAAAAAATTTCCATTATGAATGCAGCAAGAGTTATTCATTATGTATGGTGTGTCAAACTTATTTTATCCACGAGCGCTGCATGATTATAAAATCATGGTAGAGCCTTTAGCAGGCATGTCTTATGTGTTGGAGATAAAAATCATGAATGCTCTTAGCTATATAAACTTATCCTAACTTTCTTATTAGGATTGGGCGATTTTAATAGCGTGAGATTGTAGCATGTGCATGCAGTCCTTAATTGGAGGTATAAATGTCGTCGTCCAAGTTCTGTCACGCACATCAGTGTTGCCCGTGTCGTTTAATTCCGTTAAAATTATGTTATTTTGCTGGCATGTCGTGCATGTACGACTCACAAATCTATGATATAAAAAAGCTTCAAAAAATGGAAAAACTTCGAATTTAAAAAAAGAAACCTGCACATCGAGAAAATAAAGAGAAACAGAGATAGAGAGGGAGAGACGAGAGAGGGGGTTGGGGACCTAGGTCAGTGATTGGATCGGGAGGAGACAGAGAAAGAGGGCGGTGATTACGGCACATGGTGGTCGTGCTGGTGGCTACAATATGGGAGGGGGTTCGGTGTGTGCAGGACAAAACGTAGAGGACAACATTGATTGCTAAAAACAAAAATGCATAAAATTAAGTATTTCGCAGACGTTAGGGACTATTTGTGATTAAAACCCTAAAAAGATAAGTGCATTATAATTGAGCACAGAAAAAATCGAAAGGAAAATAGGTTGAACCAAAAAGATTCAGAAACCAATAACTTTGTTAAACAAGGTAAAAAGACATACATCACATGGACAAAAGAAGACCTCCAAAAGCATACCAAATAATTGTCTCTGCATACAATAATTTCAGAAATCCAACCATTTGGTGAAGTAGACACACGTCCTTGGGGAAATAATACCATCTGGCGTACACTGACTTATCCGCGGACAAACTCCACATGGAATGGAAGCCATGGCCCCTACTTTGGGCTCCCGTTTAGTACCTCCCTTGCTTGTGGATTTATAGCAAACTTTCCCAACTGGAAATGAAGCAAACTCCCCCATCCCAGTGCTCTTCACCTCCGTGACCCGCTTGTCCAAAACCAAAACCCTCAGAATCTCCTCAATTTGCGGTCTTGTGAACGAAGTTTTGAATATTCCACTCTTTTTAACTTCATCAGAAATTCCCTCCAAGGTAGCAACCTTGAGCTGATATATGATCTTTGCAAACCCGTCTTTTACACAGGTTATGTAATATTTATCGAGGGTCCCATTAGAATACCAATCCCCACCGGTTAACTCCTTGGAGGGCTCAAACTCTGAAGCCATATAATGCTTTCTCCCCTTGCTTTGGACATTTACAACCTCTTTTATCAGGTTCTTCGCTTGGAGTGATTTTATGGATTTGCCAACCAGATTGTCGGGGAGGTTCGCTTCCTTCTTCATGTCTCGTGTCCAAATTCCCATATCTTGCTTGCTTCGGATCACATTATATATGATTTTCTCGTGCTCTGTCAAAGACTCCAACGGGGAATTAGAGTCTGGCTGTTTCCGTTTGAGTGCTGAAGGTCTGCTCATCCTATGATCCTGTCGAGGGGTAAAGAAAACAACATAAGAAACTTTGTTGACACTTACATCACAAAGCTCTAAGACTTGGTTCTTTTTTGAGGTGTTAAAAAATAAATCATTACTTTCTATGGGATAAGATACAACGTAAAATCCAAAAATGTATTCACTTAAATTAGAAAGACTATTTTTGGTGGCAGAGAAACAGGAAAAGAAAGCAAACAAAAACACTCAAACAAGTTAATATCCTTCGGAAACAATTTGCAACAGAAAAATGCAAAATTTTCACCGAATTTGGTTTCCTTAAAAAATGAGTGGTAGTGTTCTTCTGAGTCTAAAGTTTCCTTTTTTCACTTCAGCTACACTACCATTATTTGATTTTCTTATTTTTCAGACTGTTTCATAGCAACCAAAGACAACGGATGTTATTTTTTTCAAAGAAAAACAGCATATACCCAAAACAATCAATATGCAAACTAGAAAAAATTGGTTTTTTGTGTTTCATTGCTAAGAACAAGTAAGAAATATAAGAAAGTAATGAATGCTGGTGTTCTGAGTCCCAAGTTTCTTTTTTCACTTTCAAGTCAGAAAACAGGAAAATCAATGAATCGTAGTGTTACTGAAAGTTATTAAATTTTTAAAAAAAATTGCTGAAAGTGAAAAAAATAAACTTTTGTTAGAATTTGCCACTTAGACAATACATGAAACCTCTAGCATCAAAAGAAGATTCAAGACATGGCATAAATACCAAAACAGATTCAACAGATGCCACTCATACATTACAATCCTTGAAGAAAAAAAACAAGAAATGCTAGAAAGAAACAGGAAAAGCCACATGATTCATTTTCGAAACCAGGAAATGCTTGAAAGAAACATCTTTCAAATTTTTACATTCCCAAAGCACTTCTTATTGATTCTCTAGCCAAGAAATATAAACTTATAAATAGCATGTAATGAGAATATTAAAAACTACAAGTGTATGATTACAGCCTCAAACAAGCCCGATTGCATAAACTCAAAGTCCCACTGCATATTTTTGAGCTTTAAACAAGCAAATCGCATATCAGAAGCATCAACAAGGACTGATTTATCAATTGAACCACAACACAACAGATTCTATTAGATTCATCAACAAGGAACTGATTTATCAATTGAACCACAACACAACAGATTCTATTACAAGCATGAACATAACAGATTTATCAATTGTGTCGATGGAATCCCATACAGTTTGTCAAAAGCGAGATGTCTCTTTGTTTTAACTAGCAGCGGTTACATTATTGCTCAATTCATTGAACCAAAAAAGGGGTCACTCGAAGAAAAATCAAAACAGTGGGGCAACAAATGCAGTCCTGACCCATTTTGTCAACATCTTTTTACATATACACAATTATGAAGCAGGATGCATTTAATGAATGCTATGGCAAATAAATTTGCTTTGTTTTTTACACATCTAATTGTTTTTTTTTCTTTTGCAGGAAACTAGAAAGAGTGGACAATCAGAGGAAGAGAAAACTAGAATTGAGAATCATATACCAAAAGAAAAGTAGGAATTCGAACAGAAAGCACCAAAAGTAGTTTCATATCAAACGGGCATGACATGAACTCAATCCAACAGTTATGAATCATTAAACCACATATTAGATGTATATTACTTGCCTTTTCTAAGGAGAATCAGTCTGTTTCTTACCCATCATATTTTCTTTTTTGCAGGAAATTAGGGAGGGTGAGCAATCAGAGAAATAGACCGCAGGGCTTAAGCAAGATTGTCTCGTAACAAAAACTACACAGACCACAGTGAATGACCCCAAAAAAAAATTCAAACAAAACAATCAAAAAGTACCCAGGAAAAAAAACCGAAAAACTAACCAAAGTAACGAGCCAGAGATGATAGAATGTGAGACGGAGTCGCAGAGATGAGAGCCTCCAGCCGGAGTGACGCCGGACCGATGTTGTGCGCCTCTTCGGTTATGGCTTCGCGTCGACTGAAATAGATAGAAACGGTTCAAGTCGACGGCGCCGGAGGGATGAAACAGACGGTGTAGCAGAGGCGTGCGGCGAATGATGAAAAGCTATTTTGTTTTTTCACAAGTGGAAGAAGAGGAATGTCCTTTTCTGTGGGTAAAAAAACCTTCATTCATTTTAATTAAAAGAGGGTGAAATAGTAAAACACCACTAATAATAACAGGCTAGTCAATGGCATAATAATGGCCGTTGCTCACGAGCCGATTGGGCTTTAACTTGGACCTGCTTAGGCTCGTCAGTGGGCCAGTTTGGTTTGGTCCTTTAGGTCCCATAGAGGGGTAGCTTTCCATGCATGCTTTTTGGTTGTCATATATGTGTTCTTGGAATGGAAACAAGGATGGTCATCAATGTTAAACATGGTGTAGCATTACCATTCTAAAGACTTGTTAAACCATACATTCATATGAAGGAAAAATAAAAATAATTATTATGTTGAAGAATATGAGTCCCGCATCAAGAACTTGACTAAATAAAATACAAAATTTAATAAATTGTTCTACTACTAATAACACCGAGGCATTTTGTGATAAAACTCCACACCTACTGGGCTTTGTAGGTGGTTAAGTTGGAGATAATATCAATGTTGTTAGTAGTGGGATGCTGGCCCGTTTCTCTGAATTTAACAAATTAGATATTCAAGGTGCAAATTCAAGATAGGTACCAAAATATTGAAATTGAAAACGTGAATACTAACATGCTTTAAGGGTGCAAGTTCAAGATACTAAACTAAATTGGAAAGCGATTACATTTTGAGATTGGCACACCAAACCATATACTATTGAAGAAGATGCTCTAATAAAAATCGTAAAACTCGGATTCAAAGAGTCCTCAGAAAATTGATGTTTCTGAAATCATATGAGTGAAATTTGCCCGTAGGCCATAGATTTTATTTAGACATTAGGAAGGTGAAGGTCCTACGCACACCCGTACATGCATGTACCGCATATGCATGTGGAGCCCTATCAATGCCGATAGAGACGCATGAAGGTTTCTACCTATGGTGCAAGGTACAAATAATGTACCTAATTGTAGGGGTTACCCATAGACATCTAAATAAAAACAAAACATTTAATGCAAATAAATAAATAAAATCCCCATTTCATGCAGGCAAAATTTGACTTTTTAAATTCATTAAGGCGGCTTGATTAAAAACAAGAAAAATTTGAACACCATGAGAGTGAATGTGCTACCTATTCTACACCCGAGTTATTCATAACTTTATAGTTGTTTATCTAATTTTAAAATACATTTACCAAACTATTACCAATCCCATGAGATGGGCTCTAATTATGCATGGTCCCGCCCAAATAGACTGCATAGTATGATTTTATTCCTTAATATGTTGCATGTTATACTAGTGGTTAGAGCTCAGAATTTATTGTACTGTCGAAGCATAGTAACTAATATATACAAGACAACTTCATGATGCATAATTAATAGTTTTGTATTCTTTTCATGGTTAGGAGAGTTTCATAGCCTCCCCCTCCCTATTGCCACAATATCAAGTATGAGACTCTCTTGAGTGAGAACAAATAATTAGGTCTTCCGATAGAGAAATATGGAAGAAGAAAGATAAGAGGTTTGTAGCTAAAATAGTTAAGAGCGGTTATTTATGCATTCGAGATCGAGATTATGTGTTGAACCTCAACTGGTCCAATATCGCTTATGTCAAAAAAATAAAAAAAATAGAGAGAGTATTTTGGGATGATGGAGGTGGGAAAAGAGAATTATTACTTTTAAAAATTTAACTGATGGGAAATTCGTTATTTAGAAATAAATAATTATTATTTTGAATTTCTCACGTACGCGGGACTTTGACTTAAAATTGAGCGGCAGATTCAGCTTTTATGTTGTTTTTACCGCTTACTTTGTTTGGCAAAGAGAAAAGGTTAATAAGTGGGAGGGGGTAAAGGTTAAAAGGGGAAAGTTAATGGGAACAGAAAGAAATGAAGATCAGCACTGAAAATTTCAATGATGTCTGACGGGAGACGGTAAATTTAGGTTGACAGCGGTGCACAAAATCTGAAGCAAACAGACCAATAATTTAATGGCCTTAATTAGGAAAGTCGTCCAAGTGGGTAGGGGGGGAGCCTCAGTATTTTCTGACTTGGCCTGTGAGCTGTGACACAGACATTTTGGAATTTCATGCTTTAAATAAATTGAAATCAATTTTTGTTGGTTGGAAACTTTGGAATTGAATTTAAGACTTTAAAAATTAAAAAAAAATTGAAAAAAAAAAAGGAAATGAAAAAGGGTTGCGATGTGTCTCCATCGAGAATCCCTTTTTATACGGAGAACCAAACAAAAGGGTATAATGCATCAACAGTAATTCCCCACTGTGACCACTGTCCTTTCCTAACAGTCGATACAGTGAAATTAATATAAGCAATTACCCCACTTTACACTTTTACCCTTCATGTATACCTATATTTCTATTCCAACCCACACCATATTCCACGTTGTTTTGTTTATATCATTGATGGGATGTGTAGTTATCATGAATGGATATTGAAATTATTGCAGTTTATGGGTAGTAGAATTATTCCAATTCTATTATCTTCAACCTAATGTTGATATAATTTTAATTCCTTAATTCCCTTGTTCTTAGATTTTCCGATTCATTATGTACCTCATTCCTAATAAGTAAACATAATATAGTAACTCAAACAATAAAGTAACTTGATTAATCAATGAACAAAGTTTATTCCAAATGGCTAAAAGAATTATGAATGTGCTTTTGATTTACTATGCTCGATTCTCTCTTTCGCCCCGATATTGTTTATGTAAAAAAAAAAAAACGACTCTAATGATAATTTTTTATTATCTCAAATGCTATACAAACTATTGTAATTGTTGTAGAATAAAACGACTAGTCTCATTAAAACTTAAAAGAAGACAAACACAAAAAGTTTGAACTTCTCTAATACGAAACATTCCTTCTCATGCCCTACTTTGTTGTCCTAATCCCCCTTTTCACATTATACTCATTTTCTCATAATTCTAAATTAAAATCATCCTATCCATCCTCATCAAGTTCTACAAAACAAAAACAAAAACAAAAAAAACAAAAAACCCTGAATTTGAATAATCTAGCCTCCAAGCATTGCTAGAAGTTTCCTTACTTATCAGTAATGACTAATGAGTATTAGAATCATTTCAATTTCTTCTAAACTTGTGTTTAATAAAAAATCATGGGAGTTACATGGTAAAATTCGTAATTATGTACCCTCAAAACTGGGAATCAGACAAGCTAGAGGAGAGTAGTTGATTCGATTCCTATTTTTTATTCCTGAATTCTTAAGTTCCCCAATTTATGAGACTTCTTTTACAATTGGGAGTAAACATGAGTGTTATTTGTTCAGCTAATAAAATTCTTTTTTTTTTTTTACACTTCGCTTACAAATTGATGAATTATCGCACTATTTTCCCAAGTTACATGAAAATTTGTGGAGCCCAACTGAAGTTATAGGGGCAGATGACCCCAGGGGCTTATGGTGGCTCCGCCCTCGGTATTTATATGTCTCTAGACTCCAGAGAGAGAAGAGAGTGGTAAAGTCGGCTCTAATTTATAATCATGTTAAGGGATTAAGTTATATGTTTGTTGAATTAAAAATGGTTAATCTGATAAAGATAAAGATGTGGGTTGGGTTTGTGTGGTTATTAATAGAATTAATTAAGCTGGATGATTATCTGTTCAAATTAAAATATTTTATGTAAGAGAGTGGGTCCAAGTCAAATTGTCTGGCTGATTAGTGGCATGAATTTATCCCTTTGTTATTCTATTGTAATAAATTGTTGTTGATTTGAAATATGAGAAAGTTTAAATTGATTTGAGCACCCAATAAGGTCAAGTTTAGCATTTATTTATACAAGCAACAATCTAAATTACTTTAATTTACGAGAAGAGAGATCGAACTCGAGTACAAGGAGGAGAGCAACTGGGACCATAACTCACATTTATATATTAAACCCTAAACACTAAGCATCCTTAATTTTGAGTGGAAGAGTTGCATTTGCTTAACTTTGTCATTAGATTCCGTTGTTCTTAATGAATAACATCTTAGGTTCATTTACATTAAGCACATATGACTGCTTAAGTAAACCCTGCAAGTTTGGTTCAATTTTAAATGACCATATAAATTTTCCGTCGATTGTTCAAACCCTATGAAAGTTCTCGAACACTAGAAGAATAGTGTTCAAGCACTCATCATCTTTACTTCATAGTTATATTTTGATCAATAAAATGTAACGATTGTATTAAATTAGTAATTATATAAATGGCTTTTTGATGAAGGGCAAGATAGAAATTGCCGAAAAATAAATGGTTCAACACCAGAGAAAATGATGCAAGAAAAAGGCAACAAGCTAGTTTTGGATACTCGCATACCCATTTGAGAAAAGAGTCTTTTTTTTTTTTTATTTTTTTTTTTTATACAAGCGATGTCGACGGAGGACATAATCGAATCTAAGACCTTAGGTATAGGGATAAATACTATTAACCACTTAAGCTACAAGCCCCCTTACGAAGAGTCATTTATTTTTTTTAGATTTTTAGATTTTTCTTGCATCCTAAGTAGGTGTTAGGATAATTTTTTTTTATTTTTAGAACCAATCAGTTTAGAGTTTGAATTAGGTATTAATTAGAACCGAAGTCATAAAAGCCTTAAAAAAATGGGTTTGTGATGAGGATCGATATATTATCATACTTTAATTTAACCATAAGAATAAACGAAGAAAAAAAAAGATAAAGAAATATAAAGAAACTATACTTTTATGTCCGTTTGTCATTTAAGCATATAATATAGATGACTTGTTGTATTTTCAAATCGTGCATCCCTATCATCATCATTGTTAGTAATGATGCTTTATAATCATTCTCCAAATTCATTTGCAAAACACCCTATTGTCAACCTTATAATGGCAGTTAGGGAGAATTGCACCGCCTTTCTAATTAATGGGAAATTAAACAAGTGCATGAGGTAATGGTCCAGTTTAAATACAATGATTAACTGTTTTGTATTATGACTGACCTAGCGATAGATAATTCGTCGTATCACAAAAATATATATTAAACATTAAGTCTCACTCGGTACACAACTAATGGATCAAGCGGTCAAAATAAGACATTACGCAAACGGTCTTGATACCGACCAACTACCAAAAACTATGATAGATCGTGAAGCTATTAAGTTATTTTTCATAGGTTTGTTTATGGCAATAACAATATTGTTTTTGAGTGTTGAAACTAATATCGTAAATTGACTTGTAACTTAAGTGATTATGAGTATTTATCATATACTTGAGTTCTTATGCTCAATTTCCACCCATAATATAAGTTGTAATGGAAATTTAGAATATAAAATGATACCTCTACAAAAATTTGACAAAAAGCATATAATCGGAACTGAGTTTTGTTTCCACTAACCAAAGATGATCTTATATAAATTGGTAATTTGTGAGGTCTTGTTATTGAAGTTACAAGTTAGTTAACAGCAGCAGAAACAATTCCTGTCTTTTCATAGCACGAGTGAGCAGCAGCAGTCTCTAAACCTCACTATTTTGTTATTTTCAACCAATAAAATTTAGACATATGTTATAATATTTTCACGCGATATAGCATTATCGGTCGGAAATAACAAAACATTAGTATCCCAATTACAACCAAGTTTTCCTCCTCCACTTCACCAATAGAATTATAAATAAATATGGCAGGAGGGTGCCCCAATAGAGAAAAGAAAAATAACATAAATAATAAATAAATAAATACTAACAAAAAAAGGGAAAAAAAGAAACAAACAAAAACAGTGTAGGGTTTTGGGTTGGGATGAGCTGTCCTACTGCATTAGATGCTTTATCTGATGCTTACCTGCCGCTGTCTTGCTGCTTGCTGCCCTGGAGTCTGGACTCACCCTCTTATATTTACCATTCAACCACTGCTCTCTCTCTCTCTCTCTCTGTGCAGACACACCAGTTTCTTTTCCTCACCTAATCACACTTATCACCCATCTCCTCTGCTGGCCTCTTCTGAATTAATTCTCAACTTTTTTCTGAGACAAATTAATACTCAAGAATCATGACAGTTTATGAAAAGTTCACTTGCTTCTTCTTCTGGATTAGGATTTCACAAGAAAATGGATTTCAAAATCTTGTTTCTCCTTATTCTGGTCTGAAATCTCACACGGAGATGCGGAGAGAGTGAGAGTGGGTGGTAAAAAACAAATCCGAAGGACAGCCTTGAGAGAGGTAAAATCTCAGATTTTGTGGGCACCTCTGCAATTGTCAAATGGGCTACTTGAGTCATGAAAGGACCAATTTGCCCACAGAATAGTAGGTGATGATGCAGGACAATGTTGGGTTTTCAAAGCCCAAAAAGAAAAAAAGAAAAGAAAAGGAGAGAATGTCTTTATAGAGAGAGGGAGAGAGAGAGAGCATAAACAAATGTTCTCATAATTACTGGGGTTGGGGGGCATAAAAATCCGAGTGTAACAAAGGCTGATTTTTAACATTCCTTTTACGAGAGACCCCACGAGTGGGCTAAGGCTTCTCCTCTTGTATTCTTATTTTCTTTCCTCCACCACAAAGGTCTTATTAGGTCCCCCACCTGCTGCTTCTTCTCTGTATCTAAGTCATCTTGACCTACTCAATCAAAACGCTCTCTTTCTCTCTCTTAGTTTCTCTCTCCTACTGCTGCTGCTGCTGCTGAGGGAAGGGAAGGACAACAGTTAATCATAGACCAAGAGAGAACCCCACAAACTCTTAGTCTTAGCTAGGTCCAACCCCTGCAAACATTTTAAAGAGATTCTCACTCACTCCACGTTCTCTCTTCAAATCTCCAAACCCCAAGAAAAAAAAAGAGAAAGAATAAGAGAAAAATAAAAAAAAAAAAAAAAAAAAAAAAAAAAAAAAAAAAAAAAAAAAATTTATTTTTGTTTGGAATGACTGGTAAGTTAGAGAGAGAGAGCAAGAGCCTAGCTAGCAAGAGAGAGAGAGAGATGGGGTTGATCAATCAGACAGCAGCTGCTTAAAACCCAAGAAAACCCAAAGAAACATAAAAATAAAAAAGATATCCCTCCAAACCCCCCACCCTTCCCCACCAAATGGACTTATCAAATTTCCAAAGCACCAACAACAACAAGAAGCAGCAGCAGCAGCAGCAGCAACAGAGCAACACTAGTAACAACAACACAAGTCATCACCAGCTCCACCAGCACCTTCTTCATCCTCATCCTCATCATCATCATCAACAGCAACCAAAACAGCAACAGTCCTCACCTTCTTCCCAGTTTGTGGTCCCCTTTGATGGCAGCAGATCTTCTTCTGGAGCAGGAGCAGGAGGAGGAGGAGGAGGGGGAGGGCCCCCTTTCATGGGCTCCATCTCAATTCAAGCTGGCCTCACCTCTACTCATACACCAACAACAACTTCTGCTACTGTTTCTGCACAACCACCAGCTCCTTCCTCCTCTTCTTTGTCTTCTTCCTCCTCCTCCTCTCCCTCCTCCACCTCCACCTCCACCGCTCCTCCGCCCCACTTGGTCGACGCCTCCCTCGCCATCGCCACCAGATCCGACTCCCACCCCTCAACCCGACCAGCCCCGCTCCTCGACTCCGCCAAGAAAAACCAAATTCATCAGCAGCAATTGACAATTTCACCCACCAGTACTACTACTGCTACACCACCAGCACCACCAGCCGCAGCAGCAGCAACCCAAGTAGTGAAACGATCCACCAAGGATCGGCACACGAAAGTCGAAGGCCGAGGCCGCCGCATACGAATGCCGGCCACCTGCGCCGCCAGAGTCTTCCAGTTGACGAGAGAATTGAGCCACAAGTCCGACGGCGAGACAATCGAGTGGCTCCTCCAGCAAGCCGAGCCTGCGATCATCGCCGCCACCGGAACGGGGACCATCCCGGCCAATTTCTCCAGTCTGAACATCTCCCTGCGTAGCAGCGGATCAACGCTCTCCGCTCCGCCTTCCAAGTCCGCCTCTCATTCCTTTCCCGGCGCCTTGGCTCTTGCCCATCACCCTCACTACGACGAGGGTTTTCCCCATTCGGGTTTGTTGGGGTTTCATCAACATCATCAACAACATCAACAGCAGCATCATCACCATCATCATCAGCAGCATCAGTCTCCTCTTATGACCGCGGATCAAATTGCAGAAGCGCTTCCAAGCGGCGGCGGAGACAGCGGCGGTGGAGACTCCACCGACAGTTATATGAGAAAGCGCTTCAGAGAAGATCTGTTCAAGGAAGATAATCAAGGGCGAGGCGAAGGCGGCGGAGGCAGCAGCGGAGGAGGAGGGTCGCCGTCTGGGAATAAGGCTTTTAAGAGTAGCGGAGGCTTACAATTGCAAAAACAACAACAGGGGTCGGAGGGGGAGGCAGGACCTTCAGGGCTGCTGAGGCCACCTTCGAATATCCTGCCACCCACTGCCATGTGGGCAGTGGCACCCGCCCCGAACAGCGGTGCTGCTGGCAGCACATTCTGGATGCTGCCAGTAACTGCCGGTGCTGGTGGGCCCTCAATGCCCACCGGGACGTCCGGGGCTGGTCCTTCCGAGGCTGCACAGATGTGGACGTTTCCGTCCGCACCTGCCAGTCACGGGAGTACATTGCAAGCGCCATTGCATTTCATGCCGAGGTTTAACCTTCCAAGCAGTCTTGAATTCCAGCAAGCCGGCAGCCGAGGGAGCCCTCTCCAATTGGGTTCCATGCTAATGCAGCAACAGCCATCACAGCATCTTGGGCTTGGAGTCGCCGACTCGAATTTAGGCATGTTGGCTGCTCTGAATGCTTCTTACTCTAGAGGTGGTTTGAATATGAATTCTGAGCACCACCAGCAGAATCATCCATTGGATCATCATCATCAACAACAACAACACCAGCCTCAAACTACTGATAGTGGAGATGAGGCCCCAAATAGTTCTCAATGACATATAAATATTGGTTAGTTTTATTTCTTATTAATTTATATGTACATCATAAAATGCAGCTTGGTTTAGTCCTTCCCAAATTTTCATTAATTATAGGAGCAGCAGGAACTAGAGATTGTTGGGTTTGTGTTTTTGCAGATTTGGAAGTGGAATTTGAGATGATGGGTTGAGAGTGCTTGAAAATTTCCATGGGATATGGTCATGTCATCTGATGAAAAAGATAGGTTTCCTAGTTCTCATTTGTAGCATTGTTCAGTTTGAATTTCTTCAATTTATTTTCTAGATTGGTGTGGAGAAAAACCCCAAGATTAGTATGTAATTTGTTAGTGAATTTGGTCCAAAGGGACTCAAAGGGAACAGGCAGAGTGAAATTGTATAGGAGGATATTTGTGTTGAGTGTTTTTTTTTATATAAATATTTGTTTTGTTTGTATTGAGAAGAGAAAATGGAAAACAAGCAAAAAGAATTTAAAAGAGAGAAAAATTCAATAAAATTTTATTCATCTCTTCTCTTTTCAGTATTCACACGTTGTATAAAGCATCTCTTTTTTCCCTCTCAATTGGCAAAAGGCTAAAGCCAACCAAAAAAATCTTGAGCTTCTCTTTATGAGATGGAAAGAAGTTGCCAGATGCAGAGACCAGCTCAATGCCTGCATCAACCCTTTCTTACAAAACATATAGGACAAGGAGAAGAAACCCAGCAACCAACCAAGTTTGATGTGCATGTGGAGAGAGAGAGACAGAGAGAGAGAGCAAATATTATATGAACTTTAATCAATCCAAGACAGAGAAGAGACAGAGAAGAGAGAGATTAAAACAAACCTGAGAAGGCATGCATGCTGGCTTTTACCTTCCACCACTTTTCCCCTTTTTCTAATACACAGTTTTATCCTAAAACTTTTGTGTTTGTCCTCCTAATTTATAAATGTATGTGATAATTATGGATTAAAATATATACCGTGTCCATGAAGCCTTCCCCAGGCATGTTTGATTATGTTCTTTAATTATATTAAAATTTAAATTAAATTATTAAGAAAGGATAAGAAAACTATGAAGAATACGAACCGAACCAAAGCGTGCATAGTTTTTGGTTTCAATCTCATTTCAATTTGAAGGGTGAATCGTACCGTACTGAACTCAACTCTCCTACCTCTAATGAAAGAAGAAAGACATAATTCAAGTAGTTAAGAATATTTGCTTTTATACTTGAGTTCGTGTGTTTGATTACCACAATTTTTTAACAGCACTTGTATTTTTTTTTTATAAATGAAAGGAGTAAAAATGAAAACACTGTAATTTTCTTTTTGGGTATCTGGAAAAGAAAAGAAAAAAGCATTGCGAAAATGAAAAAAAAGGGGGCAAAATTAATATAAAGCTAGCTGCGAAATGAAAGGGGATAACACAAACGGTGAGGGTGACTTTTGTTTTGACTTGTACAGTCAATTCAGATGACTTTTTCGTTTTCATTGCTTAATCATTTTCTCCCATAATTAATATGTCTACACGATGTGGATTTTGTATAGGGTCCCCTAGAATTTTGTTTCTATTTATATATGTCCCCACCAAATTCTGATTTTTGTTTTTGTTTTTAAATGAAAAAAAATTTGCGTTCATAATTCAGCTGTAAGGGCTAATACAAATGCATGAGGTATTACTTTTTTAGTATAAGCGATAGTCTAAATTACAAGGAGACGCTACTATGATGTCATGAAGGTTTAAACCTGAGTGAGACCACTAGTCTGCAAATCAATCCCCTTTTCAATTGGGTTAGATCCCGTTGGCCTCACTCTTTTCTAAAAATAAGATATTGAGGCATCGTTTGGTAAACAAATTTTTTAATAAAAGAATTGTAAAAATCGACAAACAAAGAAGGAAAAAAAACTCAATTGGCACACGCTTTACGAGACTAATGACGAATAATACTAACGTAATTTTCTTCAAAACATTAAACATAATTGATTTATTTTGGGTAATTTCATCAAATATTGTCAAAGAGAGCTTAAGATAGTTTTTGTGATCTAAAAGTTGAAGAAAAATAATGAGCGGCGGGGCAAGTGGTAACCTCAAGTGAACCCAGTGCATTTGAAGCCCTAGGATTGGTAATGGGCATAGGAGACAAAACTCAACTTTCACCCAATTCATAACAAAATGTTAAAAATATAATTCTAATCTAAGCACATTCACTTAATCATAATTTATTGTGTTTGGGCAATTGGCAATTGGCAATTAGGCATCGGTGAGCGATCCACTAATCCCGCAATTTACGCAAGATAAAGCTAAAAACTGGGATTAATTAATTAAATTAACCCAAAGCTGTAACCATAAGCATAAAAAAAAGTGATTAATTAGATATATTATGCTATATAGTTTGACTTGTTTGTTCACAAAAAGTTGCAGAATTTTTTTTATAATTTAAACTTTTAATCTCAAATTCTGATGAGGAGGGAAAGGACATGGGATGGGATGAGCGATCATGACTCATCATGAGGAGGAATAGGGGGAGCTTCTATAATTTAAAGCTTATCGGGTCGATGGACGGTCAGGATTGATTGCCGTGCTTTATCTCATTTGTCATGGGAATAAATCAGATCATTTATTTAATTATGCGCGCGTGGCGCTTCACGTGCGCCAATCATATGTGTTGTAAGTGCGGTTTTGGCGAGACTGGACAGAGATAAAGCGCGTGGGTCAAAAGACTAAGTAATAATATGCACAAAGCGCCAACAATAATCACTCCCTCGACTTAATCTGTATCATGAAAATTTGTCTTTAAAAAAAAAATTGTTTTTCTTTATTTATTTCTAATTCTCATTTGAAACAATTTTTAGTATTGAAAAGAGAAATACAACTAAATCAAGAATACTTGGTATACAAACTAAACGGGAAACGGGGTTTCCTAACAAGTAATTATTTCATTTATCAGGCTTGGAAAATTCATTTTTGCTTCATAGGAAAAATGAAGGATGCCCTCCATCTCGTTCCTTTCTCATGAAAAATCAAGGCAAACATTAATTGTATTTTATGACCAATCTGCCCCTATTAGTTACGTGTAAAGGTTAACATAAGTTACCTTTTGCATATTTCTAATTTAGGGTATAATTGAAAATCAATACACATTATGTTTTCATTTCCCGCACAAACCAAACACGAGAGAATAAATAAAACGATATTTATAGTTCTTTCTCAGTGTTACCTAACTTGAGATAGAAATCTTCCCCTGAGAAGGATATTTGAATTCATTTCACATGTGTTTCTTTATGCACACCAAACGCCTATAGTTTGTGTATTATAAAATTATAAAGTTCCAATTTTAGAGGAAGATAATCACAAAAAGAAAGAAAGAAAAATAAAAAAGAAGAAGTCAAAGAATGGCTGACCGCGTTGCCGGTTCATTTCACAACGACGACTAATGCTGCTATAATATGATGGTACTTTTTTGTATTATCCAACTTGAGTTTTAATGGAACTTTGCTTAAATGGCTGAACAAGTGCCAACAACATTCACTTGATCTTTTGTTCCTGGTCAGACTCAAGACATGGACCGACCAAATCCACTGAATTCCGCATTTGATTCTAACAAAACATTGACAATGCATAACAAAGTGTTACCTGACAATGGTTGAAAACAAGAGAAACAAATTTGGACAGCAACACGTATAATAAAGCAAGCTGAGCACCACTTATAACCATCTGGTCAAATTTGACCATTGAAATTGGTCTTTTCATCACACTATTCTGTACATAAGATAACCCTTTGGTCAAAACCTACTTTCTATGTACAAAATACAAGGAAGACTTCCATGAAACTGGGATAGCATTATTTTGTAATCCTCTGCCAACAACGCTATGCCACATGTGATAACACTTCCATGTGGCATAGCATTATTGGCCGGGGATAGCAAAATAGTGGTATCCCCGTTGCAACCATGTTTTTCTCACAAAATACATAATGGAAACATCAACCCTTTCTGATGCTTTATCTTGAGCCATTGCACTTAAATTATGTGCAAATTGGGTGGAATTGATGATCCTGTGGCAACAAACACAAGACTAAGAAATTATTATCATATCAATAAAATACACATTGCAAGGCAAACCCAATCCACAGTTTTGTGGTTTGAATGGAAAATTCAAGAAATAGCATCATTGCATAAGAGCACAACGTATACTTTATATCCAAATAGTACAACTTTGACTTACTATTTAAAACTTGTGTAAGCATCAAGCCAAGCTTCTTAGCTGTCTTTCTTTTTCTGAAGCAGCTCCTGGGATTCCTGGGGAAACAGAGACAAAACCCTCATCCTGTAGAAGATCAATCAAGAGTCAACAAAAGTAGAACTGTCACTGTTCCATGACCCCATTAGAACTCAAATAATGCCAGTTCTTCAATTTCTGGACCAACCATATGATATTGAAAAGATATAAATAATTTCATTAAAAATAGCAAGTTTAGATATCAGGGCCCACAGCCTTTCGTATTGAAGCACAAGGTTATAAAATATAAATACTAGAGCTCTAAATTTCAAGAACAAAAACTAAAAGAGGTAAGGGCATATATTTCAACTTTTATAACATAACTCAGTATTATAAAACTATCCAGCAAAGAATTAGTTCCATCTGCCATGTCCTTCCTTGGTTGGAAAAGAAATATTACTTTTTTTATCCTTTGCATACTGCACATGTCCAGTACGTGTCCAACAGACATCATACCTGAGTTCGAGTCCCCTGCAAGTGTCAAATAATGTTGCAAGACAACTGAGGAAATGTTCGTGGTTTTTGGTGTTCTATGCATAACATCCATTTTCAATGCAGATGCTCAACAGAGAATGTTCCATATCCACGGCAATGAAATTAGGATATATTTTACTACAGAGCTATCTCCACAAAAAGATAAAAAATAAAAATAAAACACATAAAACCAATACATATTTTGAGCACAGAGATCAAAGTAATGAGGATAGCTTACGATAAAGTATCTGCAGCATTAAATATTGGAAGCCTTCCAAACCCAGCAACTTCCCATTTTGCTCTTTGAGAAGAAATAACTTGCTCAGCCTCTGAACCTGTTGCTGTCAAAACAAACTGGAAAAATCTACTATTACCATATGTGAATAATAGGAGCAAAGTGAACTTTTAGGTACAAGTTCAATCACTACCAAATAAAAATAGAAAAGTGTACCAATGGAAAGAGTATTGCCATGAACCCATAGCTCACAAGAGGCGAGAAAAAGAGAACAGGCAGAACACAAGGGCTTCCTGCAGAGCCATTGAAGATATTAATACCTCAAAACAAGTAAAAGAGTTTTAAATATAAGCAATATAAAAAGTGAGTATATAAAATCTCTAAAACATATTCCCATGTGTGTCCTCGAAGTCTAAATTCAAAATATTGGACTTTGAGATGTGGGTTAACGAATTTGAGACGCCTTTAGATAACTGTCTTTATACTCAGCTTTATCTGCTTATAAAAAAATCATGTTTCATGCATGAGGAGGCTGCAGAAGCAAAATTCTAAGAGAAGCCATTTAGATCAATGTAATTCTCCATGTGGAAAGTGTACAGAATAAATAATAACAAAAAATGGTTCACTTAAAAAAAATTGCAAATCAACTGAAACAATGACTCCAGAAAGGAAGCATATTTACCAAAACCAGCAAAAAAAGCCCAGTTAGATTCAAAGAAGTCCAGCCGTTTGTCCAGACGAACTTCAGAAAAATTCCATTTGTACCTAAGAAAGTTCAAAAGGTGCATTAGCACACACTTATCTAGGCAATTACAGGAAGTTCAAATATTACAACAAAAAGGTATATGCACCACATACTCAAAACAGTAATAGGCATACATCCAGGAAAGAAGTAGAAAATTTAGTGCCTTCCCTGCATACGGTATAAAGCCTGTCACATATACCTGCAGAAGCCATCAAGTCTGTCATCCAAAAGTTGACACACAAGACATGGAGAATATTGCAAATAAGCTCTCTCTCTCTCTCTCTCTAATAATTACAAAATCTACACCCACACCCATACACCCAAGTAAATACATAATAAAACACATACATTACCTCTAGGAAGAAACAGCTCAAAAGAAGTAATGAGTACACCTGCTCTCCTATTCCAATCATGACCCTGCAACTTCAACAGATGCATACACAACTCCTATGATACATAACAAAATTGAAGTCTCTATTTAAGAACCATCAACCATCAACTAAGTTAATTACCCTCCCAGGCCAGTAGGTCTTTCCGTACCAGCTCCAATTTGTAAGGCCAATGCCTCATTTTGTCTGACAGGATCCAATGTGGTTGGCCCAGATCTCCCCATTGCAGCAAATCCATACTTAGCAATGTCATTGTACCTTTGGTTAAAATAAAATTGTAGATTTGAGTTGGAAAGAGAAAAATGCAATGAACAGTGAACACATCAAAAGACATGCTGGCTTGCGTTATACAAAATAAGAAACTAATGCATAAAACTTTGGGAAACAAATTATCATAAATAAATAACTATTGTCACTCCAATCATGATGTAACAACTAATGGGATCAAAGGGACCTCCAGAACTTTAAAAACTCTGTATGAGGGTGCTAAGAATGAAATTAAAGGGGTTAGTTTGGTAGGTACCAGATGTTGCTCAGGATAATGCTGAATACATACAATGGGTAGAACCAAGTTACCTGCAAAAGGAAAAAAGAAAATCACATAAATGCTCAACAAATTCCATTTTTCAAAGTTAACTACAGCACACACTTAGTCTTAACACCTTAAGGACGTGATCCAGGTTAGGTGCAAGGAAGATTTAAATAAACAATAAATTTCCAAAGGTAAAGTTTTACCAAGTTACCTTAATAAAGGTTTCCCTTTCAAGAATTGCAGATATTTTGGTAACCAGGAAAAGCTACTATGCGTGCAATTTGATGGAGGTCCTAAAGGATATTCCAAATTAAAGATGAAAAAGGATGCAACCTTAGTTTGCTGCAAATTTCAACAAAATTGGGCTTTATTCATTCTCCAATAGACGTTTGAAATTGTACTAACCATCTATGCAGAAAAAGAAAAAAAAAACTTTGCTTATTTCAGGTATAGGAATTAGGTACATTTCACTTGGTTTTTATTTGAAGTTTTTACTGATTTAATTCATCTGCAATTTCATTTTTTATTTGTACGTTCTTTGTTATAATTTATCATTAGCTCCTATACGAACATTAATCAATTTGTGTCTTATTCAGGCTGCTCTTGAAAAACTACTTTGTCTCCTTTAGGATGTAAAAGTCACATATCAAGTCCTTTCACACCACAATCTCAAAAACTTGAAGAAAAGCATGCGAAGTACAGTTGGAATGCACAGAAATCCGAGCCAGCCTCTAAGTTTGGGGATCTCTATTAGCCTAGTGGTAATCATATTTTTGTGTGTTTATTGCCTGGCGAAAATGAAGTATAATAAACATTGAGTTTGTTTTGGTGGGCATGTGTGTCCTTGTACTATTTGACAACTAAAGTAGCATGTTGATTATTCTTGTAATCTGTATGCACTATTTTTTTAATACTTCGGTTCACCAGTTAACCTAACCCAATCAGCAAACAGATAGATAGTTTTTTATTTATAAGAACAAACCAATAGGCAATTCATGTGTCCATAATAATATACTTTATAAGATAACAAACTTAGTAGTGTGTATGAGTACATAATACATAATTATAATTTAACAAAACAGAATTAAACATAAAAAAATTCCATGATGCATGCCCAAAACAAATTTTTTTATATAGACAGATTAGCAAACATAATTTCAGGTAAGATCTTTACAAAGAGCATCCATTTCCTACTATATAAATATTCAACAGAATCCCATCCAAACAGTGAGTGAGGAACACTTCAATGGTTTTCAAGAAAGCCACACAGTTGAAATTACAAAAATGAACTTGACATAGACTGCAACTTACATAAAAGAGTTGTATGAGCCCAAGACGTAAGAAGGAATAAAATTTCAAAATACCACCAAATGAGCAGAGTTCTTGAGAACTAAATTCCGGGCACCTATCAGGTAATATCCAGTGTAGAGCTGGGACTATGACTGAGTTAAGGATAATTATACTGCACAAAGACAAATTAGGAATTCAAATTTCAAGTCTCAGACATGCAGGATTTAAAATGCACTTGTCCACCAAACCACTTAAAGCACTCTTATGAGTAGGTTCTACTTTACAAATTTGTTAGCAGAGGTCATACTGGGAAATAAATCAACTCAGGCAACCAGATATAAGCATCTTCAAGCTTGAAAACATCCACATTAATAGTAATAAGAGCACAACTTCAGCAGAAAATAAAAATAACTAGACTATTTAGATTGATAGAAGAATGGAAGCAAACTGTGACATGGAAATCGTTGATTTAAATGATTCTTTTAGACCTCAATATTATTAGACATAAGAATCACATGTATCATCATGTTAATCAAATTCCTTCATTCAGTCCAGTTCACTTCGATGACAAAAACACTCTTCTTAACCAATGTGGTCTTTGGAAACAACCCACCCTGTAAGAAAGTTAAAATATTGATTTCTTGAATGCAGAAACAGAAGAAAGTAATTCAGATTAGCCCTACAACAGACAATGGATAATCTGAAAAAAGAACAAGGGTGGGATTCCAAGTCATGTTGAGGGGTTCTAGTAAACTCCCTTGAGCCTTGGAGAAACATTTCATGTGGTCTGAGGTTCCTGGTTAGGCCCTTTGGGGGTTCTTTTATCATTCTAATCCCTCTACTTTGATCAACATTATTCATAGCTTCTACAACAACAGAATTACATCTTGACCTAGTCCTAGACCTAAGCACATCTTAGTTGACATCTTTCAGTCGCCTACTGTTACACAGCCAAAGATAAGGCATCACGAGATGAAATGGAAAGAATGCAAGATCCAAATTTGAACACCAGTGGCTCACCTTTATAGAGTACTTTTGAGGATAGTAGACTCTGTACAAACTGTCTAAAGACTAGTATAATCATCAAAAAGTGTTTATTCCAAGTAATTCTTAAGATTTTTGACTCCTCATGAAAAGATCAAGAAAACCTAATTTGCATCTTATATTGAGCACCCTATAACTTCGCCAAAATAATCAACTGCTTGCATCTCCCAAAATGTTGTAGGAATTACCTTTGAAGATATGCAGAGATCCTAAAAATACTCTAAACAGGAAACAAAAAAACACTTAGAAAACAATGAAACATATTCAGTTGGGGTTGAAAAAGATACACCTAATCATATGCAAAAATCCTAAACATAAACTAAGATCTAAAAAATGCTCTAAACAAGAATATACATCTTCCAAGAAGTTGGTCTAAAAACTACTATGAGGGGGGCACGAAACCATACTTAGTTTAATCAAACCAACTCTATTGCCAAAACCACTTGCACCCGTGAAAAAGAATAAACAGATTTACCAAATGAGTTGTCTAACACACTATAATCAATGGAAAATTTTGAACTGTGGAACAATGTAAGGCAAGCAGAACAAATTGCACAGATTTATTACTTACGATTCACAGCCACCCCAGCAGCCGTTGCACTGTTTTCAATTTCAGCCACTACATTAATTAATTTATTTCTACTCCTTCTCATGCCATTTTATTCAGCCTATATCACCTATTCTTCTTCATTAATTTTTATTTATAAAGTGATAGACTTCTCTATTTTTCTTCCATGGAAGTGTGAGAAAAATCTCAAGTACCCAATATATTAGCTATGAGCAGCTCAAATTTTCACAAGTGATGAAACGTATCCCAGATACATTCTTTTATAACTAATAAGGCCAACCTTACACAGAGAGCAACAGAAAGAGATTACCTTCCTAAGAAAATGAAGCCATTCAATAGAAAACACTGTCCTGTACGTATCAAAAGCTTTCTCGACCTGCCATCAGAACTTAAGTTAATAAAAACTAAACCAAATAAAACAAAATTTATGAATTTTTTCCCCGTTGGGTCCTTGGAAAGTGAAGTAAAATTTATCCAACGCCTGGAGGCGAACAAAAGGCAACCAAAAAGGATAAAGAAAAAGAAAAAGAAAAACCCTTTATTTTTCTCTTGTTTGTTTCGTTTTCTCGCCAACCAAACAAGAAGTAGAGGCAATTTAACTAAAATAAATTGAAACTAATTAAAGCGTGCAATTGAAGTAATTATCGGAAGAGAGAGACCTGTGGCAGAGGATGAAGACACGGTGAAGGCAACAGGCCTCTCTGAAGCCCTCAAGCCAAAGCAGCGTGGCCTGCTTTGATTTTGTTCTGAAAGCGTTTAACAATGGCTTCGCAGCTTCCATTCTTTTCAGAATTGAGTTGAATTAAATTACTTGAAAACGAGACACAACACAACACAACACATTCACAACTAAAACTGAGTTTTCTTCTGTGACAGAAACTTCGAGACGGCCTTTTTAAGGAGGAGGGTAACTTCGTCTTCTGCTCTTTAACGGCGTCAGCTATCACAATTGGTTGGTGCCACTCATGGTCTAAAATATCGATGATATCGGAAATATCGGTAGTCCAAAAACATGAAAATTTCGAAGTATCTATCGGGATATTATCGATATCGATAAAAATTAAATAAAAACCACAGAAATTGTAATAAACACTTGGAAGTTTTTATTGAAACTTTGGAGAATGTTTATTTAGTCAATTATCTATTAGTTTATCAAAAAAATTAGAAGGAAATGTATTACATGATGAGTTTAACTGATTAAGTTGATTATACAACAAGTTGGCAAACACTGTGAGTGTAGAAAATATGTAGTAATTAATGAAAAAAAATATTAAACATACCATAATCATTTATATATGATTTACTACAATATTTTACACTTATACATTGCATGATAAAATACATGAGTGACTTAGTACCACATAGAGTTCCTATGAGGTTCAAATTTTTCACTATCGTCATCATCTCTATGTGTAGAGTAAGTGTATTGTAAAGAGTATTCATCAAATGATAAATCCCCAAAATAGTTTTGCATGTAATTGTTAACATGCCACTCATATAAATATAAATATTTTAACATATTATCACTAAAACATAAGTGATATATGGGTGGTTAAGGTGTTGGAGGAGTAAAATGGGAGGGGTTCAAATCTCCTTTGTGTTTTTTTTTCCCTCCCTTTTTCCCTTTTTTTTTATATTTTTTTTTCTTTACATCGATATTTTCGATATTTTCCGATATTATCGTCAATATTGTTGATATCGTCAAACAAAACAAGGTGCTTTCCCACTTCCTTTTTCACTTTGCACTTCACTTAAGGCATCTTAAACACGAAAGACGGGGACCAAACCTCTCTCTCTCTGAGACATCTCAGCGGTAGTTCTTCTCAATTAGCGACCTAGCCACGTGTAAACAAGGAATTTCGTCGATCTAATAGCTAATAGTACATAATCGTAGTAGAAAAATAGCATCAGTGTCTATTAGAAGAGTTGCCTCTCCCAGGTAAATATAGATAGCCTAACCGAACAAAAACAGAAACTCTAAGGAAATAAACAACCTAAGGCTATTTGTTATGATTGGTAAGTTCCCAGCTTCATATATCGATTTATGCCTTTATAGACTCCTTGAGCACCCTTTGAAAGAAAAAAAAAGAAGGAAGGCTTTGGAGTTTTAGGACAGTTGAATACCGGAAGCTTTGAAAGGTTTATGGTCTATCTAGTACGATCGATCAAGTCATTCAGAAAAGTCTCTTCGCGTTGTGTTTATGGAATTATATAAGCACAGGTCGGTGACGGTAGTTAATATTGCTCCATATGTTCCGAAATATCCGTGATTTGAAAAAACCGAAACATCCTCGATATTTCGTCAATATTATCTATATTTCAAACTATGGTGCCACCAAATAAAATTGAGTAAACTTTTTTTTTTTTCTGGTTTGCCCAAGTTAGAAAGGTTAGAAAGGGTATAAGTTTTCTCCCAAACACATACCAATAAGTTGTCATGAATTCCAATTTGAGACTTGTGTACGTCCGCACCTCATTATTTTGGGGGTGACAATAAAATTAGCAGATGAAATCATGATATGAAACATATAAATTTACCAAAGAATTAAAACATTAAATTTAATTAATTCATTTTTAATACTAGCGATATTTAAGAAGTAGAATCGAACCCAAGAAACTCGGATGCAGAATAAATGCTTTTTTTGTTGTTAAAAATCCAAGTGCTTCTCGAATTGATTTCATAAGAACCATCTGTTAAATGTTTTTATGATCATATAAACACTTTTATTATTGAGCCAATACATTTAATTGTGAAAAAGCGCTTGTAGAGCCACCAAAACTCAAAAAAAGAAAAAATCGCATAAAGCAATTGCTTAACCGGGGGCACGACAGAACCTGCACAGTAGGTGGCACTATAGGAAAGGTCGGTGGTCGGTCGCCCTTGAAAATACGAGAAACCGCAAAAGCTGCCATTTTCGAACGCAAATTGATTAGAAATTAGAAAATAGAGATGGCGAAGCAAGAAAGCATAGAGCCGTGCAAGAAAGAAGCCTGCTACATTCAAGCATGTCTCTCCAAGAACAACTTCCTCCCTCAAAAGTACGTCTTCTTTTTCCGCCTAATTAATCTATATATCTCTTGTTTGGTTGCCGAGAAGACAGAGGGAACATCAAATAACATTTCTGAATGCTCTTTCCAATTTTTCCACGAAATGAAAATTTAATTTCATTGTCGAATATCTCTCTCTAACTTCTGTTTATTTCTTTATCTTTCGTTTTGGTCTGGTTTATTTGTACATACATGGATTGTGATATTTAGCTGGTTAGGGGTTTTTTTTTCATTTCCAATGTTTGCTTTGGATTTTTTCTTCATATATATATATATATATATTCTGGTTTGGTTTTTTCAAATTTATACACTTAATTTGGTTTCATTGTTGTATAAGTTCAACCCAAGTAGGATGATAATGTTATCACTCAATATAGAAACTTCCACTCATATTTTTTTAAAAAGAAAGATCCCAAAAAAGTGGTGCTTTGACACAAAGTGGGAACAATTCAAGGCAAAATGGTTTAGTTTAGTTGTTTCCTTGGCAATGTTTTCTTTTAGGACCATGAAAGTGTGCATCTGTGATCTCCAACAACAGATGGAGTTATACTCATACTGGTATATATCCAGCTTTACTGACTAGGAGTTGTGGCTCTATGTTTGTTTCAACTCTTGGTTGGTCGCTTAGCTTATGCATATATGACCAGCAAATGATTCCACCCTTTTCTTTTAACAAAATAATGAAGGACCATTCTAACATTTTCGGCTATCATAGCAGGTCTTTAGAAACAGTGGTTTATGAGGCATACATTTTGTCTCTATCTTTTCCTTTTCTCTTTTTTCTTTTTTTATGATAATTGAGTTTTGTGTGGGTTGACACCATCTTGTGTTTCCAATTGGCACAAATGACACATCCATTGCAAGTTGGATAGAACAGTGTCAAAGACTCACCATTTATATCTACTGCTTTTAGAGTGTAAGTGCGGTTGATCAAGGAGATTGAATATTAAGTTTTAGTATGTGGCTTTTCAACAAACTTCTCTGGTGCTTAGGTGCCTGTTTGACATAAACTAGAAGGCCTTCCTGTTCAACCTTTCAATTGAAAATAAAAATTATATCTGGTTTTTTATAATAGTTTTGCCAGCTTACTTTACTTTAAATATTTAAGCCATAATTATGTGGAGTCACCCTGGTAGCTAGGGTGAATAAAGTAACTGCTATGATAAAGCCACCTTAAAGTCTTCTTTGATCATGATCGTGGAAATTGAGTGTCTGGTACGAGTCATGGAGAATAATATGGGGTTACATTCATTAGTACTTATCCTACTCAGACCATTCTCTTCCAATGTCTTTTTTCACCTTTGGTTGCTGTTTGAGCCAACATCTGTCAATATTTCGATGTCAAACTCATATAAAATACATGGTCTGGTTGTCCCGACATTTGTAGTTATTGTGGATTTAAGGTCTTCTCTTGGTTGTCAAACTAGAAGCATCATGATCTGATTTGTGCTTTGTGCTTTTAAGTAATACTCATTTGTGCTTTTGAATATGCTGGATTTTGAGTATGTTGGATTTGTTCTTTTATATAATGCTCATTTGTGTATATATTGAACTGGTAACCAATTTTATGGAACTTTGGGAGTTGATTCCTGCTTTCTGCTGACATTCAGAAGTTGTGACATTAGCTTGTTTGCATTCAAAGCTAATTGGTGGTTTCCACTTTGAAGTATCTGTCCTTTTCATATCAGTTATTATGCGTAACTGGCTATTATGTCAGAGTAATAGTCAATATCAAACATATGCATTCGTGATTCCTCTCTTCTCAGGCATTATATTCTTCCTGTTTTCTGTTATTACTTTTGTGATTAGTGTTAATACTTGGCAGGTGCATTACAGTCATTGAATTGCTGCAGTCTTGCTGCGAGAAACACAATTACAATTCGACTCACTGTGCTTCGCTCTCTGGTCTTTTGAAGCAAAAGCCGAAGTAGAAAGTGTTGTCAATTTTGCACTTAATGACTAAATGTAGCTCTACCTCTATCATACTCCAGGCAAAATACCACAGCAGCCAAATGCTTGATGTGATTACGACTTGCCATAAGCTTCTCTTGTTACGAGAAGCTTATGGCACATTAAATGCAATAAAAGGTGGGGGAGGGAAAACAAAAATAGTGTAAAGGATGCTAGAAAAGTTTTCTGTTGATGTCTTGATTGATACACTTGTGTGCGTAAGGTTTTATTTTCATACATGTGAATCGATCTAGAGCTGGATTCTTTTTCACGTAAATAAAAGAAGGCAATATGTCTTTTCTTTTATATTATTTATTTCTTATTTTGGTTTGAAATGCAATATGCCATTACATTACAAGCTTACAGTTTTACTTGAACTATTTTGTATCCTGAAATCTGGTAACCAGCATTAAACAAAGATTGGTTTTACGGTTCTAAAAACGGTCAGACTATGATAACGAAGATTGGCAAGCAGTTGGACCCTCTTCAAGGAGAAATGCTTTCCTATCACGTTGCATTGATATGAAAAAAGGGCAATGCAATGCAAAGGGGGTAGGGAAGTTTTTCTCCTCCTCAAAGACACTTGGTTATTCCAACGCAACAGTAGCATACTGTTTACGATTTTATTTGCACTCAGAATGTGTATTTGGGTACTTGATTTCTGTGGACAGCCACGCTTTAAATTATAAGTTCTCATCATGGGCACTAAATATAAATGAATAATATATATATATATATATATATTAAAAATAAATTAATTTTTTTAAAAAAATACCAATTATTTCATCAATCTTTAAATCCAACCATTCTTCATACTATAATGTAATGAATTGTATTCCAATTTGTCACAAGGTTGAGGTTCGCTGCCCTAGATTACCCCTCAGTATAAACTTGTGTGACTCTGGTTCACCACACATGCTGCAAATCGAAATGACAATGATTTCTTGCTTGATTTAGGGGGCACGAGGAGGTAGAATAATCCTCATTATTTTATCACAAGGCAAGATGGTGAGGGGAAATCGTGAAATCCACAAGCCAATTAATTATTTTTGGATAAGAAATCAGAGTATGATTAATTAATTAAACCCAAGTTTAGATGCTACAATTAGAATTGTTATTGCCTCAAAACGTTTTTCTAAAGATTTCCTTTTCCATTACGACTACAAATCATTACGTCCAATGTAAACCAACTGGTTCCTTTTGGCTCAAGTTTCAGACGCTGCTTTGCTTGTAAGGAAGGGGTGTTTTGCTTCTCTTCTTTGCTCTAAATGCGAGCCTTAACATGCATTCCCCACAACCCAAAAACAAAAAAAAAACAAAAAAAAAGAGCCATGGTTGACCTCTTGAGATGGTGGCAAGGTATCTCAAGAGGGCAACCATGGCTTTTTTTTTTTGGGGGTCACTGATCAATTCTCCGACGTATTTAGAATTATTTATTCTAAAAATGAAAATTACAACAAAAGAAACACATGCTATCCGAGCAAGGACAGTTCATGTGGTGACTTGTGCACCAAGATATCAGACAAATATTGGGGCACAATAACAAGTATTAACTCTCTAGTTTTACATGTGTTTGCTGCCGGTGTTGTACAAAAATTCAATCAGCCAGATTCGCTTTGTGTGTGTGTGTGCACACGTGAGAGAGAGAGAGAGAAAGAGAGAAAGAGAGAAGCCCATCTCAGATTTTCTTTAAAAATCCATTGAATGGCAAATGTTAGCCAAAAGATACACCGCGGAACCAATTTGCGTAAAATTACAATTGGCCAATCTCTTTGTCAAGGAGTGGGGAGAGAGTATACAATGTTATTGCTAAAAGCAGTAACTGTAAAGCCAATCAGCGAAAATAAACAAAAAAGGTGGAAAACTCTTACCAATCTCTGAAGCTATCCAAAAAATATATAAGATTGGGTAGGATGGGGTAGATACGATGCTCCATAAAGTACAGGTACACTTAGCAACGTCCCCCAAAAATAAGCATGCAAGCTTGTGGGAATGGCAGATGTGAGCTAAAGAATGCATCATGGTGATCTCGAGCTATCCTGCCGTCTAAGAGGGATGCCTTCACCATCAATTCCATCCTCGTCTGCATGCTTCGATAGTCGCATGGAGGACATTGATGTTGGCAAACCTGTACGATTCAATGACATTACCAATCCAAGGTTCAGTATGGGAAACATGAATTTATTTTTCAGAGTCCAAAAACCATGCAGGCAAGTACCAAACACCCAACCATAGGTTCCTTGTTAAGATTGACAATAATCCATCAATGATAAAAATAATAAAAGGAAACATACCATCAACCATATCCTTCGTTCTGTGAAGCAGAAAAGTTCCTCCAAGGATAGTCACAAACCCACACATTTCCGTGATAACCTGGGTTGGACTCTGTCTGTCCCAATCCTGAAAATACAGTAACATAGGAAAAATGTAGACTCAATATCACCACATCATAATAAGAAAAAAAGAAAAGATTTGGAGGACTAGCTTATAATTAAAAGTTACACAGAGGGTGGCAGCAATGGACACCTTGATTGAGACTGAAGCGTTTCACGACAGAAAATTTTAAATCTAACTAACCAGAAAAACATTTACAAAGTAACAACAAAAATAAAAAGAGTATCAATATAATTGCAGGAAGAATATACCTTAAACATGATTACGCTAGCCAGAATAGTTAGTGATGTGAACATAACATAGTATATCGGAGATACCACAGCTGTGTTGAAAGTATCAAGTGCCTGCAATGGAAGGGAAAAAACTATCATAATAATTCCAAAAGCCATTAGAAAACAATAACAAATTAACAATGAAGAAAAAAAAAGGAAATAGAAAGTGACTACAAATTCAAAAGGAGGCTATTGTAACAGGTAAAAACAAGACCCACAATCAAATAATGTGAACTATTATAGTTTTGTCACAATTGACAAAATCTGCATACTGTTGCTGAGGATCTGTCACATAATGCATCATTAGGCTGGTTTTGGACATCAGTGAAAGCAAATGCTGAAGCACCAAGAAAGGGGCAAGCTTCATGATTGGACTTTTTCTCAAGTACAGGCCTTCCTCAATACATCCTTTGTTCCTTTTCTGATGATTGGCATTATCATTAAGTTTTTTTTATAACTGTCTTAAAATTTGCTTGGGTGAAATGAAAAAAGGTCAATCAAAAGCAAGTTCGATTGAGTTAAAGTTTAAATATACAAAAAGGGGGCAGGATTCCACCAATAAAGAAGACCAGAAAGTACACGTTATGGGAACATGTATTCTCCCATGTTAGCTGAGGTCACTGCCACTCAAGAAAATTGTTAATGGTATGGATTAAATTTACACACCACCTGGGTTGTTGACAGCTTCGAAATGATTGAATTAGAATATGATGACATCCACCTGTTGTTTTATGGATGTAATGAAGGAGAAATTTAAAATGGAACATTCCACTTTTTTATAGGACTAATACTTTTGGTTTTATCCAAAGAGGAAATAGAAGATGATTATTTAGAAAACTTTAAAAAATATTAAAAAATTAAAAAAATTAAAACAATTATGCAAGGACAGGAAAGGACTAATACTTACCTTGTTCAAATAATTCATTTGGGTAAGCACACATGTAATGACAACTAAAGTGAAGACCCAAGTTTGGGGATAAACTAGTTGATTCATGCCCGATAATGTCAACTTCAAAGCAATTCCAAGTGCTTTGACACTCATGACCTGTCAAAGGACACCGTTAAGAGTAAAAAACACTTGAAAAGAAGATGACATACAGAAAGAAAGTTAATTTCAAATTAACAGAAGTATATAGCAATACATACCGATAAGGAACCTACAAGGGAACAAACTCCAATGTAGACCATTATGTGTGTCTGGCCATATTGCGGGATAAAGTGGAATATAAGAATAAACACAGCAGTTATGACCAAAGCTGCATACAAGAGAAAACCTACCAACAAACAAGTATGATTATTAAAAAACAAATTGTTTTACCTTCAGTGTAGTCAAATGAGAGTAAACCATGCAAATTAAGAATCAAATAGTCAATAAAAAGACAAATGTTGTAGAGAATAAACCAATTACCTGGTTCCATGGCAAGATCCCAAACTTCTGTTACAGATTCAATACCACGTTCTTGAGGAGCATGTAACACAATTGTTGTAGAACCCACAACACATAGAGCGCAACCAAGAATCCCAAAAATATGAAGTCTCTCACGTAAAATAATATGTGCAAGCACAGCACTGCAAGACAATATTATGATCAGCACTCAATACTATGAAGCAACCATATTCATGTGCGAGTTTTTATCATGCCTGATAATTATGCTGAGAGCACCAAGAGGAGTTACTAGTATAGCTGGCGCAAATGCATAAGCCGCAAAATTAGCAATTTCCCCAACGATCACTGTCAAAAATGGCAAATGTCTGTCAGCACTTTCCTTTTTAAATATGGTCATGACTACAAGATGCACAAATAACCATTTACTTCCTTAGACTAAAAATGTGATCAGCTATAAATTAGCAGGTAGATACCAAAACAAAAAATGGAAAATCATACTAAGCCAGCCAGAAGTTTTGATGGAAATGTGAAATTTTAAGCACTCACCCCCCACCCAAAAAAAAAAAAAAAAAAAAAAAAAAAAAAAAAAAAAAAAACAAAAAAAAAAAAAAGGAAAGTCAGATCCTCTGTTCACCAATTGAAACAGTTGCGTTTTGATGTTTCACAAATACACGTTTAGCTTATTTATTTATTTTTGGTTCCCAGGAACCTTGTGATAAAATATAATAAAAAAATACCAGAGCCGAACTGGCTTATCTCAACAAACTCCCATCCAACCACAATCGCAACGTCGCTGCTCCACTCAGTCCTACCGGTGATGGTAAAAACCCTTCCACATACACCGTCCCATTACTGAAACTCACCAAATCTTTCCACAAAAGCTGGCACTTAGCAAGAAAGATTGGAGGGTCTCATGGAGGATGTTTCATGGCTTCTGCCTGGTCAAGAAGAGCAAACGCAAACATCATATTTGGATTATTTAACTGTACCAGTTACCAGTCAACAGGTCCAATGGCGATGACTTGTATCCGTCGCCATTGGACCATAGCATCCAACTAACTCCTTCAAACCAAAAAATCCCCCAGAAACCCAATTTTACATGTACCATTCACCAAGGATGATATTTACTGACCCACATTTTGGATCTGTAGGGACGCTCCGAACAGGAGCAGGAAAATGAAAATTGGGGTCTAAAAATTTCTCAATTCTGAATAGGACACCCATCATCGTTGTGATAAAAATGTTTTCCCATTGGATTGTTGCATGGTGGGGATGGGATTTGGCTGTACTCTACATGAGTGGTGGATGCGTTGTTCTGGCTAAAGAATGAAAGGTGGGTTTGTGAGCCAAACTACAAAGATGACATGTTAAGTTGGAGATAGTCAGAACGACGCCGTACCACTTATCAGCATGGGATCTGCACTCATAGCATCAGTAGAGTATCCAAATACCAAAGAACAAATTTCTTCTTATACACTTGCATATTGTGAGGTTAATGCGTAAACTGTAGTTAAGTCCCATCAATTAGACTATAAATCGAATCCATTAGTCTATCGTTTCCAGCAGGGAAGCACTGATTTCATGATCAAGGCTCTCTCAAATGCTAGAATTGCCCTCACCAAGGTTAGCCAAAACTAGAATTATACCCTTAAATTCATAGAACATAAAGACATTTTCAAAATTACTATTCAGGAAGGACAAGGATGCCAATTTATTCATGTCTTACGGTGCAAAAAGGCTTTCCCTGTAAATTAGTATCTTGTAGAATAAACATAAGTTTGACACTCTTCTGAAGGTTCACGAGTTTTATTGTTTCAAATATCTGTCAACTAGGATCCACATATTTGTGTGTACGCGCACTTTAGAAAATGTAATCAATCAGAAGTCATTTTTTTTCTATAGTATTCAAAATAATCACCTTCAGTACATTTCAAATATATAAATAGAAACTACAATCCTCAGAGAAAAAACAAACAATAATTGATCTTCATTGATCACATAAATGAGAAAAGAGAACTATAACTCACTTGTTATCATGCCCACCCACCAAAGTGGCTCATAGAGGTAAGAATATCCTCCAACTCCTGTCGAACATATAAAGTGACTCAATTCCAATTATTCAATGTGATAAATGAAAGAAACAGAGGAACATATAAAGCATAAAAGAATAGACAAGCAACAAAGGCATGGGAAAAAAAAACCTGAAATAAAAACATAACACATGATACAGACTAGCTTCTCTAAAAACTCTAACAAATAATTTGACAAAATTCACCTTAACATTATTTAGAGTATACTGAAACCAACTACTGTCTATTTGTTGTTCAGATACTGAGTTGTTAAATTTATCACAGAGGTAAGATGATGCACTAAAACCCCATGGAAGTAAACAAGCCAAATATGTACTGATAAGTAAGATGCAACGAATACATGCACGTCATCTAGAATACTCATATTAAGAACAACAAATAAAAAGAAGGCAAAAACCCCACAGGCTAACGATCACTTGACTTGAATTAAAAGAGTCAATATTCTGAAAATATTCTATCATTACATTCTTTGACATAAGATCAGCAACTAACAATCACTTGTAGACATACAACAATAGTTGATTTGGTCAATGGTTTCAAGATAAAGGTTAATCCTAAACTTTTCATTCAAATCAATCGAATCATAAATGTGCAACACCATTAAAGGTAAACCCACAATGATCGTAATTTTAACTGATACTTCAATTAACTCCTATATTTTACTTGATCTGGCCAACCAAAATCAATGCAGAAATGTAAATTTCAAATAACAAATCAACCCACATTAGCGGATTCCCATTGTTAGTATTGTCAATAATCATATGAATTGAGCAGCGCCTTTGGTGTTTTTAATAAACTTGTACTAATTAAATAAAGTAGTTGCAAAGACATAATGTATCTATTCAAGGGTTACAAGATGTAACACTAATAACTGGAACTAACTGCAAAGGAAGTCTAGAGAACCCATAATGCGACAAACGAGAAACTCATTTCACACACATCACTGTGCTACGAAAATAAAGAATTCTAAAAATTCAATGATTAAAATAACAAATATATGAAAACTTCACAAATTTATCCCTTACATGTATAAACTTTTGATACTGAGCTTCTTCCGCCATAGGCATCATACAAACACCATGCATGCAACTGCTTAAGATATGGTAATCATACATTGACAAATAAAATTTGAAATGGCATGTGATTAATGTCAACTGATATTTAAGACTCAGTAAGAATTAAGTGAACAATTTTTTCAACAAGAGTAATATCACTTTAACTTTGAACTACTAATCTACTAGACAAACCAAATTGCCAACTGACGGAAAATCTTTAAACTCAACAACTTTATGAATCAATCTTCAGCATATAAGTTATTTATCCTATATCCATTTCCATGTAACCAAAAAAAGTTTGAAAATTAAACAACAAATTCTAAAATGAAACACAACTGCTCAACATTAAACAATCTTGCATAACATTAGAAAAGAAAACACACATCCAGACACACAATTGGCATCATATGTTGACAAAGTGACTTTAAAACACCCAGAGGGTCTTTTTAGTTTACATAGCTTCCCAATTGATGAACTGAGTAAAATTGGGTTTAAAAAAACAAAATTGCAGATATCAGCAAGAATTAAACAATCAGCAACTAATAGTTAACATAAATTAGGGTCTAAACTTCCTTCAACTTCAATCCACTAAATAGAACACCTGTGGGCACCAATCTGAACTGCGCTCTACAGTTGAACCCATTTTCCATTTTCACTCAATTCCGGGTAAACTTTGAAAATTACAACAATTTAAACATAAACTCAAACACCCAATCGCTCTCCATTGACAACAACCCACATCAGAATAACAAAAAGAGGAGAATTTGAACTTTGAAAAGTGTACCCAGAAAAGCATGTGAATTACGAACCTGCTCTGATGCCAGAAGCCCCGGCCTTTTTCAAACCCTTCTTTTTGACAATGAAACTAGCACCAATAAACAAGCTCGAAGACAAAGCAAGAATCAAACCCTTGATGTTGTCAGAGGACATGCCCCTGTAGGAATCTCTCCAGCTCATCGGGGGGCTCTGACCCTCAGTCGCCATGGCTGAGAAAACCCAGAAGCAAAAACCCTAAAAAGCTTCTCCGCTCACAGGCTTTGAGTGTATCATTACTGTTACAAAACTGCAAATACCCAAATAGGCAAGCGACTCGGAGTGAGTTGAGAGAGAGAGAGAGAGAGAGAGAGCACGTTCGATCGAGTTTACAAAGAAACAACACAGAGAGAGATTTAGATGGAGAAGATATTGAAGATAATGTCGGCGCTGGGAGTTGGCGGTGGGTACAGAAATGTACAGCTGTAGTCTGTTGTTGTAGATCGGAAGGCAAAGGAGAACAACAAGAAGAAAGAAGAAGAGAGGGCGTGTCGTGTGTGTTAATGCGAATCGAAGATTGGATTTTTATAATTTTAACTCGGTTTCACCATAATAACGACTTCACTCCGACCAAAGGTTGATGAGTGATATACTCCATCTTTTGATCCCTTTTTTTTTTCCTTAATTGTTAGGTTTCTTACAAAAATTGTATTTTTAAGGGTAAATTACATATTAATCCCAACTTTTTCGAGTCATTTCAAATTGCTATCGACCTTTCAAATAATTTTAAATTAGTACCCGACGTCATGAGAATTCTATATTAGGTAAGCTCCGATTAGCTTTCGGTGTTCAATGTCTATGTGGTAATTGCGGACCTTATTTTTAATTTACATGGATTCCACATGCATAGGCACAAACAAATCGTGAATCAAAATTTAAACGAAGATATTTACAAAGTGGCTTGAGTCTTTATCAATTTTCGAGTTGAAAATGATTTGTCATTTCAAGGCTACAAAAAGTTTCTCATAACTTGGTATAACAGTTGTTACAATATAAAATTTTCTAACAATTACATGTAGCTTGATCCCTCATAAGGAATAGGTAATGATACAACTAGTTAATGGTCAGTTTAGTATTGCTATAAGAAAAACCAAAACTAATGTAGTTGAGTGTTTAGTAAACTATAATTTTAAAAGTGCTCGTAGTATAAAAAATAATGTCATAGTTTGTGGTAAGTGTTAATGTAAAAGTATTAAAACTATACATAATGAGGAGAGATATTTTATGGCTTTTTACTTGAAATATTTGTCTTAATATTTACTTCGATTTGCATAACAGTGATCTCATGTTCGAACTCCCATGTCACCGTAATAATGTATGCGTGAGAAGCTCTCCTCTTCCTTATAGTTTAAACTATTGCTTGTATTAAAAAAATATATTTTTACTTATAAGATATAAAAAATGACCCCTGAAAAATAATTTTACTTTTTGAATAGTAGTCATTTTTTTTTCTTCAAGAAAGTATTTGTTTAAGATTTCGATTATAACATCCAACATCGACAAACGGAAAGGGGGTGATGTGTCTTATATGGACATGTTGACCTCTATCTAGCACGAGGCCTTTTGGGAACTCACTGGCTTCGAAGTCATGAGAACTCCGAAATTAAGTGAGTTGGGGCTGGAGCAATCCTAAATGGGTGACCTACTGGGAAGTTGCTTGTGAGTTCTCATAAACAAAACTGTGAGGGTAGAGAGGAGAGTCCCAAAACGGACAATACCGTGCTACGGTATAGCCAATCCAAGGATGTGACAATTTGGTATCAGAGCTACTCTGCCATGTGGTGTGAGTGTGCCGACGAGGACATCGGGCCCTTAAGGGGGGTGGATTGTAACATCCAACATCGACTAATAGAGAGGAGGTGATGTGCCTTATATGTACATGCCTACATCTATCTAGCACGAGGCATTTTGAGAGCTCACTGGCATCAGAGTCATGAGAATTCCGAAGTTAAGCGAGTTGGGGCTAGAGCAATCATAGGATGGGTGACCCACTGTGAAGTTGCTTGTGAGTTCTTAGAAACAAAACCGTGAGGGCAGAGAGGATGACCCCAAAATGGACAATATCATGCTACGGTGGAGTCGATCCCGGGATGTGACATCGATAACATAATGTCAAAATTGATGCTTCCGAACATGTGAGCTAAACTAATGTGTTGTTAGTTGGATTGGCCGAGGTCTTTGGTGTGTTCCCAAATAATCATGAGTTCAAACCCCTACGTACGATACCCGTTTTTCCCTTTCCCCATTCCTAACTTAAAGAAAAAAAGCATGTGAGATGAAGCCAAAACTGTATCTTTGATCCCTATAATACCTTAACAATAGGGGCAATAAAAGTGTGAATTCTTTTATTTCTCTTTAAATAAAATGAAAATAACATATTTTAAATCAATATCAACATCTACATATATATACACATAAATAAATAAAAATAGTATCTAATGATCAACAACATCTCCAACAAGCATAATCCTTATTACTATTTGGGATATAATTTGTTTTTGTTTTTTTTGGGGGTCAATAGATAGATTTAAGTTTATAGTCTTACTAGGAATTGAAAATATCAGTACATAGTATGAAATTCAATTTTTTATTTTTATTTTATAGCGAGAGAGATATTGAAAGTTGAAACACTTGTGACGGCGAGAATGGGCAGAATCACGATGGTTGTGCATTTCATCACGAAGACTAGAATGAGAGAATAACACCCGTTAGAAACATTGTATTTGTAAATTTTATCAAATACGATAAAATTTGGTTTCGAATATTAAAAACCTGATTATATTAAAATTCTTATAATTGTAAATTTGTTTTAAAATTTTGATTTCCAATACAATTTAAATTAGGTTCCGATTATTTGATCGCTTTATTTATTTTTAGGATTAGAATTGAGGGGTTGTTTACTTACCATGAATGGAGGAAGTAAGAAATCGGGGGAAGTAATGAATCCATAGGAGAAGAGTCATTCCAATTAAGCTGTTTATTAACCATATGAAATCGGCACAATAATGAAGTTGATTCCCATTGATATTGTTTACTAATTCTCATGAATCAGAACCTAAACTAATTTGATTACAAAAATGCCCTGCACATTTAAATATATATTTTTAACCTAAGCAACTTGTAAAAACAAAATTTGATTTTTATTTTATTTTATAACTAATGTATAATATAAGATACTATATGATAAGTGATGAAAAAATTAGTATATAATAATATAAGGAATATAATATATATATATATATATATATATATAATAGAAAAGCAAATATGACTTAATGATAAGAAGAATAACAAGACAAGTAGAGTCTAGCAACCAAGGTGAAAAGGGGAAAAATTTTCTTTTTCCAAAGGTGATAAATGGGTTAATTGTTGATTTACCCCTTGAACTTGTACCTAACTTTTGATTTACCTATATCCTTTTTTTTTAGAAAATTAAGGATATGAACTTTTATTTTTTGCCAATTTTCCCCTTGTTGTCTAAATTATCAACATTTCATCCAATTTGCCTTTAAATATAAGGGCAAATTGATCAATTTATACATTACGAATAACTAAATACTAAAAAACAAAATACAAAAAATAAAATAATTTTAACAAAAATCAACCCACCACGCCTTCTCTCTCTCTCTCTCTCTCTCCTCCTCCTCCTTTCCTCCTCCCCCAAATTCCATCCAATTTCACTAGCCACTACCCTAATTCCAACTCACAAAGCCATTTACACCCACCTTTAATTTCAAAAACTTAACATGATTGTTTTGTTTTCACCAATTGAAGCAATACACATTTGTTATTTTAAATACCCATATGACTTGGCCATTGATAGGCTAAGAAACAGAGAAAAACATTCTGATCATGCTTATGGGTTCTATATGAGCTTTCCTTTACTCTCATTGACCATTCAGAGAAAGAGAAAGATAGGGGGTTCGAGTGGTTGAGCTGGGGGATGTGGAGGTGGGTATGAGTGGGAGAGGAAAGGGTTGTATCCTTTGGATGAGGAGGAGGGGGCGATAATATTGAGTGAAAATACAGTTGAGAGAGAGAGAGAGAGAGAGAGAGAGAGAGAGAGAGAGAGAGAGAGAGAGAGAGAGAGAGAGAGAGAGATGTTGAAGATTAGATGGTGAGGGGAAATTGATGAAAAAAGAAGTTCATATCCTTAATTTTTTTAACAAAAATGATAAGAGATAAATCCAAAGTTAGGTATAAGTTTAGGAGGCAAATCAATAGTTAACCCTTAATAAATAGTCATTGAATTTTTTCAAAGCTTTGGGGTGTTTTGGAATTATTGTATAGTTATAAGGGTATTTTTGGAAGGTAGTAAGGGAAAAAAGGAAGGGAATGAGAATTGGATGAACTATTCCCCTAGTTGATTGATTCCTGGTTTTGAGAACACTGGAGAAGTCAAGAGTGGAAATCATTTGCTCGTTTGGGAGTGCTTCTTCCTGAAGCGCTTATGCCAGTAGCACTTATGCCAGTAGCGCTTATAACATAAGCGCTTCTACAAAAAAAACAGTTTGTCGTTTGGATGTCACATTTAAAAGTGTTTTACACTAGATAAAAGCGCTTTTGATATTTTGTTGAGTGTTTGGCTGACACAATAAAATACTTTTAAAAGTACTCTAAATTTTTTTAAAGAAAATAAGCCTTTTTTATATTTACAGTAAATATCTCAATTTCTAGAAGAAAAGAAACTCCTTGAATAGAAATCTTCCGTTGAGTAATTCACAATTAAGATGTTGGTCTTGCAGTCTATCTGGGTTTCTGGTTAGGGATGACAAAAGGAACTGGATGAAGCCAAGTTGAATTTTTCTGGTGCTGAGGTACCAAATTTGAATTTTCAATGGGATGCATATATCTTTGCCTAATCTTTCTAGGCTCAATAACCTAATGGGCTGTCTTGTTTAATTTTCTTGATTCTATACAGGGTGGCCACGTGAGTTTCTTAAATGTCTACAAAGGATTTCTTCAGTTTGGTAAATCTTCGCAGTGGTGTCATAAGAACTTTGTAAACTACCAAGCCATGGTGTGTATTAGCTGGTCTGATCAATTTAACAGATGTGGAATAAAATCAGAAAATAAAGAGCAAATCTCTTCAATATTGAGAGAAGCTATGAGAGAGATGGAATAGAAGCTTAAGGGTTTTTTATGGGTGTTTTGGCATCCGATAGGTTTTCGCTTGGGTTTTTCGCGGGTGGTGTTTTGGTTTTAATAGGAGATAAAAAAAGAGAGAGAAAAAGAGAAAGGGTATTTTAGCATTTAAAAAAAATTAAATATGGGTATTTTCGGCATTTTAAAAGTTTTATTAAATGAAGCCAAGTGCTTACTGTGTTTTTGTCTTGCAGTGCTTTTAAGAAGAAGCACCTCTCAAGTGTTTCTTTCAAAACCACTCCAAGTGCTTTTGGATCTCACCCAAAGCGCTTTTGCAATTTTGCCAAACACAACTTTTAGGGCTCGTTTGAGAGTGCTTTTGGAGCAGCGAAAAACGCTTCTAAATGGGTGAAAGCGCTTCTATATTTTAAAAATGATGTTTGGCAAAATTGCAAAAGCGCTTTGGGTTAGATCCAAAAGCACTTGGAGTGGTTTTGGAAGAAGCACTTGTGAGGTGCTTCTTCTTAAAAGCGATGCAGGACAAAAACACGGGAAGCACTTGGGTCCCTTTAATGAAACTTTTAAAATGCCAAAAATACCCATATTTAATTTTTTAAATGCCAAAATACCCTTTCTTTCATTTTTTTTCCTCTCTCTTTCTCGCTAGAGAATGGAGATCAGTTCTGAATTCTTGTATGATATAATATTGTGTGCTCGATTTTATTGAAAACAAACATTATTATATGGTAATTGGACTGGTTTTCGTCGAAGGTGGCCACATGGGCGTATACATACCCATGAAATACTTTGAGAATGATGGTCTGTTGATGTTTAATTCTCGTCTCAATGCCTTCTTTTACCATCACCCAGGAAACCACAGTCCATTCATTTATCTTAAGCTTCGAGAGATGAAGTATTAATCTTCTGAGGCAAATAGTCATGTTCCGAGCTTTATTTCGCTCAAGGATATTCTGGTGGGGAAGGATGTAGAAATACTGAATATCAATTCAAGGTAAGGATATTTGAACTGTTGTCTATGTTTTGATTCAGTTTTTGATTGTACATGGTTGAGTTTCATCTTTTGAGTAGAAGAACAGCATATTTGAATTTATTTTTCTCAGTTGATATTTTGTTTTTAATGTCACAAATGTTGTTGATGCAGGTGTGCAGTGTTGAAACTGCCCGAAGAGACTGGAGCCCTATCTCTGGTGGAAGAAAATGCCAGTTCGATATGCTTCTGACAGTTGGGAAGAATGAAACAAGCACACAATGGTGGATGGGATGCAGTCTAAGACTGAGCTAAAAGACCATTTCGTTACCCTAATTAATATTTTTAGAGTTGGACACCAGAATGGTCCAATTTCAACATTATGGCGAGATGGTGTCAAAGTGGGTTGGGATAATTTTAGAAGTCGTTTGTCGCATGGCTAGTGATATCATAAGTCCACAAGACTCACAATTTAGGAGAGTTCCAGATAAATCAAAGTGTTTTTATTGTGTCAGCCAAACACTCAACAAAATATCAAAAATACTTTTATGTAGTGTAAAAGCACTTTTAAATGTGACATCCAAACGACAAACTGCTTCTTTGTAGAAGCGCTTATGTCATAAGCGCTACTGGCATAAGCGCTTCGGGAAGAAGCACTCCCAAACGAGCCCTTAAAAAGCATTGCTTTCACCCATTTAGAAGTGCTTTTTGCTGCTCCAAAAGCACTCCCAAATGAGTTTTCTTTCCACTATCTTTTCTGCACACGCTTCCGCGCATGGGAGATACTTTAGGGTTCAATTCCTGGAGAAATTATAGAATAGTACGGTATTACCACGTCAGCATATGATACTCCCATTCAAAATTTGCCATGTGTCATATTTAAAAGAAAATTAAAACTATTTATACAACTGGAGTTTGACTTCCAATTTTACCCTTTGGAATTAAATTAAAAATGAAGAAAATAAAAAATCCTTCAACTGGGAGTCCTCCTCCACCCCCAATCTTCGTTTATTTCTCCCTTTTCCTTTTCAGCTTCCTTTGCTTTTCTACAATGAAGGAAACGAACCCACATCTCAAACCTCTCCTCCAGCTAATTATACTACATGCAATTCCATCTCTACAAACAACATAAATTTCTCCATCGGCCGAGCTCTTTACAAGTCCAAGATCCCCACCAAGGCACCCAACTCTTTGTATGTGCATCGTTTCTCAACTTCCTTCATCTTCTCCCAATCCTTCAGTTTCTCCATGGACTCGTCTTCCTCGCCTCAAAACCTCATGTTCCAATTTCTTATTACTTTGTATTCTAACCATCACACTCTGAGGATTACCATGAGGGAAAAACTCTACAGAAAAGCAAACTGAAGTAAAAACCCTAAGAAGTTCTTTTGGGATGTGAATTTAAAACTAACTATAAAATAAAGTGGTAGCTGATGAGGGAGAGGGAGAGAGAAATGGAGGGTAGACTGTATAAAAGGAAGATGGATTCAATGATATTGTCGAGAAAAAAAAACAAAAAGAAGAAGACTTCAGTTGGCGGAGATAAGGGAAAGAGACGGTGGAGGAGGCAGGGTAGGGTTACTGCGGAGATTGATTGGAGTATTCTTTTATTTTATTTTATTTCTAATGTTATTTTAAAGGGTAAAATTGGAGGTCAAAGTCCAGCTGTACAAATATTTTTAATTTTATTTTAAATGGGACACATGACAAATTTTGAATGGGAGTATCATATGCTGACGTGGTAATACCGTACTATTCTATAATTTCTCCAATTCCTGATTTGAATTCCAATTCAACACATCATAAATATTAGAACATAGGTTACTCCTCAGTTAATTTTAAGGTTTGTTTAACAACACTAAATTGAAAGGAAAAAAACCGGCCGTCTTCCTTAAAAAACAAAAAACAAAAAAGAAAACGCCGTCGCCATCGCCGCCGCCTCCTTCAGTATCGCCTCCGCCCTCGTCGTCATGCCACTGATGTCTCCCGGAATTGAAGAGGCAGATGTCATAAAGAAGAAGAAGAAGGAAACGAAGGTTCTCTGTTGCTTGTTTTAGTTTTTGGCTGAGGCCTTTTAGGCTTGGTGAAGTGTTGTTTACTGAAGAAGTTATATGTTTCGTTTTTGTTTTTGGGCAGGCAAAAGAGAAAGAGTTGAAAAAGCAAAAAGCTTTAAACAAAGCTCTCAAGCTTCAGGTAATGGCGGTTCATGTAGTTTGGTTTTCTTTTCAACTTCTTTATAGTTTTCTGAACAATTCTTCCAAGATAACAAAGAACCTGTCTTATCTTTGTATGTCAATTTTATTTGAAGAACTTAGCAATTCTTCAATGGAAAAGTGAGTGAAAAAAAAAACTTGTATACCCTCTCGATTCCATGCCTGGCAAAGGGTGGTAATAAGTCATTACAGAATCAATGATGGATTCATGGTAAAATCCTTCCATGATTATTTTATATTATTTTATACTATTTGCAATTTTTGGGCTGATAAAGGAATCAAATGGTATAATTCTTTTGTTGGTTGATCGGAGGATTAGAAACTTGACTATTGATTTCCAATTGGCTGTCCTTGCAAACTTGTTTTGGCCCCAGGGCGCCTGTAGATGCAATCTGGTCTTAGATGCAGCTTTTTGTCACATTATCATAGAATATCAATGCAATGATGAAATGCTAACGTGTATTTATTTATTCATTTAAAAAAAAATTAAAATCATCAAGGAGCAACAAGCAAGTCCTTGTACTTCTAAGACGAGTAAAAAGAAGATTGTGAGGCTTTATGATGAGGAAGATGAAAATGCAAAGGACCCAGAGACTCCATTTGGAGAGAAGAAACGGATGGCTGGTCAAATGACAAAAATCTACTATCCAAGAGCTGTAGAGAAATCGTGAGTGTGTTGTTCTTTTCATGATTAATTCTCCCCTAAATTGTACTTGTAGTTTCTTCATATTTTCTATACTTGCTGATTTAGGTGGTATGAGTGGTGGGAGAAAATGGGGTTCTTCTTGGCAGATGCTAACAGCTCCAAACCTCCATTTGTGATTGTGAGTGTCATACCGCTCCAAACTAACTTCTTGGGTTTTCATTGATATGGTTAAACAGAAAAAAAGTGTGAGAAGATTAACCAGGTTTCACATATATTGCAGGTTTTGCCTCCCCCCAATGTGACTGGTACCCTTCATATAGGCCATGCTCTTACTGCTGCTATTGAGGTCACATCTTTACATAAATTCCTGAGTTTGTGCTCTCCATCTGTTAGGGTGTTTAAAGAAAATTGTATGTCGTTTTGCTATATGCAGGACACTATCATTCGATGGCGTAGAATGTCCGGTTACAATACCTTGTGGGTGCCTGGAATGGATCATGCCGGGATAGCAACACAGGTTGTGTTCCTTTTCTTTACTAAATGGTTGAGGTTTGTTTTTTCATTTTTGGTGGAATGGAAGCAAATGGTTAAGTTTTATAAATATTACATTACCATTAGAGCAAAAGTAGTTACTGCATTGCCTTCATTCCAGCATTTCACAGAAATTTAACTTAACCCTTGTGCCACAAGTATATTATTCTGTTGTATATCTGGCCTTACTTTGGGTGTAGGGGATACACCCTTTCTTGTTAGAGCAGTTTCTTATAGCCCATGACAATGAATTATTAATCTAATCATATGTTGACCATACATATATGCATGTACTTTTGCTTTTCATGGATCTGGATTTATCTTCATTACATATGTATTCGTTTGCTGGCGATAATGTCCATTTGCTTATTATAGGTTGTTGTTGAAAAGAAGCTTATGAGTGAAAAACATTTAACCAGACACGATATTGGTCGTGAGGAATTTGTGGCTGAGGTAAGCTTGAACTGCAATTAGCTGGAAATAGATCCCTTAAATAATTTTGATGTTCTCAAAGTTTCTGAATACGTTCTTACCCATTCATACTGTTGGTTGGTTTACTGTTGTGAAAGGTTTGGGAATGGAAAAAAAAGCATGGGAGCACCATTTTACAGCAGTTGCGCCGTTTGGGTGCTTCACTAGATTGGTCCCGTGAGGTACGGATTTGAGTTACATGGAGCTTGATTTGACTTGGTTCGGAACAAAGTATTAGTGGTCTTGTTGAAATGCTTAAGTTGTTTACTAGACCGAGTCATGAAGATCTCTGTATATATATATATATATATATATATCTCTCTCTCTCTCTCTCTCTCTCTCTCTCTCTCTCTCTATCTCTGTGTGTGTGTTATTGATAAAGCCTTTGCTTTTCCTTTGTTTTTAGTCCTTCACTATGGATCAGAAAAGATCAAATGCTGTGACAGAGGCTTTTGTAAGGCTTCATAAGCAAGGGCTTCTCTACAGGTATGCTCAGCATAGGAGAATATTAGGGGGACACTTCTTTGCTTATTGTGTGTTTCCCAGCTCAGAGATCTATGCGAATCTGAATCTAACCTTCCTTGATAAAAACAATATATAGGATATCTGTTAATAATTTCAGAGGAGAAGATATTACTGTTGTGTTGTTCTAGTTTAATATTAATTTGGTGGTGGATGCTAGCTCTATCCTTCGGGTTCTTGATTGACTTCATGTGTATATTTTGTTTAGTTATATAGTTCAGTTGCGATAAGGATTGGATCATGATAATAGTGTATGACAATTGACTTATTCAATCATCCACACCTATACCTCATCCTCTCATCTTTGTCTTTTTCTTCAGTTTGGTTGGTAAGCTTACTGGATTTGTCGGTATGTTTTGTTTTGCAGGGATAATCGCATAGTGAATTGGGATTGTGTGTTGCGCACAGCAATATCTGACATTGAGGTCAGTCTTCTCCTTTTACCATCATATTTTCCCTAATTTTTTTTAGCATTTATGGAATTTTCTTGGTGTATATAGGTGGATTACATTGATATAGAAGAAAGGACACTACTGATGGTTCCTGGATATGAGAACCCTGTGGAGTTTGGCATTCTAACTTCTTTTGCATACCCTCTGGAGGAAGATTTAGGTGAGATTGTGGTGGCCACCACAAGAGTGGAAACTATGCTTGGTGATACTGCTATTGCTGTGCACCCTAATGACGAGAGGTATCGGCATCTTCATGGAAAACATGCCATCCATCCTTTCAATGGAAGAAGGATTCGTATAGTATGTGATGAAATTCTTGTTGATCCAGAATTTGGGACTGGTGCTGTGAAGGTATAGTTTGACATATAAGTTGCGAGTGATTGCATTAAATTTCTTTTCCTAGTTTATGTTTCAGGGATGTAAAGGTTTTTGGCTCTTTCTCTTTGCCTCCCGCAGATTACCCCAGCCCATGATCCTAATGACTTTAATGTTGGAAAGCGCCATAATCTTGAGTTCATTAACATCTTTACTGATGACGGAAAAATAAACCAGGATGGTGGAGAATTTGCAGGAATGCCACGTTTCAAAGCCCGAGAGGCAGTGACTGAAGAACTAAAGAAGAAGGTATCTATTTTACATTACTACAGTGCTTTGAAACCTATATACTGATCATCGACATACCTATGTGACTGATAAATGCTTAACAAAGAGATCGGTATATTTGTTATTGGTGGTGACCTCCTGAGCTAGACTGTCGCTGCTAGAAGTAATATCTCTGACACTTTGACTGACACTCTCCTTCCTCTCTTCAATACTCTTTTCCACCTGGATACTCTGTCAAACAATGAATTTTGAAGCTGAAATTGTTTGCATTCCCTTCATCCCATACACTTCACAGAAATTTAACATAATTTGTAATTGCATCACTTATCAGCATCACCAGTCTGTAGTTGCACAATCTTGCTAGTTGATGGAGGGTACTGTCTATTTGCGTCAGTTTCTCTATGGTGTTATGGATGTTTTGGTGACAGTTTTCTCATGGCATTTAGGGCCTCTTCAAAGAAGCAAAGAACAATGAGATGCGCCTTGGAATTTGCTCTAGAAGCCAAGATGTTGTGGAACCCATGATAAAGCCCCAGTGGTACTTAAAATGCAATGGTATGGGAAAGCAAGCCCTTGATGCTGCCATAGATGATGAAGATAGAAAGCTTGAGATCATCCCCAGACAGTATACTTCTGAATGGAAGAGGTCTTATCCTTTGAAACATGCATGCGTTATTTATTTATTTATTGTCTGTTTTTGTTTCTTTTGTTTCTATACTTCATCAGTTTCCTATGAAAGAAAAAAAATTACTTAGTTCTGGTCTAACAATCACAGATGGCTTGAAAACATTCGTGATTGGTGCGTTTCGAGGCAACTTTGGTGGGGTCACCGTGTTCCTGCCTGGTATGTTGTATATCAGAGTGATAAGCCGGAATATTTTGGAATAGTTGATACGCGATGGGTGGTTGCAAGAAATGAGGAAGAGGCTCATGCACAGGCTAGTGATACATATGAGGGGAAGTTTCAATTAATTCAGGATCCTGATGTCCTTGACACATGGTTTTCTTCTGGTCTCTTCCCAATGTCTGTGTTGGGCTGGCCAGATGACACTGAAGATCTAAAGGCGTTTTATCCGACTTCAGTTCTTGAAACTGGGCATGATATTCTTTTTTTCTGGGTTGCCCGTATGGTCATGCTCGGAATGACACTGGGTGGCAATGTACCTTTTACCAAGGTGTGCATAATTTTTTTATTTTTTATATTATAGATGGGGATCTATGCTATAAACAGCTTTTTTTAAAAAAAGTGGAGTGAGGCACATCTCATAGCAAGGCATCAGGATTTTTTTTTTAAAAGCATCTTTTGTTTAGCTAGCTTCTTCTCATAGCAAGAAGCTGAAAACAAGCTTTCCCTCATTCAAATCAGGACGCTTTTTGTCTATTATTATATATATTTTTACCATTTTATTAAGGGTGGGTTTTAAAACAAGCAAGTGGAAGTAAGCTGCAAGATTGTGCACTTTATGCTCTGATTTTATGCACAGATAGCTGAAGAATGAATATGTGTTATGCTATGTATATCTTCCTGTGATGATTTTTATTTTATGTTTTGCTTACTGAAGTGACAGTGAACTTTTGTCGGTCTGCAGGTATATTTGCACCCGATGATTCGTGATGCACATGGGCGTAAAATGTCAAAATCGTTGGGAAATGTCATTGATCCAGTTGATGTAATAAATGGTGTCACCCTTGAAGGTCTACAGAAGAAGCTTTTAGAGGGAAATTTGGATGCCAAGGAAGTAGCTTCCTCGGAAGAAGGTCTAAAGAAAGACTTTCCTAATGGGATTGAGGAATGTGGTGCAGATGCACTGCGTTTTGCTCTTGTGTCTTATACTGCTCAGGTTTAGGCTTCTGTTTTACTATTTTATTCAAGTAATTGTTTTCTCACATGGATCTAATAATCTATTTCGTTGTCTTGTCAGCATGATAAGATAAATCTGGACGTCCAAAGGGTTGAGGGCTATAGTATCTGGTGTAATAAATTGTGGAATGCCGTACGATTTGCTCTGAGCATACTTGGGGATGAATATGTTCCACCTTCAAGTGTAAATCCAAATGTGTTTCCATTTAGTTGCCAGTGGATACTCTCGGTACTGAATAAGGCCATATCCAAAACTGTTTTGTCACTGGAATCGTACGAGTTATCAGATGCAGCCACTGCAGTGCATGCTTGGTGGCAGTACCAGTTGTGTGATGTTTTTATTGAAGCTATCAAGCCTTACTTTTCTGGTAACGATCCAAAGTTTGTGTCTGAAAGGGGATTTGCACGAGACACACTATGGTTATGTCTTGACAATGGGCTACGGTTGCTCCATCCGTTTATGCCATTTGTCACAGAAGAACTGTGGCAGCGTCTTCCATCTTCAGGGAGTCACAAGAGGGCAACATCAATTATGATATGTGATTACCCATCCACTATAGAGGTTAGTTTAGTTTTACTAAAAGAGAGGCACAACAGAATAAATAAATAGTTGCTTTCTTTGAACATGCACGTAGTAATGTGATATGATATCCGATAAACCATAGTATAATTGTGTAATACCTTCGGCTGATTTTACACAGCGGCCACAAGCTCATGCAGGCCATGTCCCAAGTTCATATGGATCATGGTTTGTTTTAAGTTCTTTCACTATTCACTTGATATTTATTTTTCTTATATTGTTGTGTAATAAATGAGGAAATTGCTTTTTTTCCTCTCGTCCTCTTTTTTAACTTTTAACTATGTTGCTGACCAGCCTAAACTAGAGGCAAATGGTCCTGCAAAAAGTTCACTTGCTTCATTACTCTTCTTAGGCCATAAAGGACTGCACATACAATGTTTGACTATTGATCTGATTTGAGTTTGTGTGGTAACTACCTCCGTCATGTTATTCTTCCAGTACTGGACAAATGAAAGGGTGGAGTCTGAGATGAACCTTATAGAGTCTCTTGTGAAATCTCTCCGTTCACTTGCAAAAGAAAGTCGTGAAAGGTACATCTTGTTAGTGCAGTGTGACATCTTTCCTGTTTCTTAAGATCTCTGAACTTTTGATATGTCATGTTATAAGTTGGATATAACTAGTTTCTCATTCTCTTTCTATGTTTCTTTTAGGCGATCAGCTTTTGTGATTTGTCAAACGATTTTGGATCGGCAGATAATATGCAGCCATCAACTGGAGATTGAAACTCTTGCCTATTTGTCATCTTTGACAGTAAATGATATGCTTTGCTTTCAAAATATCTGCTTTAGCATATTTTCTTTCGACAATTATTCTTTTGCCCCTTGGTGCTGAACAAAAGGATGCCTTATTCTTATCCCTACAGGTAGTCAGCCCGAATGACTGCTTTCCACTGCCAACCGAATCCGATGGATATGTGATGTCTGATGTAAATGAAAACCTTTCGGTTTTTCTGAAGGTTCCAAGAGTAAAGGCAGACCCTGAAAAGATCAGAGAGAAGATGGAAAAACTCATACTGTAAGCACATGATTCAAAGATTTTACTTGTGATGCATTGCACTGTTCTATTTATCGTTTGTGATATTTGAAAATTGGCCTTTGATTGGTTGGTTGCTTATTTTTCCAAAGTTAGGAAAGGGGAGGGGGTTTTTTCACACACACACACTATCAAAGTGTCACGGGGTTGGTTGCTTATTTTGTAGTAATGGTTCTTAGGGATGTGTTCTCTTAATCACAAGGCAAACATATTTTTTCAGAAACTGTGCAAATCTTGGATTTCAATACATTATAATTGTAATGTGTATAATGTTATTCAAAGACGAGGCAAAAGGTGTTCTGGATTTGGATTATTACCTAGGATGGTTGTCAATCTGGTGTTTTTGGGTAAATGGCTTTGAATTTGCATTGGTTTCTCTCTGTTTAGGACTTGAATAACACTAGTCCACTGGTAGGTACTAATTGATTTTATTAAAACTAACAGGCAACGGGAAAATCTGCTATTGATGATAAGTGCTCCTGGGTACCAAGAAAAGACCTCTGAGAAGATTCAAGAATCCAATGCGCACAAGCTAGCCTCCTTGGAAAAGCAAATGAAGTCTTTGAAAATGCAGTCTTAAAAGGGACGCTTTGAACTCTTATAATATAGTTGTTATTATTTTTAAAATTTTGAATATTGTAGTTTAATTTGCAAATAGGGTGATTATTGCATTGGTCTGCAATTGCATCTTACAATTTATTTAAAAAAAAGATACAAGCGGGAAGGGTTTGCAAGTCAAAATCCTTTTTCTCTGGGCTAAACCTTGTTGACATTGCATCTCACTTGTTAATTGTACATGATCAAACTATTTTTTAAAAGGGTTATTATGGCATTGGTCCCTCAACTTGTACTTGATTTGTACTTTGCTCCCTGAATTCAGTTATTGACTTCTCTTGTCCTCACGCTTTTACTTGACCCTCGCTTTCGTCATTGTTATTAAATTATGTCAAGTTTTTTGTTTATTTTAAGAGCATCCACAATCATTGTTGAATAGTGCAATTCTAGCATTTATTGAATTGCAATTCAAATGCAATTTTAATTGCAATGGTACAATTTAATAGCTTTAGATCAATAGTTATATTCACTTACATGTCTTTTTACGTACTTAAATAAAATAAAAGAGATAAATTTAAGGGAGTTTCACTAAAACACCCAAAATGGGGGTTGAAATTATAAAAAAACCCAAGCATTATTTAAACATATAAACACACCCAAAACCCATCATTACACACACTCAAAACCCATTTATAAACACACCCAAAAAGTTGACTTTGGGGTTAATTTTGGGTGTGTTTCTATGTTTAAATAGTACTTGGGTTTTTTTTATAAATACATGTCCAGGATTTAGTTTATTTATAAATTTGTATAAATTTAATAACACTAAAAAATTATACCATTGAAATATTCTCAGGGATCTTTAAAAAGGGACCAATTTTAAATATATTACTCATTGGAATTGATTGAAAGGATGAAAGCAAATCAACAATCAAAGATTTGAAGCACATTTGGAGGCTACATTCCAAATTCAACAGACAATTTGCAATATAATATTTTCCATTTAAAGTAGGAACACCAGTTGGTGACTACGCTGATTGAATTCATTACCAAGTAGTTTACACTGTACAGTCAATCGATAACAACATACTGGAAGTTTGATAATGGCCCCCCGGCAAAGATTTCAATGAACAAAGAATACGAGCTGCTCTCAACGAAATTCACGCTTATATTTCCTTTAAGTAGTGCTCCACTATTTCTCACTTATTAACTGTACATGATCAGACTATTTGTAGAAATTTGCAGAGTACATCAACTCATATCTGCAGAAGAATGTAACGATATCTTGTGTTCCTCTGTTTCAGCTCAAAAATGTTACAGTAGTTGAACTGCTGCAATTGATGGGATTTTCTCTCTCAATTTCTGTGTGACAGCAACCCTTACAGTCATTACCCCGGCTGCTGGACCTGTGATACGGACTTTCACTATAGGCTCCTCGATTGTTACAAGTTCAAGAGATCCACCTGCTGCCCCTACTAAGTAGGGTCTAATTTCTTCCAGTACCTGGATCAGTTTGTGCATGTATACATAAGATGGCATCCGTCAAATCAAGGCACAAAATTTCTCCCACACTGTTAAACAGTAGGTAAGCTAAAGAAGAAGCAAAGTAATGCAATTAAGCAATATGCAAGGTTTTATTGGATGTTGACAACTGGAAAAGGGTTTCCAAAGCCTTAGAAAGGAAACAAACAACACAGAACAATTTTCTTAAATTTTGTATTAGTTTAATTTCCTATATCAAATACATATAATAAACTCAGAATACTTTTTTCTTAAACCATAATCCTTTAAATAGCAGTAGTAAAAATAGCTACTTGGACTATCTAATGAAAACCCTTTCTGTATGTGTAAAGAAGTAAGCATGGAAAGTATATCCAGTATAATTGTTGAAGGGGAGTGAATATTTCGAATGAAATATTACCTTCTCTATATTTTCTTCATTCAGTTCAAGCCCTGTTTCTCCATCTGCTATTGGTTCCACTGCAACTATTTCAGGGATTTTTTCCATTAAACGACGCTCAATACCCATTTTCATTGTCATAACAGAGCTTGGACAGGAGCCACATGCTCCCTGTAGCTTCAAGCGCACTACATTTCCTTCAATTTCATGTAATGCAACATTTCCCCCATCAGAAATCAGATATGGTCGGATTTCATCCAATACACTTTCAACGTTCTCCGCAGTCAGTGACAACTCGACTGCTGAATTTGGAGTAGCAACTGCCTTAACCACTGTACAGTAATGAAATAGATGACCATCAAACATCCAACTAGGGATAAGTAAAAAGAGACTCAGGGTCACAGCACACCTGTTACATGGACAATCTTAACACCTATACAACAAAAAGAGCATTACACACATACATTGTATGGGTTCTTTCTCTACTCCACTGGATGCATGCTTTTGGGATGTAACAAAGTCTTAAAATGGCTGTTAAATCACCTTTTGTTTGGGCTTGGAACGGTCTGTGAAATTCAAAACAGTATGGCATACCTGGAGTTCATGTCCCTACTGAACCTAAGTATGATCTTTGATTATTTTTCATATCTGGAATAATACAATTGTCAATATTGTAAATCAAAGAGCAAGTTTGCACATCCCATTCATCTCTTCTTTTGGAAATGAGACAATTTTATTTTCAAAAAAGAACAAAAAAAACAACCAACTGAACAAGAGGTGGCCAAGAAGGCCACCACACAAAACAGAAAGGCTAAAAAAAACTCTACATTACAAAACTACGGCTTTCCAGTCTAGATGGATGAGCTGAAAGCTAATCTCCCTATTCTGCTGAAATAGATGCCCATGGCAATGCCCAGAATCAGATACGATCCCAAAGCTGCTCTACCTCATCCCCTAACACATCCTCAAAAAATCTCCTATTCTTTTCCCCCCAAATTACCCAAAAAACAGCCATCATGGCACAATTGTCCAACACTGAACCCTTCCTCTTACCACCAAAGAAGTTCAATCTAGCTTCAAGCACCGCACTACACGATGCGAAGCTACCCCACGTTAGTCCTGCCACCTGAAACAAGTTAGCCCACAAGGAAGAGGCAACAGGGCAAAGCAAAAACAGATGATCCACAGTCTCGCTGTCCCTTTTGCACATAACACACCAGTTAGGAGAAAAATACCAGCCAGGCCTTTTCCTTTGAACCAAATCACAGGTATTAATTCTAATCTTACCTTAGGAGGGGCTTTTGCTTCTCTAGGCACCTGATGGTTAATCCACACATCTCTTCTTATTCTCAAGGCTTCAACATAAATTAATATAAGAATTCACAGGACTTCTATCCCTAAACCTTCCAATAAACACCTACATGTTTGCTGTTGAACTAACTAATCATCGCTTTAAACCTAATTCAATTTGGGAATTATTTTGATACTGTTGCATTGAAGCAACATGGGCGGCACAGTGCTTGAAAAGCATGGCAACCATTAACAACACCAATTCGTATCAGGACAAGATACACAGAGATACAAGATATATATTGTCAACAAAAACAAGTACATAGTATGCCAATCCGTTTTAAACAGCGTCTCCAACACAGCCTAAAGTTCAGTCAGTACATGAGTCTAGATAATTCAGTTCAAATCAAGATTATAAATATGTTGAACTTGATGATAGGTTGCAATTTGAAATAATTAATATTACTATCTCAAAATTGCACACAAAAGAAATCAATTTTGGAGGACTCTGAAATCTCTGAAATTCAATATTAAATTATTGAAAAATACAACTGATGCTTCCAAATCAACCTCTGACCAAATGATTCAGTCTCGGAATGTAAATATCCCTAATTTAATAAATATATAAGAAAAACACAGAAATCAATTTCCAAATTCAAAGAAACTGACCTAGGCTGCGTGAAGCTGAACGCAATCGAACCCGTGAGCAAGGCCGCGCCAGATTATGCCCTCTACTGAACGATACATGGGAGCCTCCTAAAATAAACTCCAACTCTGCAAACAAATTTGTAAAAATTAGAAATGAACAAAAAATAATAATAATAATAAAGCAAATTAATTTCTATTATTTCTATAAAATGAAGGGAAGTCGAAGAAAACCGTGGAAGGTTGTTGCTGAAGGGCTTGTTGGGGTCTGCAGTATGACGGTGAAGTTAGAAGCATGGCTCTCATCGCTGGTTCGAATCCAAGAAGCTAAGATTAAAATTTGCTCCGTTCTTTTTTGTTTTTCTCTTCTTCTTGAACTTACTATTTTAAATTTTCTCACAAACCAAACAAGTACAAAAGAAGACTCTCAAGTGTAAATATCAATGAAAAAGACTCGGAGCTCTCTTGTATCTGGGCGTATCTTCCTTCGTTTGCCGCCGTTGATTTTCCTTTTCTTCCCTTCAATTTTTATATGTTTATATTTGCGGTTTCCTCCTTATTTTTAAAGTCGGTTTAGCCTGAACCCAGTTTGAGATTTGACCCGATTGAGCGGGTTAAAACTGAAAAGAGTTGAGGCCCTCCCAAATCCAACCTCAATCCAAGCCCAATTTTGAAACTCAAATTTAGTTTTCTTTTTACCAGCAGGGTATAATTCAGTTGGTTGAGGTCTTTAGTTCAACCTTCTTTCCCCCAATATCGCTTGTATAAAAAAAAATAATAATAATAATAACAGTAGTGTTGTTTGTACTGTACTTGGTCGAAACATTGAAACAATTCTCGCAATTTTCTTTAAATTTTAAGTGCATGTTAACTTAATGTTGTGAAACTGAATTTAAAGTTTCTGTGAATCAACAAATTAATGAGTTAGCATTTTAGTAACTCGTTTAATTTTGGAATGAATCAACAAATTATCCCTTTCGGATGAAAATAGCGACTGTAAAACATGGTATAGGCCCGCAGGTTGCGTTTACGAGTCGAACCCAACCAAATAAAGTTGAGCAATTAGTTTATGAGCATCTAAAATCCCAGCGATACATCTTGCTTGCATCATACCTATATCTTGAGCATCATTTTCTGAATTTGCATCCCTTTTTCTTGACTCTGAATGTTTTACTTTCCTTGTCCCACATCAGTCTCCTTCACTTGTAAAGAATTCAATCTCGAATTCTCCTCAAACTGAACTTGATAACCCCTAGATGCGTAGGTTGATATGCAAATAAATTCCTCAACTTGATATTCTTCGCACTTAGAACGTAGAAATATGAGCCCTAGAAAGATGAGACATGATGTATAGAGAACAACTCTACAGAAATCAAGCCATCTGCTTGTTCAATCGACCAACGAAATAACAAATAGAAAGCCTTCGCCAAAAATCACAACTAATATGCTTCCAACTTTTCTGTAACATATTCCGTCTGGCCTGAAACGCATCTTCTCTCAAAGTTCAGGCATGCCCTTCCCTGTTTTAGCATTGTAAGTCTTCTCCAACACGACATCCATAGGCGTATCCTTGGGACCCGCTGCAACCAAAGTTTATTACGGAGTATCAGCATAAAATACGGTAAACGAAGATATCTTTTGCAAGGAACATTATAGATCTCGGGACTTCAGATAAGTACCAACAGTAGGTCTTGGAGTAGTCCTTATCTTCAAGATCTCAGGACGAGGGATTATAGATCCAGATGCACCTAGTCCTCTAGATACTCGAACTTTTGTTCCATCCTCAAGATATTTAACCCCGACCTTAACAGGCTTCCTGCACACACAAAAAAAACACCACATTGGAATAGTAAGACAAAGAACAAAACACCAACAGTCGTTGAAACATAATGTTAACAATGCACGAATACCCTGTAACTGGATCAACAACTTGCACATTTGAGGCATGAAGAGGGGCTTCAACAGTAAAAATTCCACCTTCATGACCTTGGCCTTGCTTGATATGTTTCTTTACCTGCAAAGACAGAGTACTTGTTCGACATTGGAATAGCCACTGAACATTTAAATGAATTATAATAAACTATAAGGGTCAAATACTATGAACATTAGAAGAGCTTCCAACCAATAAAGATGTTTGTCACAAATAACCAAACAGTTTATAGACAATCAACCATATACACTGACCCAATTCAGCTTATGCAAAAAAGGAAAAAAAATAAAGACCTGATTCTTAACAAGTTTTCTAAAAGCTAAACTAAAGAATGAAAAAGAATAGAAAATCGTACAAAGAATGTAAGGCAAAATCAGATAGGAACATTATTCCAATAATACGTATAGACTGATACCAGATTTTTGCCTTCCACAATGACACGATTCTGGGAACGAATCACTCGCTTGATGATACCCGTCTCGCCCTTGTCTTTGCCCCTTATTATCATCACCTGTAAATGAGATGAGAATAGTTCAGTTATAGATATAGATAGATAAATATGCAAAGAGGTCAAGATCTTCATCGCCCTCACATTATCTCCTCTGAGAACCTTCCAGTGCCTAATGAGTTTCTCAGCCGCTTTCCAACCCATTTCAAACAAAGACAGATAGCTGCAGAAGTCAATAACAAATATTAACACCAAAAGATGTGTATTTCAATTGCTGATTAGCATCACACTCACATAAAATCTAATAGCATAAGAAACAAGCACATTCAAATTCATTTCAGTTTCATAATAACTCCATTTCCTAATATCAGCAGCAAGTGGGTTAATCAATAGTAAGATAATCTTACAATTCACAACAACCATGTCAACCAAGAACTTAGGTACTGGTACTTTAGTAACACAACTTCCCTTAATACTAAAACAACCTACTAACCTGTCTACACAAGATTGCAAGCTGCCCGGCCACTAAAATTGTAAGGCTAAAATCTGAAATTACCAAAAAGAGCAATTAAAAACTATAATGATACAATTATCAATGATCAATTAGAAACAAGTAGTCCACTTGATAATTCATAAAGCCACAGCTCATAAATTAGGCATTGACTGAATCCCTAAATTAGAATTTCGAAATTTAATCCCTAAGTCCTAAATGCCCAACTGAATCCCTAATTCCTAAAATCACTAAAGTAGAATTTAGAATAAAATAAAATAAAATGAAACTGAATGACAATAAGAATAAGAGAATCAGAGAAGCACGTGGTTCAGGTCAGTGGTACGGAGGAGTACTGAAATTCGAAGACGGAGAAGAAGAGGACTTACAGTTACAGAGCAAAGGAGAGGAGGCTGGAGCGGCGCCTGGAGCAGAAATTTAGAACACAAAAGACACCTTCTTCTCTTTCTGGGTATGAATAGTATGGGCCGGGTGGGCTAGACGGGTCCAGGCCGGGTAAGATTACAGCTCGTATTGCCTAAATTAGGCTAATATACTATTTTTGTACATACATTTTCTTAATTATTCTTTTAATTTTTTGAGTTGGACCAAATTATGACTTTCTTTTTACCAAAAAAACATATTATAAGATTTTTCACTACTTATTGGATTTTTTTTTCCACAAATTAATGAAAGAGGAAGCCACCTATATTGATTTTCTTTATTTATAAATAGGGTGTTAGTTGGATTGGCCTGGACTTTGGTGTGCTCTCAAGTGGTATTGGGTTGTTGACCTAAAAAAAAAATTGGTGTTGGGTTCCCCCCCCTCCCCTTTTCTAACTTTGGCAACTTGAATCAATTGCCAACTCGAAAATAACCTGCTCTATTCATTAATTAATGGGTCGTTTTGCAGAACTACAACTGCAAACTATAATTTTTAAAATCTAACAAGTAAAAAATTACAATAGAAACTATGAACATGCAAAAAAACTAAAAAGAGTTGTTGCACTTATAACAAACAAAAACTAAAAGACACCAAGTAAATCATGAGGTGGAACCCGAGATCTCCAAAAGACCCAAAAAAAACTAAAAAAGGCAGCCACGTCGTCCCCAAGCAAATCAAAGCTCTATACAAAAAAAAAAAAAAATAAATAAATAAATAAAGAAGAAGAAGAAGAAAGGAGTGGGAAGGTGAGGGGATGTTCTAAGGGGAGGTGGGGTGGGAAGAAGATGAGAGGATAAGAGAAGGAAAAGTAAGGGAGGGAAGGAAGAGAGGAGATGGGAGTAGGAGGAACAATGACCTCTTCTGTCCCTCCCCTCCCTTCCTTTTTCTCTTTTTCAGGGATATGTTTTTTTTTTTTTTTTTTTTTTTTTTTTTTTTTTTTTTTTTTTTGAAGTGAGGGGGGGGGGGAGGGTGAAATTTTGTCAAGTAGTAATGAATGTAAATTTATTTCCCTTCGGTACAGTGTAATTTGATGAAGCAATTAACAGACTTGACAGATTGGGTCACATTGACACCATTTGAAAGAATAAAAAGTTCAAAACCAAATTGAAAGTTAAAAGGACAAAGTGAAACATGGTCTATAAAATTTAGGGAGGATTGCTAAAATTTTCTCTCTTGGGGTGCATTTTGGTTTCAGAGGCTTGGGGAGAACCAAACTTATATAAAGTGAAGACTAAGAAAACCATGTTTGAGGAGATTTGTATCCAAGAATTAATTGAAAATTTAGATTATGATATTACGAAGAATAATTTTTATGGTGTGTGATTGTATAATATGTAGATATTGAGAACTTCTTTGTCAATTTCGCCTAGGTCTATGAAATCTCATGATTGACTCTAATAAAACCGAATTTTAAAAAAAAATATATAAATCATAGTCTAAACTACAAGAGGAGGATGTTCTCACACACACTACCAAAGTGTCATGGAAATTCGAATATAAGACCAATGATATGCAAGTTAATGTTATTTTCATTGAGCCATAATCAAGGTGAAAAGTAAATATAACTAGTGGCAAAATCAAAATGTTGTAAGCTGCTTTCAGTAGTCAGGTTTTTTAAATTCTCTTTTTTTTTGTGCCAATTTTTTTTAAAATTGTATTTAATTCACCTTTAAAAAAAATTTAAAACATGAGGCGGCCCATGTAGTGGTTATCAGGTCTTCATCCACCTTAATTCACACTCCTTGAAGTTGAAACAAACTCTCTCTCTTGTAATTTTGAAGTGCAAGCAAAGAAAGCCCATGCCAAACCTACCCAATCATCATCAAATATATTCACTCCTCAAACCCTAATCTCCACCTTCGTACACACAGCACGTATCAATGGAATTGGAAACCCAACATTCTCAGCTTCCCGAAGAAGACCCTAACAACAATTACCAAGCCAATGTTGACACCTCCAGACCCTTCCGCTCCGTCAAAGAAGCCGTGGCCATCTTTGGCGACCGCCTCCTTCTTGGAGAAATGTACTCATCCCCCATGCCTCATGGCAACAATATTGTCCAAAGAACTCCTTCATCGTCATGGAAGTTGTCGCCGATGCCGGCTAATTATAAAGAAAGCGAAGATGTTAGCAGTTATGGTGATGAGGAGGAGAATGCAGGTGATAAAGTAGTTATGGATACTCTTAAGAAGCTGGAGGCTGAGCTTGAGGAGACAAAGGTGGAGCTGAAGTTGCTGAAGGAGAGAGAGTCTGAAACCGAGGTGGCGTTGGCCTCCTTGAACGCAGAGCTTCACAAGAACATGTCCAAGTTGGCTCAGGCTGAGGCAAATAATGCAGCAATGGCTAGCAATGTACTGCATGTGGCTGCAAGATCATCGCCATTTACCGGTACCAATCATGGTTTGATGATGGAGGAAGAGAAGAACAAGAGGGAGTGGATGATAAGGATGGAGGATTCTACCTCTTTGGCTCAGATATTGAGCATTGGCACTCAGAAAAATGGCGGAGGAAAAAGAGAAAAGAAAATAATGAAGAAGAAGCCTATTGTCCCTCTTGTGCAAGATCTGTTTTTCTGGAAAAAAGGATCTTCAACTCCTCTTCGTAACCCTCTTTTTAATTCTTCTCCACAGCTCTACTATTGATGGTGAGAATATATGCTGTTTTCTTCGATATATTTCCTTCCCTTTGTCTTTTTTCTATTTGTTTTGTTTTAATTATTTTCTCCATCTAGAGTGGAAGAAAAACGTTTCATGGAGTATGTCATGTACTGTATATTAATCCAATATATATATCATCTAAACAATTTTTTTTTTTTTGGCGAAACTGAACCAGCTTGGGAATCATCTTCTAGGTTTTGCTCAAATATTGTAGTTATTATAGTTGGGAGGAGAGAGGGTCGAAGAGGGGAAGGAAGAAGAAGAGAGGTAAAGGGTTTGCCAATTCATTGGGAGGAGAGAGAGTAAATGGGAGCGGTTGAAGATTTATTCATAAAGTTAGTAAAAATATTTATTAATGACAAATTTATTGTTTCAAATGTCAAAATAGTCATATCTTGTACATGTGTTATAATATGGATGGACGACATGATTCATATATGTACTACTGTAGTATTCTATAATCGCTCCCACCTTAGCTACAAAGACAACTATGATTACGTATGGCATTAACATTATTTATTTCATATCCATGTTAGAGGTAGGAATGTAGAGAAGAGAGTCCCTCATTGAGAGTAGTGAGGAGGAGCAACTATATCCAAAGAAATATACCCACATCATATATATAGGTATAATTTTTAAGTTGACTCTGATGCGCAATTTGGCGCGCCAAAATCACGCCATTAGGCATCAGTGTGATGTAGCATTGATGCCCGTCAGCAATGGCGGACTCATAAAATTTTTAGAGAAGGGGCAATTTTTAAAAGACTAAAAATTTGAAAACAAAATTTAGACAATTATTATCTTTAGAATTTAAACAATACTAATGTCACTCATAATTGATGAAAAAAATAACAGTACAAACAAAACATGGAAACCTCTTTGAGACATTTAGTTGAATACATAGCAGGCGCTAGCTAAAATTTTAAACGGTGAGGAATATGTTTTTTGAGGCATCAATTGTTTTGACAAGAAAAATTTATAAATTTACTAATTAATATTGACCCATAATAATGAGTATAATGTAATTAGATATACGTACTTATTCATCTAAGCAGAATAAGCAATCCCAAAATATAAAAGTGAGAAATAATAACCTGTAAAAGCCATAAGAAATATTACCTCATAAAATATATCTTCAAGACTAACCCATCAGCACTTAAAATTGCACTGAAGAAATCTTCGAGAGAGATTTGGGTTGTGGGTTTTCTAGATGGAAGGGAATCCTAATTTGCTCACATGGTTAATTGATTATGGGATAATTAAAACGTTTTTTGAGCTGGAGGATAATAAGATGGTTAAAGTGGTAATTTGCCGAAAGTTAGAATTGCATCAATCAATACTCCCCGTTTCATTAAACACCTTTTGAGCTGGAGGATAACAAAGACGACGTCGTTTGTGCTGCAAAAAATTGAAAACAGAAAGCCCAAGTCATCTTCCTCGTTTTGAAACCCCCTGCAACACACCTCAGATGCAGAACCTTGGGACCAGCAGAGGTGCATAATCCAGCCTTTTCACAGGATTTACGGCAAGGGAAGGTGCAACTGCTCCTCCTTGCGCCTCTGTAGGTCCGCCTCTGCCCGTCAGTGCTCAGGGTGTTGAAACTACCTCCAGCCTCAAAAATTAAATTAACCAACCAGCCGGCGAATTCCCCTAGGAGAAAATCTCCTGCAATGCCAAATATTATTCCTTCCTACCATCACAACGCAGACAGGATTTGGGCAGACACAAGTTGCCAGGGCAACGCCAACTACTTCTCCCAGCAACAAACCACCGGCTGATGCTGCAATCACTACAGCTTCATGTGTTGCCTTTTCAAGTGGGTTCTCCGCTGTAAATATTTCCCATACCGTCAGGCCTGCAAAGAAAAGGTTCACCGCTATGCCGGCAGCCCTAAAGCCCTTTAATAACCGGTTAATTCTAACACTTGCCCTCCCGCCGGATGCCACTATGATTTCCTCATACACCTGCACATGCATATATGTTAAAGTCTAGTCGTAAATTTGCACGTCTAGTTTGTCTTAGGAATCATTAATTACCTGTATCTTTTGTACATCTTTCAGGTCCTGGAAACGTCCTTGAAATTTAAGCTGCACCTGATACCTGCATGAGCGACATTGAAGAAACCTCATTAGATTAAGGTCGGCAAATGACTCTATGTATGTGAGGACTATACACTGTCGCAAAAGCAATATGCATTTGCATGATGACTCACAACTCAACTTCCCTTCCCAAATATATCATTCCTGGAGTGCAAAGACCAACTAGCAACCTTAAAATAACCAAATCATGCATTTAACAATCACGAATATTTATGTTCTATTCAGTCTTATTATTTATAAAAGCAATGCCTAATATATTAACAACACTGATGTTCACTTTTATCGATCGATGCATATTATCTAAAGTAAAATTTGACATAGTGAGTTGTCCACTACGTATGCTTGCAAAAATCATCAATCGAACTTTGAACATAGAGTGTGGAGTAAATATTATCCCCACCAAGTCTCCATTTATCATGATTGCAATATATAAAAAATCATTCGCACGCAGTATCTAATCTTGATCATATAATTAGACGGGAGCATGATATATTTTGTAAACACAAAAGTAATCAATCATCATTTAATCAAATGACTAAAATTAAATAAAAATACGTGTATATATACCTTTGAACAAGGCCCTCAAACTTAATGCCGCTCCCCTTGAGCCATCTTGAGAACTGGCGTGATACTGAACCACCACTAGTTTGATGCCTCCTGGTGTACCCGTAATCAGCTCTCCTGTATTCGGTCGCTTCCTTGGCCACATAGACAACACCACCCGCCACTTCCAGTGCATTGCCAAGCATTTCCACATGCTCTTGGTTCACTCCTAAAAGTTTTACACCTAGAGACTCACTTATAAGTAACTCTCAATTTTACACTATGCGTTTATGTGGTGTGTATGATGCATGTAAATGTATAATAGCATTTTCAACAGCTTTGCAATTCTAAAATAGATGAGTAAGAAAAACTTTCTCCAACAGCCTCTTCAACTTCAGTCATCAAAGCTGCTACATCTTTTTCTTTTTTCATGATTGATAAGTTGACTTTGGCTATTCAAATATTGAATTTTACTTTGGAAAAACAAAATCTGCCTTGAAAATGTTAAAAAAATGCATTTTTTCTTTTAATATAATAAGTACATAAATATTTTTCACATGCTTTCATAATTTTCATAATTTTTCATAATATTGCAATAATTGAATTGTTGGAGCAAAAATTATTCATGTATTTAATAAACCTTTTCAAATTGCTGGTCAACAAACTTTTGTTTGATTAATACATTTTCTGATTTGACAAAAATAACCTTCAAAATTGCAAATTATTACACCACTGACCATTGAGTCAGTTAACCATTTTCTCAGCTCTCTCACCATCGTTCAGTTTCTACGACATCGGAGAAAAATTACAAGGAAAACCGAAAAATGGCTCCGAAGAAAAAGCAGACGTCGAAGCAGAACAGCAAGCCTAAAACGACGTCATCGGGCCCGAGGCTCCAGATTTCGGCCGAGAACGAGAACCGGGTCCGCCGACTCCTGCTCAACTCAGGCCGGTCCTCGACGCCAGCTGCTCCCGTCGACGAGTCCCTTTCGAAAGCTCAGAAGACGAAGAAGCTAAAAGCCGTGTACGAAAAGCTTTCCTGCGAAGGCTTCACCAATGATCAAATTGAACTCGCTCTCTCTGCTCTCAAGGTAAACATGATTCTATATTTATTCAATTTCACACCTGTTTGGACGCCAGTGAATAATAATAGTTTGTATAGTAATAATCGGTCCTTGCAATTTTAGTTGAATGCTATTGATTTTAGGTGAATTTTAGGGTTTTGCATAATACTAGCGTTTTAGAGTTATTGCTTCTACTAGTTTGCTTATGCATATTTTTGAACTCAGTAGCTTGTGGGCATTGTATTGAATGTAGGAAGGTGCTACATTTGAGGCTGCTGTAGACTGGTTGTGTTTAAATTTGACTAGTAATGAGCTACCACTGAAGTTTTCTAGTGGGACTTCTCTGCATGGAAATGAAGGTACGTTTGAACTCATTCTTGATTTGACGGGTTACTGTTGCAAATGTGCTATGGTAGGTATAGAAGTTGATTGTAAATTTTATTTTTTTGAGTTTGATTCCATGGCCCTGCGAAAATGTGATGTCAGGTGGTTCTGTTGGCATCATATTGACTTCTCGGGATGACTGGACTCCCTCGGTGGATACATCTACCAAGATTGATGAGGATGCACCTGGAATTTCTATCAGAATCAAGGGACAGCGGGATGATAAGACTCTTGATTCGTTTCAACCGTCTCAGGCAGATTGGATCAAACAATATGTCGAGCAACAAGAAGAGGTAACATAGATAGAGCCACTAACAGATTCACCTCCTTTTTATTTTTATTTTTGAGAAGAAACAAACTTTGTCAATACTAAAAAAAAAATTACCCGGTGGACAAGGAGTCCACCTAGAGAACAAGCATGAAACAAGAATGCGAACAGACAGCTTATCAAATCAAATGTAGAATATTTTTTTATCCAAAACCATCCTAGACTTCCTAACTGTTCTGCTCTAACGCACTGCAGCATTCCAATCTAGTAGAATAGCATAGAGAGAGCTATCTTCAAATTCTGTAGGAACTGAAGTCAATAAAGGCTTACCAAAATCTGGTCTCTTCCTAAAGATCCTCTAGTCCGCTGAAATATTAAAAAGTTATTTTCTTTCCATCCATACAACCCAAAGGATGGCTAACACAGTACGTCGCCACACAACTTTGTTTATTTTTTATTTCCACCTTTGAAATATGTCTTTCATGTATCAAAGAATGACAGTCTTTTGGAATTACCCAGCTCACCCCAAACTCTCTAACCCGATTTATCCACAAATTCAATGCTATTGGGCAATGAATAAAAAGGTTTACTGTTGACCCCCAATTATGTTTGCACATGATGCACCATTGTGGAGAAGCACACCCATGATCTTCTTTTCTAAAGCATCTCAAAAAAATTGAACTTAGCATGGGCTACCAACCAGCCTAGTATCATTACCTTCGGTAGGGCCCTAAATTTCTAAATCACTCTTGCTGCTTGAAAATCTGAAGCATCTTCATCATGGAAAAATTTTCATTCAAAAGAGAAAGTTCAACAGGGGATATATTGCACCCTTCACTAGATGATGCAGAAGGTCTAATAAGTAATGATTTTCAGGATGAGTCAACCACGTGGGAAGATGATGCAGCTGATGAAAGGGCAGAGAAGGTATTTCGTTTACTTGTGGTAATTTTAAGTTTATGAAGGAATGGAAGTTTGCGTAATTTTTGTCAGCATTAGTAAATGATTGGTCTGCTTTGTTAATAGTTCTTTATGCTCTCTCTCTCTCTCTCTCTCTCACTCATGCGCTTATTAAGTAGTCATCAAAGACATTGTAATAATTGAATGGTGGGTGATAATAATTGGGGATTGAAGGGAATTTTGTGGCCGCGAGATTTTTGCCACAGTGTGCAATAAGAGGCAGGACTGAAGATTCCACCAACACTAACAACCAAATTTTGGATTGAAAGAGACAAACAACAATCTGTGAGCGTAGTCATTTTCAGCTTGGTTAATATAGCGTCTGCTTCTCTTTTTTTTTTTTTTTTTTTTTTTTTTTTTTTTTTTTTGCTTTTTTTTTTTTTTAAGACGACAAACTTAAAAATCAAATTCTTATGATGGCTGGCCTACATTAATAAATAAAGAAGTATAGCCTGGAGTAGCATTGGCAATTAAGTTTTCTTGACTGTAAATGATCTGGGTTTAGAAGTTCTGTCCAAAATTTTAATATGTTATTTTTTAAACCGGTTGTTTGTTATTTGGCTTGCGTCTTTTTGCTTGGTTGTATGCTTATGTGTTCTAACTGTTTTTTCGTGTAAGAATTAGTGTTCTTTCGACACATAATTTTTTTTAATCTCTTGTCCTGAAGTGTTTTTTTGTTTTGTTTCGTTAAAATTTAGTAACAGTTGTATGGTTTCTACAGTTTTTGGTTTACTGGTGGAGTAATTGCAAGCATGCTCTTTTCATTATGATGCTAACAGTTTCTGGCCAAACGTCAACTATTTTAATAGGTCCTTAAACCAAGGTCTTATGATGTTATTGCCAAAGAGTATCGTGCTGCACGGTGGGAGGCTGCAAACGCCAAGCAAAAAGGGGACAAGAAAAGCCAGGAACGGGCAGGCAGCATCATCCGCAATCTCAAGCAAGAGTTATCTGCTCTAGGTTAAACTTTCACTTTTCTTCTGATTCAAGTTAACCTTTCTGGTATGTTATAACTTCTCTTATATACTTCTTCAACTTATGGATCAGGCTTATCAGACGACATCTTGGCATCAGAATTTGGGAAGGATACTGCTTTTGAGGACACATACACTAATCCTTACAAGCACTCTGAAGAAGTCCATGCTGATGAAATAACAGTTGACAGAATTGATGAGGAGCACTGCAGCTCCATTCATTTTCCAGTCAATTCTACTCTTTCAAGTGAACCTGCGCAGGGAAAGATTATTGCAGAAGAAGAGTCAATAGATGTAGAAATTGGTAATTTCTTCTTAGAAGATGGGCCTTCTGGAGAAGTTCTGCCTCCCGAAGTTTTGGAACTACAGAAGAGAGAAAGGATGAGAGAAATCTCTAGTGAGAAAAATTTGGAGAAATTAGATGGTATTTGGAAAAAGGTAGTGCTTACAATAATCTTGTTAGACTTATAATAGTGCACCTACATTGCTGGTTAAAATTTTCAATATCTGATCCTTCCTTTTCTTATATTTCTTGTTTTTTTTATTTGACTTTTTATAGAAAAAAATCTCAGGAACATCTAGATTACAATAAATTCTATGCTTATCTTTTTGTTAAATAATTCTGAACTGTGCAATACTGAATTCATAATTCCTAAGCATCTGCAATCAAATATTTAATGTTTTCCGTTGTACTTTTTATGTGGCTTTCATAATGTATGCTTATTATTAGTATCATTGTGTTGCTTTTTATGTTGTTTTTTCAAGTAGGAATCATGTGTTGCTGCTATAATAGATGGATGAATTGGTACCCCATGTTTTGCTATTTCACGATATGGTCTTATAATTACAGGGGGACTCTCGAAAGATTCCAAAGGCTGTTCTTCATCAATTATGTCAAAGATCAGGGTGGGAAGCCCCAAAATTTAATAAAGTGCGTGGAAAGGAAAATAATTTCTCTTATACTGTCAGTGTTTTGCGTAAAGCTAGTGGGAGGGGTAAAAGCAGAAAGGCTGGGGGCTTAGTGACCCTTCAGCTTCCTGATCAGAATGGAACTTTCGATTCGGCTGAGGTAATCACATGCTCCTTTTATATTTTATAATTATGCTCTTTCTTGAATAGAATTAGTAGATGTTGAGGTCGATAGTTATGAAAAAAATATGTACAGAAACAGAAGACAAGAAATCTACTGCACTACAGAAATCCTAACAAAAGCTAGAAAACGAAAAAGCAGAAAACAAATCCAGTATGTATAACAGAAAAATCACTAGGAAGCAGCAGCTCTTGAATAAATAAAGATAGCAAAGAAAAAACTGCCCCTAAACTGCCCCTAAACTCTGAAAATACCGAAGCCCAAATTCGAGCCCTCTCCAACAAGTATTCATTCTCCTCCCTGTAGAACCATCAAACACCCTTCTATTCCGTTCCCTCCAAAATAACCGTGAAAACAGTGATTAAGGACATGTCCCCAGTACCACTCCCTCTTGTGGCTTTGACATAATAAAGTTTGTTGTATGAATCATGAATTTTGACCTTTAATACCCTTTAGTTCCCTTAAATCATGTTGGAAAACATGTCTACCATGTGTTATTTAATTATTTTCTTTTATTCATGTACTTTATTACCCTTTATTATTCTTTGACATTTAAGGGAATGTTGGTCTCAGTCATTCAAATATATTTTATATATTTATTTATGTTCTCACAATGAGACAAGTTTTAACCAAAAATTACTTACGCCACTTTCAATTAATTACATGATTTTTGTATCATAGGATGCTCAAAATAGAGTGGCTGCATTTGCTCTTTGTCAACTGTTTCCTGATCTCCCAGTTCACCTACTAATTATTGAGCCTTATGCTTCTCTGGTCATTCAATGGGAGGAAGGTGACATAATTATGGGTGTTTTCCCTTGTTCTCTAAATCCTAACTCATTTATCTGATGATTCTATTGTAGTTAACACTTTCGATAATGTCTAAACTCAGGAGAATCATCAACGACTGTAGAAGATAGTCAGGAAGATCGAAGGGCTACTTTTGTGGACTCTCTATTGAGTGCCGATGGTTCTGCTTCAACTTCTGCTGCTAATTTTATGTATGATATTCTCCCAGAAGAGGTTCAAGAACTCCACGTTGAAGAGCCTATAAGTTCAGGTGTTGTTCGCACTGATCCAGTAGCTCAAAGTATGTACTTTCACTCCTCCTTTATTTGTTGCATTGTTGAACAAACCTCAAAAAAAGTGTAATTCTATCTACTGTTTGATTTTCCCCCGAACTTTTTTCATTTCTATATTGCAGGAGTACATCATTTCAAAGAAGTGGAGAGCTCTTATTTGAGACAAGAACTTGAGAATAAACTGAAAAATCCAAAATTCAAGGTTAGCATTTTTTTGTTGCATTTTGTTTCTTTTAAAAGAGACTGGCATTCATTTATTAATTTATGTTTGTCGCCTGGGAATGGGTGGTCACTGGTGTCAGTATATCACTCGTTAGAAATAACTGAGGTTCAGAGTGGGCCCTCATTTGAATAAATAGAACTTTTCTATAAGTACTTAACTGCTGTTTTTAGTATATCACGGACCCATCAATGGATGAACAAATTTGGTGACCCTATTGTTTCTTTTTTGGTTCTGGTAGAACTTGTTGTTTAAGTACTTAACTGCTGGTTTACCTGTTCTAGGACATGTTGAAAACTAGAGCTGCACTTCCCATTGCTGGTCTGAAGGGTGATATATTGCAATTGCTCCATGAAAATAATGTTCTAGTTGTTTGTGGGGAAACAGGTTCTGGAAAAACAACTCAGGTGGAAATTTATCATTCTTTGGTTTTCTGAAAACTTTTTAGTTACGTTTTAGCATATTGTTTACATGCATTCTATTTACTTTTGAATTTCTAAGGTTGTATGTTTCCTCCTTTTTTGATATTTTTTTTAGGTTCCGCAATTTATATTGGATGACATGATCAAATTAGGACGTGGTGGACACTGTAACATTATATGCACGCAACCAAGGAGAATAGCGGTGGGTAATCTTTTTTTTCTTTTTTTTTTTTTTTTTTTTTTTTTTTTTTTTTTTTTTTATTGGGTACATAATCTTCTCTCTGCTGAAAAGTATGGCACTGCATTAGGTTGCTTGTGTTTAAACTTTAAACCAAGATTCATGTGACATAAGCAGGATGAATATCACTTGCACTGCACCAGAAGAATTATTTTTTCATTGTAGATCTAAGTAATTATCATTAGGTTCTCGTGGTGTTTTTTTTTTTTTTTTTTTTTTTTTTCTTTTTTCACATTGGCTGCGCTGCAAATATATCTGTCTTGTTATCCTAGGATGTTTCTAAAACAAATGAGGTATTATTCTAGTAGTTTGTCCAGAATAAACATTTGTAAATGGGCATCTTTAGAATAAAATGACCACAAATATGGACATTTTCGATGATAATGTCCATCAAGATTCCTAATTTCCATTGAAGTTTCCATTTTTTGAAGCCACGGATATTGATTATAGGTGGAAGGATTTGACTGAGGAGTTGATGGACTTTTGTGTTGGATAATTTTCCTTATTTATAAGATTTTAATTTATCCATTTAGGATGAATGTCAATGTTTCATGAAATTAACAAATACAAGTTATGTTTTTATAAAGGAAAAAATTGATAGAGCTTGAAAATCAAGGTCAGTAAAAACATGAATTTCCTTCATACAATTAGTCTGTATTTTCAGTGGATCCTGCTGATACCATGTTGTGGAGCTGCTGTGGCAAAATTTAGAAGATATAATGGTTCTAACTACTTGTATAATGGTTCTAACTACTTGCTAATGTGAGTGTGCTTTGGTTCTTTGTATTGTAGGCTATTTCCGTGGCTGAAAGAGTTGCTGATGAGCGCTGTGAACCTTCACCTGGTTCAAGAGGTTCTTTGGTTGGTTATCAAGTTCGTCTTGATAGTGCAAGGTGTTCATTTTTGTGACTTGTTGCTTTCAAATCCTCTGCTTGTATGCCAAATTTTCCATTTACTTTAACTTCCTTATTATTATTTGTATATTGGTGAGTCTCTGTTTTAGCACCAACATTTTCATTCATGTTTTATGTTATCTCAGCAATGACAAGACAAAGCTTCTATTTTGCACGACGGGCATTCTTCTGAGAAAATTGATGGTAAGACTGTTTATTTTAGTTTTCTTATTTAGTATGCTGCTGCTCCTGTAGCAAACTAGAGGACGGTGACTTTCATTGCAGAATTTAGTTCTCAGTTTCTTTGACATTATCTGAGATAAATAATTATGTACTGGTTCTAAATTCTTGTTACTTTTCCTGGTGTTCAATCCAAATGCATTATTATTATATTTGGTTCTGGTTTCTAATATCTAGTATTTGAGATTTAAAGTAAAAATTTTTGGTACTCCGTGAAAGATAGTTGCACTTTGCATTTGTTTATGTGTGTAATTTCATGAGTGTGCGTGTGCACTGTGCTTGTATGTGTGTATGTTGGCTTTCCAAAAAAAGGAAAGGATATAACAGAAACCCGTTCAGTTTGTTTCAAATGGGATTTCAGTCTTGGATCCAAAAAGGATCCCGCAAAATCATGGGTTTGGTTTCACAACTGAAACCTTTCAAGCCAGATTTGAAGGGCTTTGGTTTGGTTCGCATATGTGTGAAAAGTGGATTTTGGTTTGGCCCTCAAATTTGCAAACAGTCAACACCCGCCTAAGAGATTTTTTGTTTATGTATGTTTGAATCCTACCTTTGTCTCTTACTCGTGACTACTAAATCAATGGTCACTAATAATAGGTTCAAAATCCAATGGCTTATTTTAAAAATCCTGATAAAGTACTTGTATTTCTGGAATGAATGTCAACTGTTGGATTTTGAACCAATGGGTCAGTAAGCATTTCATGCTCATTGGTGAGTGCGACATGATGATTATTTATGTATCTTAGCATTACACTTATTGTGTGGTATGACTTGTGAAACTTGTTTTCAGTCAATGCTATATCTGTTGGAACTCTCATCCAAGGAATCTAAGCAAATCTAATCCTTATGTTTTTTCATTTGCAGGGAGATAAAAACTTGACAGGTATTACTCATGTCATAGTTGATGAAGTACATGAGCGGTCTCTTTTGGTGAGTTGTAGATTTAGTATTTTACAGTCATGTCCGTGGGCATTTTGAAAAACGTTTGTTGGCATGATGGAATGCAGGAATATTCTGTGGCCAAAAAAGAAAAGAAAAGGAAAAGATGTGTTATAATGATTTTATTTTATTTTAAAAAAATATAAAAAAATAAAAAATAATAGAAAAGAGAAAGAAAGTACAACAGAGGCTTGTCTCTTGGCTCCTGTGCTATAATTTCTTTTTCTTTTCAATGAAGATCTTTGTTTCTTATTAAAATGTACAGTAGGTGAAAGAAGTTTACTCCTTTCTGTTTTGGGGGTGGGGAAAGGGGAGATGGATGATGGATAGGTGTTATAGAAGAGAATATTTTCATTTTTTAGTTTTACTTGGTTTTACAAATCTTTTTCCCTTAAGTGTTGCAAGAATTTCATCTCCTGGTAAAGGGGTTAATTAAGAAATAAGGACTAACAGATAGTATTGTATATATTTTCTACTTCCTAAAAACAGGGTGATTTCCTGCTCATAGTTTTGAAGAATCTGATTGAGAAGCAATCAGCTCTTAGCACACCAAAACTGAAGGTTATTCTGATGTATGTCTGTTCTTCAATTCCTCGAGTTTATATACACATTTTTTATTATATGTATAAATACTTTCAAAAATTGTATTAATTACTTGACCTCCTATTTGTTCAGGTCTGCAACTGTTGATTCAGATTTGTTTTCAAGATACTTTGGTAATTGCCCTGTGATTACTGCAGAAGGCAGAACACATCCTGTCACAACTTACTATCTTGAGGATATATATGAAAGCATTGATTATCGGATTGCTTCGGATTCTCCAGCTTCCTTGGGATATGGACCTTTGACCAAGGAGAAGGTGACTCAAAGTTGCACAGTTCTCTTTCGCGCTGTTCTGTGTTGTATTAGCTATATGAGAAGCTTCTGTTTTTACCAAATTTACCTTTTGTCTTTAATTGTCCTCCTATGAATTTGCATGCAGTAAATTCTTAGAGTATTTGAAATATCACATATTACATAGCTATTTGGGTAAATAGGATCCTCTACTGATCCTTTTGGTGCTAATCTTGTGCTTACGATCAAAACAACATTGTTTTGGGGTTTAAGGGTTAAGAATTTTGGAATCAGGGTTTAGGATTTAGGATTTAGATTGGAAAATAATTGTGTAGAACAATGTTGTTTTAGACATAACCACAAAATCAACACAGGATTTGAACTCCTCTTTGGAAACCATGTTCACAAAGTTTTAGGTGACTTGGTTATTGTAATTTACTATTATTTGATTAGGAGTATTTTAGTCAGTCGTCCAAATATTTCTAATATTAATATATACACTTGGTCAAGTGTAATAAATGCAGCCATATGATTCCACAATTGTTTTTGAATGTCCTTGAGATTTTGATATTCATTACCTGATTTTTGTGCATTTTGAAAACACCAGGCTGGTGCTGTAAACAACCGCAGGGGAAAGAAGAATCTTGTTTTATCTGCTTGGGGTGATGATTCTCTACTCTCTGAAGAAAATATTAATCCTTACTATGTTCCAGATAGTTATCAATCGTACAAAGAGCAAACTCGACAAAATTTGGTAAGTGCCTTTAAGATTTTGTTTCTGAAAGTAGCATGGTTTTTCTTCATTTTCCTAAGGGGACCCTATAATATGGTAATCAAAATTATCGTACAGAAAAGATTGAATGAAGATGTCATTGATTATGATCTTCTTGAAGACTTGGTGTGCCATGTTGATGAAACTTGCGATGAGGGGGCTATACTTGTCTTCTTGCCTGTAAGCCCATCCGATAGTCTCTTCGCTTTTTTTAGGCATGTTTGCCTCACCAATAATAATAATATTGTTCTTCTTGTACTTAAATAATGCATAACAGGGAGTATCTGAAATTTACACATTAGTTGATAAACTAGCTGCTTCTTACCGATTTGGTGGACAAGCTTCTGATTGGATTCTTCCACTACATTCATCCGTTTCATCAACCGATCAAAAGAAGGTGTTTTTACGGGCTCCGGAGAACATACGAAAGGCAAGTTTTTCAACATAAGTTGTTGAGTCTATTGCTCTAACTTTTCAATTTATTCTTTTGTCCTTTTGTAGTTATACATTTTTGTAGTGGTTCTTCATTCGATTATCGTGTATTCAACGCTTCTATTTTACATGCATGTAGTTGTTACAGAAAATTGCATGCAGTTTTTTCAGAAACCACCATTTAAATTCTGCATAAAAGCTGAAAAGCATTTTAAAATGAGGTAATGATGGTTGAACTGTGTGTTAAAAGATTTTTCACATATGCTCAAGCGAAATTTCTGTTTTCTCCTGGATTGACTGATACCTTACTCTCATAACAGTGGGTAGCTCTTGGATATTAGGGTTCTCTGGTTTTGGGAACTTGGTATTATATCTCTTGCGCTATGGGATTGTAAATTCCAATGGGGATGTGATATAGAATGAATTTTCCATTTTTGTTAGTTTGCAAAAAACTTTTCAGATAGACTAAGTTAACTGGATCTTTTCATTAAGAATTGGATGACTTGATGTGGTTATAAAAAGTTCCTCTCCTACTGCAGATAATTCTGCCACCCCCTGAATCCAACCGAAAGGATAAGAAAAACTTAAGGCGAACCCCTTTTCATGGAAATGAGAATTCGAAAGGAAACTTGAAAAGGAATAACATTAGAGTTCAGCGCTTATACCCTGCAATAGATTTTTGCATTGTAATGCATAAATCCTTAATGTTTCAGGAGTGTAACCCAAATAATTAAATTAGTGGAGAGAATGGAGTTGGAAAAATGATTGTGGGTGAAAAGTTTGTGTTCATTCATATAGTCTTGCTGATTATTCCTAATGAGGAAGGCAGATGTAGATGGATTGTTTCACTTAGATTAATTTGCTCTTTTTTTTGTTATAGGAAATTGGAACTTTATTATTGAAAAAAGAAGAGTTACAGAAATACAAAAGGCAGTCAACCTAGGCAAAGCCTGCTATAAACACATAACAAGCTAAACAACAATTAACACAGAGCGCCGGCTCAGGCAAGATGAACAACAATAGAAGTCTGTAAAAGGCTTACATCAATTTACTCATGGATTCAGACAAAAAAAAATTTACTCATGGATAGATAGATATGTACATAATTCCTAGTGCCTAATGTTTTTGCTTTTGTTTGACTTCATGCAGTAAATTTCATTGGTATTTTGTTTCAATATCTTATGTCCCAGGTCATTGTAGCCACAAACATTGCAGAGACCAGTATAACAATCGATGATGTGGTATATGTTATTGATTGTGGAAAGCATAAGGAGAATCGTTATAATCCGCAGAAGGTTTGTGCTTTTAGTCTCTCTAATGAATGATAACGTGGTACTTTTCATCATTTTCATATAGGCTGTGACTGCTGTAGCATTTATAATCAGATAAACATTAGGGCTTTCTCCATATAGTAATTTTGGCACTCTGTTAGATCTGTACTTTATTGTATACTTGTTTCTAGAAACTTAGTACTGTATGGAAGGAACAAATATTATTATTTTTTTTCACGCTGAACATTTCTATTGCCATGGAGAACGATTTATACATTCTAAGATTATTGGAATAAGTTATGTGTTCCCATAGACATCGTTGCTAACCTTGAATTTTGAGAATAGAAGACATCTTTACTTGTTCATGTTCAAACTGTTATTGCATTTATCTAATCTTTAATACTTAAAAAGAAGAATATTAATAAGTTGGATGGTGACCTCAAACTTTTTCTTTCCAGCATTCTTGTGAAAATCCTTATTTTTCTCTGTTCCAACCGTCATCCATGATTTGAAAGGCTACTGTACCTCTATACCTCCTAAGGTACAAATACATGCTTGGATAATTGCTCATGGAAGGGCTAACACCTGGGACTTGATTCATAGGAGAAGACTAATGTTTGTCTGTCCCCCTCTTGGTGTATTATTTGGGGGCATTGATCATTTGTTCCTCCATTTCCCAATAGCTTTAAAATTGTGTCGGAGGCTGTTTAAGGATGCTAAATTAATCTGGATAGTTCCAGCGAATGCACAGCTCTATTTTTTGAAAAGCACAAGGCTTTTGGGTGGGGGATGAAGGCTAAAGTTTTATGGAATGCATGTTTTAATGGTGTTTTGTTTGATTTGGTAGGAGAGAAATAAAAGAATTTTTAAACTATTGTGGGGAGGGGCTGCACATTTGTGGTGCACATTTTATGTGACAAAGTCAGATCTTGGATTATGGGCATTAGTTTCTTCTAATTTCAGGTTATACCATTCTTTCATTTTGGCAGATTGGAAAGCTGCTGCTTGCTAGGAACGTTTGTACTTACTTTTTTCTGTTTGAGGGACAGAGTTTTGTTCTATTTTTATTGATGTACTGTTGAAGTGGCCATCTTGCCCACTGTGATTGTTCTCTATTATTTTTAGAAATAATTTTTTTCTATTAAAAAAAAACAAAAAAAAACTAACACACACTTGTGTGACCTAGAACTTCATTGCACACCTTCATCGTAAGTTTGTATGTCCACCTGATTTATCAGCAGTTACCACGTTGTAGATGTTAGAATACTTTTGGTGGTGCTGGGTCTAATACTTGGATTGGTAACAACTGCAGAAATTGTCAAGCATGGTTGAAGATTGGATTTCTAAAGCAAATGCTAGGCAACGACGAGGAAGAGCTGGACGTGTGAAACCTGGAATTTGTTTTTGTTTGTACACACGTTATCGATTTGAAAAGCTCATGCGCCCTTTTCAGGTACTTCTGCCCAAAATTGAATTTTAAAACGGGCAATTTTCTTGTGTTTTCTACTGTTATTCACTTGATCATTGTTTAATGTTTTATATATAAGAACAGTAAACTATCACTTCATATAATTTCTAATTGTTATGAATGCCAAGGTTCCAGAGATGCTTCGGATGCCATTAGTAGAGCTGTGTTTACAAATTAAGTTGCTTTCTCTGGGTTACATAAAGCCATTATTATCCAAGGTGAGTAATGTTATATTTGTATAACAGGTTTTTTTACTTATGATATCACCTGATCGGTTTGGTTTGTTAATTTTCTGTTTATCAGGCTTTAGAACCTCCAAGGGAAGAGGCTATGACCACAGCAATTAAGTTATTGTATGAGGTATAGTTTTTTCTCTTAAAATCAGAACCACAATGCATACTGATGATTGAATGTATGAATAATTGCCTAAAACTCTTCTTTTTGTATTCATTTCTTGCTTTCTAACGTACAAACACTATCAACTTTATCTTGGTTCTACAATGATGTATTATTTCATACTGTTGAATTAGAGATAGAGAGGAATAAAAATCTCTAGGCCATAATATTAGCAACCCCCCAAATAGGTGAAGGGGCAATGCATGAACACGTGATCTATAATATCAGCACAAAGTGTTAGGAATTTTGGAAAAATTCTTTGTCCAAGACCGTACAATATCAATAGAATAAAGATGATGAAGAACAATAATAAAAAACACACAAATTTGTTAACGAGGTTCACCTCAAACTGGGCTACATCCCTGGTAAGTGATGATGACGACGCCCCACTAAGAAGGTAGCAACTCTACAATGAAGAGGTAATAGTCTCTTCAATCACACACTTCAGTAATTTCACTCCTCTTAACCCCTCTCAATAGTGAGTCCCCAATACACCCTGACACTCACAACTCAATCTCTAAAGTTCGCCCCTTAGTTGGTTTATCACAACACTCAAACCACATAGGAGCAAACCATGGGCCTGACCAACTCCACTAACCCCTCATTGGTGGCTCATGGATCGATATTGAGTTCATTGTTTTCTTTTGTTGCCATTGATATGTCTTTCTCTGTGTTCTGTATATTGATATTCGCAATGAGACTCTTGTATTTGTTATTATTCTTCGTACTCTTTTTTTTCTTCTTTCTACTGGGAACTACAATGTTTTCATTATTCTGTATATCTGCAATGCGACTCTTGTATATTTCTTACTGTGTAACCACGTTTTCAATTTTTATTTTATTTTATCTCTTCAGTCTTTTTTGTTTGATTGTTGTACTAAACTGAACACTACAAGTTTCTCTTTGTTTGCGTTAATCACTGTAACAGGATAATCGGCTTTTGTGCATATGGTAAAATTTCTTACAGTTTATCTTTGTGTAAGCTTGTAATTAAATGCTCATATACGTAGAAACAGCAAGAAGGAATGCCAACTTTTCACAGTAAGCTGATTCTGTACAACCGGGCTTATTTTATAGGTTGGTGCTCTTGAAGCGGATGAAGAGTTGACTCCTCTTGGGCATCATTTGGCAAAACTCCCTGTTGATGTATTGATTGGGAAGGTGTGCATTTGATAATTTTCTTTTCCTTCTCAATTGCATGCATGCAAAATAGCTGCAGCCTCAAGAAATTTTTTTTGTGTGGAAAAGATATGATTTTCGCAGCCTCAAGAAATTCAATACAAAAATTATCAGTACTACTTGTGTAGTATTGGGCTTGCCGGTGTTTCGACTCTTTCCCAGGATTTCAATACTACTTGTGTTGCCTTAATTCCTTAAACAGATAGAAAAAGCAATCAGATTGGCATTTACATTTTGTATTTGTCTCCCTTCATTTAACATTTAGCTAATGGGGTGTTGGCACACGTACATGTGCAAGCCCTTCATTAGGTTAACTTTCTTAACATTAGACTGCTGAGACCAAGATCTTGTGAGACCAATTTATCATGCTGCTTCCTTTGAAACTGCAGATGATGCTATATGGGGGAATATTTGGTTGCTTGTCGCCCATTCTCTCCATTTCAGCATTCTTGAGCTACAAATCTCCATTTGTCTATCCCAAAGATGAGGTCCCTCTTTCAGTGCTGAAAATAAGTTACTGTTTATTTAATATTTCTAAAGAAGAGAAGAACTTCAGTTACATACTTATTCTCTATCACTACATTTAAATTACAGAGGCAAAATGTTGAAAGAGCTAAACTGGCACTGTTGACTGGCAAGCTAGATGGTCCAAGTGAATCACATGATTCTGACAGGCAATCCGACCATCTCATAATGATGACTGCTTACCAGAAATGGGAAAAGATTCTCCGTGAGGTTAGTCATCTATTTCTTTGCATGCAAGCACGCACACACACACACACACACACACACACGAGTAACTTGGTTCCTGAGGCAAAGATTAATTCCGATCATATGTTAAGATACTATTTGGTTGTTTCATGCCACTATCATACCCATATACTTGTTACAGTCTGCCTAAAGCAAATATGTATGCGAATTCATGCTTTCCATCAGATTGCACCGCATTGTGCATTCTTATACCATTACCAGTGGAACAGTTAAGTTGTTGAATGTATTGTCACAATTGTTATTGGAAGAACAGAGTGTTTACTGATGCAGAAAGTTTGATTGTTGCAGAAAGGGGTTAAAGCTGCGCAACATTTTTGCAATTCGTATTTCTTAAGCAGTTCAGTTATGTACATGATAAGGTGCAGTTTCTCTTCCCTAGATCTTATGTACCAATGAATGTGTAAGTCGATGTTGATTATGACTTAATCTGGAATGGAATGTGATTAAATTCTAATATTTGATTTTCTTATAGCACTGCCCCTCGAGGAATATCCCATCATAGTGGAAATAGTAATTTTTTTTTCCTATGGTCATTTGATTAAATGGTGATCATGGATCCATTGGATTCTTGAGATCAGTGAATTTTTCAATTATGATTAATGGGAGGCTGGGAGGGAGATTTAAAGCTCTAAATCTTAATGGGATCAGTGAATTTTTCATATACTTTTTAAAATTTCACTTTGAAAACAACTATATCTGAAAGTGTGTTGGTGGACGTCTTGAAGATAAGATTTTGGACTCCCTAGCTAACAGCCTAGAGGGGTGGTTTATGAGTCCTCGGTTTTTAAGAAATTGTTGGTTGGAAATGAGACTAAAATTTGTTTTTTTGGAAAGCATTTGATAGATGACTAGTCCTTTCAATCTTTTTCATGTCTCTATTAGTCTTCTTTGAATGACCATATGGTAGTCTCCCCTAGCTTTGTCTACACTGTTGAGTTATTTCTTGGAATTTAATCTTTAGAAGGTAACTGAATGGTTAAGAATTCAGAGTTCTCAGATTTATTGTCTAAGATAATAATATCTCATTGAATCCTGTTCAGTTCAATAAATGAAACCCCACCACGCACTATTCATGTATCAAGGATCTTTTCTTGTATAACCTTTTTTGTATTTATGGTTGAGAACCCAAGTCTTCCTGTGTTCCATCTGTAGAAGATGTGGAAGACTGGTGTACTTACAGATTCTTTCTTGGCTTGTGACACATTTGAAATCAATTACTTATGTTGCACTACGCAAAAGAAGAACTTATGCTTCCTGCTAGAATATAGAACAGTTGTTGCCCACATCCCAACGACTTAAGCTTTTAGGAATTGTGGTAAACCTAAAAACTTTATCATGGCATTAGAGCAAGAGATCTTGTGTTCGAAATTGCATTCCCCTGATACAAAGTAAAATTTCGCGTGTTGGACTCTAATACTTGGAGAGACCCACATGTGCGGGGGAGTGTTAGGATATAAAATTGGTTGTCCATATCCTTTCAGCTTAAGCTTTTATGAGGAGTGGTAAACCAGAAAACGTTATCACTTCCTAGCATCGTAAGTTTTAAGAATCATTTATACTGTACGGAGAATTGAGATGTATAATGTTTTTAGTCCCATTGCTTACTGTGCTCCAGTAAGCTTTTGATCAGATATACACTCAATTTAATCGATTGATATTAAATCAGAAAATAAAAAACAAAAAGACATTACTGGTATATTCATTTTGGTATTCAAACTTCAGTTCAGTTAAAATTCAGTAATCTAGTTGATTTCTTTTGAACAATATTTGATGACCCTCATCATGAAATCGTTGCAGGTTCATATGCACCATGACATCTATTTAAGGACCTTTTATCATCGTTTGCTCTCCTTTTTTTTCTTCTTTGTTTGGTGTTAATTATTTTGTCTTTAATTTGTCATAATTCATCAACTCTTTTCTGCTTATCCTTGATTTTCAGAGACATGAGGATACAGTTTGGAACTTTGCTAGCAGATATTGGGCTCATTGCTCTTCCAAAACAATATCAGGTAGTTTGTGTCATTCATTTAATGTCAATTATTGCTTCACTTAGTATTCACATCCTTTGTAATTCAGCAGTCACAGACTTGAATGATTTTCTCTCTATTTTCCTCTCTAAAACTCTGCTTATAATTGTCTGTCTTCTTATTCTATTACCATTATTCTGTCTATTTCTCCTTCTTCCCCTTCTGTTCTTCTCTTGAGCCCTCATTCCTCTTCTATTCTAAATCCCTCGCCAATTTCTAAATTCTTGTTACTTGTTTGTTCTACATCAGTTTCCCTCCACCAAAAAAGCACAAGGTTTCTTGAAAAATGAAGAAATGCATGAAGTTGGAAGTGATCCAATTCAACCTTGAGTCACTAATTAGTTTGTCCCACTATCTCAAATCTATGGAACAGTCTCTCTATAAAACTCCAAAGTTCTACTGATGTCAAGATGTAGATATGTTCTTCAGCCTGTAGGCTGAATTGTGCTCCCATTCACTGATTGCTGCTATGCAAAGTCGCTAGGTTTCTATGTACAAAGGTTAAATAGATAGTTATAGTTATAGATATCTGCCAGCCAAGGGTGGTGTATACTTGTTTCCTGTCAGAAACTAGAGTTCTTTTGAACTTCTGAGTTCAATCGTGGAAATGTGTTCTTATTTCAGGTTGGTGGAAGAAAGAAAGAGAATCTTGACACTTGGTTTTCAGATGAATCACAACCATTCAATATGTATTCAACCCATTCATCAATTGTAAAGGTAAAACTCAGTGGCTTTAAACGTGTGTGATTTCAATGAAGTTCTTTCTGCTTGATTGTGAGAAAGCGATACATTGATTTCTGTCTGCTTACACATTGATCTGCACTGTCTATGGTAAAGTTTGGTCATTGCATCAAAACTTTTATCGTAAAACCAGTAGTAGATTGTTCGACACTCCTCACTTCATGTCATATATCATGTTCGCCTTATTATTGTAATTATTGTTATTATGTCGTTTCTGTCTTGAGTGTGATTTCAAATGATTCTGAGGGACTATTCACTGCTTTATTTCAACACTTAATCATAATTCAGGTTTACAGAGCAGTACATCATTGGAAATGAAGCCTCGTAACATTTGTAAACAAGCAGGACACTTGGAATTTAAAAATCATCCTTTAATTTCATAAGAGTTATCTTTAAACTATTTTTGTTGGAGTTAGAATTTAAAGTCTGACCCTACTCACCCTACGTAACTCCATTATCATTTAAGCTAAGGCTTGTGGTGAAATTAAATTGAACTTGGTAGACTACCACTGTACCCAAAACCTTAACCTGCTATGGGATAGGCCAACAATATATATCAAGCTAACAGGCTCCCTCACAAGCAGTCTCATCAAGCTAACAGCCTCCCTCACAAGCAGTCTCATCACGTGGAGAATTATACATCATACATGCAAGAAGAAAACATTGTGCAGCCTATCTGATACTGCATATAATTAACAAATAATTGGGAAATGGGGCTGAGTAGATTCAATCTCAGGTTCTCTTTGAACGAACCATTACAGACCAAAAACATAAGCTGGTACGCAATTGGCTAAATCTGTAGGTTAAACTAACGAAAATTGTCTCAACATCCTGCAAATTCGTTCCATCCTCTGCTTTTTCCTTCAATACTTATGTGCAGTTTTAAGATCTTATTAGTGAGATTTTAATCTCTGTTATATTGCAGTCCTGATACATATAATGCTATTATCATTATTCAAGTGACAATCTGCAGTTAATTATTGCTTGTCGCATAGATAACTGAGGAGTTCGTATCAAACATCCGATTTTAAATTGATTGCTACCACTTTTCCCTGTTCGAGACAATGAATCTAAAAGTATTTTTGCAGGCAATATTATGTGCAGGTTTATATCCCAATATTGCAGCCACTGGGAAAGGCATTGCTGAAGCAACTCTCACTAACCTTAAACAATCTGCCAGTCCGGCAACTAAGGAACGTCCAATCTGGTATGATGGAAGAAGAGAAGTTAACATACACCCTTCTTCTATCAACAGTACTTTAAAAGAATTTCAGTATCCCTTCATTGTCTTCCTCGAAAAGGTTTGTGCACTGTTACTTGTTTACCTTTTCTCACAACAATACGATGATGGTGATGACAACAACAACAAAAGGAATAAACTAATAATTAATATTTCATCCCCCTGTCTCTCACTAAGAATTACCAACGGCAAAAGATGGAGTAGAATAAATAAACAACTATTTACCGTGTGCTGTGGTTGCAGAAAGGAAAATAATACTTTTTGCCGCATACCTTTCTAATTTCTCTATTAAGTGTAGTGGCACAGAGATAGAGATAGATATAGAAAATTATGGATTGATGCAAAGTTATTCCATAATTTCGGAACTTTTATTGTTCAGCCTACTAATTCATTATTCTTAGGATGTCAGTTTAATATATCTTATTCACAGGTCGAAACAAACAAAGTATTTCTCCGAGATACAACAGTCATTTCTCCCAACTCTATTTTGTTGTTTGGTGGCTCCATCAACATCCAGCATCAGGTATCTTTTTTATTTTTCATGTTCTCCGAGTATAAAATATGTGCATTTCAAAGCCATGCATTTGAAACATGTACATCTGAAATGTAAATGCTGCCAACTGTTGTCAGTTGATAGGCAAGTGTTCTTTCTGACCTTGTCTAATAACATAGTCTTGTTGTCTATTTTATGCATTTGTCTAAATGAACCAAAGTATAAATGGCCAAGTGATCCTTGTTCAAAGAAGTCCTGGCTTCTATAATCCAAGAAATAATCATTCAGAAAAAGTCCTGTCAAACATTCCCTTTGTTTTAACTTTTAATAACCACCTATCAAAAGAGAGTAAAAGAAACAGAAAAAGAAAAGGAAGGGTGCAAAAAACAAAGCAGTACCGTTGGGCATTTGTACGGCTGGCTTTTCTCTTAGCGTTTTATCTACTTGAAGGGAAGTGTATGCCTACATCCCCTGAGGAAGTGATGTGCATAATTTGTTAACTATTGTATCAGGTTGTTTAACATGACATTTACAGTCTGTGCTTGATGATTTTGATGTGTTTATGCGGATCTGTCTTCGTATTCCAATTCTTACTCCTATTTCTAGGGTATCATTATTAGGTTGCAGAAGAATTAATACATTTGCTACAAAATGAAGCATAAGCAGACCCAGTTATTGTGTTATATTTTGATGTTTCTTCTTGCAGACTGGACTTGTTATTGTTGATGGATGGTTAAAACTGACGGCACCAGCACAAACTGCTGTCCTGTTCAAGGAACTCCGATTAACTCTTCATTCCGTTCTGAAGGAATTGATAAGAAAGCCAGAGGTAACTTTCATGTTGCTTCTAAGTTGCCTCATGTTGCTTCTAAGTTGCAATAATTTTTGACTTGTCAGTTGCTACAAATGTATCCTTAGCTTATTTATAGCTTGTCGTGTCGTTACTTTTAACTTGTCTCTAACATGCTTCTCTGATGCATCAAGAATGAGTTGTATGTCTGCAGCTGTATTTCAATGTCCCATGATACCAAAAACGCATTTCTCTAAACTCAAGTCATAGCATCAATTTAGTTTGATTTATGCTATTGTATATTTATTATTGTAAAACAGTTGATGTTAGAGCTGCTGCCCTTGAAGTGCTTCTTCTGTTAACTAGAATATTTTTGGCATCGCATTCTTTGTTATTTTGCGTGAGACAGATGTCAACCAATAATGATTTGTTTTTGCATTTTAAACTGTTTCTCAGAACTCCACCGTTGCTTATAATGAGGTTTTAAGGTCTATTATCCATTTGTTGTTAGAAGAAGATAAGCCCCCACAGTAATATATTGACAGCAAGGTATGTCTTAATGTCCTTTCTTCAAACAGTTGATCGATCATAGATACACTGTTGGGATACATGCTTTTCTCTTCATGATTTTGTGGCTAATTCTGTTCTGATTTGAACAAGGAGTGTACTTGACTGCTCGTCACTCAAGTAGTCAAATGTGTGTCCTTTAGCACTTTGTCGATGTTTGGTGTTCCCATCCTATTCGGCGGGTATTCAATGCATCTCTGGGTTTATGCATCATTGCAAGGTTGGTTCTTTAAGGACAAAAAATCTGTTAATTGACCTTAAATGTCTGGCTGAATATTGTGCTCTCAATAGTCATTCAGACAAGGAATGTTGCCATCCACTTTGACAAAGTGTTAGGCTTTACTCTTCTTATATGAACAGGTTGATTTCATTTTTGTTCCCTCCTATAGATACTGTATGTAATGTGATAATATGGTTTTAGTCAACGGTAGCTGATTTGGCCTTGTTCACCTTTTGGCCTTGACTAGGGCCAACACAGGAAAATTCAATTTTATATGTAAAAGTCACCTTTGGCCTTAACTAGCTAGTTATTGTCGAATTTAATGATAATTTGCCTCATAAACTTGCCATTTCTTCTCCAAGATGTTCCTTCTATGCACTTGGGACATTTACTGCTTCCATTGTAGTGTTTTTGGATGGAAAAATGAGCATGTCGCATCAATGGATAATTATGGGAATATTTCATTTTTACCAAATACGTCCAAAACGTTATTTTAAATGTTTGAATTCTTGGCGTGTAACAAAATTTATTAATAAATAAAAAAATAAATGTGGTCGAGTGAATAAATGGGTAGAGCCCTAATTACGGTTCCAATTATACGGAAATAAAAGGTAACGAGCTTCTGTTATGAACACCTGGGTCTAAGATTCGTATCTCAATGACACCTTAGTGTTAATGTGTGAGAATGCCCTATTCCTTCCTAACTTTGGCCATAAAAAAAATAAAAATACAAACAAACTCAATAAATTGAGATTACAAACAAAAATTAACTCAAAAGAAAAATAATGGTGAAATTATGAAGTTCTAACAATTATTTAAATAATTAATAAAATTGGGATATATATTTTTGATACAAGTGATAATTTAAAATACATAGGGAGGGGGTTTCTCACAACGCTACTAATGCCATAAGGGTTCGAGTTTGAGACCACTAGTCTACAAATCAAGTCTATTTTTTACTAGATTAGACCCTATTGACAAAACTGTCACATATTTGTGTATACATAAATAATTGTATTTGAGTTTGGCATTTTTAGAATTGGAGGTGGTGAGATAATCATCAATCCCATTTGGTATAGGCGAATTTTCAAGGATTTGAATCCTCTGCTATGATTTTCTCTATCTACTTAACTTTTATTCTCCATATGCACTCTCATTTTTTTTATAAAAAAAAGTAAAAAATTTGAAGTTATAACAATTATTTAAATAATTAATAAAACTGGGGATTTAAATTTTGAGATTGCCTGATTAGGGAAAAAACTGTCACATACTTATGTACATGAATAATTGCATTTTAGTTTGGCATTTTATTTTTAAGTAGTGGAAGTGGTGAGGTCATGAATCATGATCAATCCGATTCGGTATAGGCCGGTTTTCAAATCATTATTTTGCGGTTCAATTTTATGGTCAACCAAACCAAAGAGTGTACTACAATTCGAATTGGCCGGTTTGATCAGTTGGACCGGATTGCATTCCCTCGTATTCATCTCCCGCATTAGATAATAATAACAATAATAAAAAAATTCTAGTTATTTGATTCCTCTTTCATTTCTAACTCGCGCACACTTCCTCCCTTCCCTTCCTTCATGTAGGCTCTGCAGCAGCAGCAGCAACAGCAAGCATCAAGCAGCAGCATGGCCTCACTCTCTCTCCTTCCTCTCCTCTCTCTCTTCCTCTCCCTCTTCCTCCTCTCCCATCTCTCCTTCTCTCCCACCGTCGTCGTCGCCGACTCCCACTTTGAAGGCTTCGAAGATGCCGACGGCATCGACGACGCCGACGACGAAGACTCCTCCCTCCCTCTCTCCACCCTCAACCGCCCTTCCCAAACACCCCTCACCACCACCCCCTCCCAGCCCGACTCGCCTCCCTCCCCGGATCCCTCTCAACCCTCCCCGGATCCCAACCCGACCCCCAATTTGGACCCTCCGCCCACCGATCTTCCCAAACCCTCCTCCACCAGCTTCGAGTATTGGGACGAGGACGAGTTCGAAGGCCTGCCCATCCAACCTGAGCAACCACTTCAACAACCGCCCCTCGACGACCAGAAAATTACCGAAAATGCCACTCCCTCCTCCGATTCCGATCCCAAACCCTCCGCCGACCCCAAACCCCTTGCCGCAACTAGATCGTTCGTCGTGGAGATTGCGTGCGGAGGGTTCCTCATCGTCTTCGCTATCAACTACTTCACCGGAAAGCGTGTGAACGAGAACATCGCCCTAGCTTGGGCTGCGAAATTCGCGACGAAAGACTCGATCTTCGAGAAGAATTTCAGCCTTTTGGGGGTCGGAGACGGCGACGATTCGCCGTTGCTGTTGAAGGAAGGGCAGAACGTGTTCAAGTTCTACGCGAGTGGGCGGAGGTGCTGCCAGGGGCTTTTGGCGACGATGGAGCTCAAGAGCCGCCACGATTTGATCTCCTCCATTTTCAACTTGGTGGTGCCGAGTAGGGACGAGATCAATCTCGAGGTTTATATGAATGATGATGCGATGGACCACGTGGTTTTCGCCGTGGCGAGGAAGAAGGCGGCCAAAGCAATGCAGAAGGAGGTTCCCGACTTGCAGAAGTTTGCCGGGATCCTGTCGCCGCCCACTGGAAGAAAGTGGGTTGCTGAGGACTTGGCTGTTATCTCAGAGTCGAAGGAGGTAGCTGGGGATTTGATCACCGAGGCTGTGCTTGATCAGGTTGGTTTATTTTCTTCTTCATGGCAAATTTGTTATGGTTTTTATTTATTATTTATTTTTATTAATCTGGTTTATCGTTGCATTTAGATGTTATTTGGTTTGAGTGGTTATTGTTTAATTCGGGCTCTGCACTCTTACTTGCTTGCAATGAGTGTGCTTTCAAGTGTTTAGTTTTCTTGATAGTATGAACTGCATTCGATCAAGTGATTATGTGTTTGAATATATTGGGTAGGCTGTATTGCACATATATACAGGTAATAATAAGATTCTGTTTTACTGCAATGATAATGCTGAAGACCATATAAACTGCAAAACTGAAAAACTGAAGAATCATAAACAACTTATGCTTATTATAACAGTTGTTTTTGGGTTCCATGTGATGGCCAACCATAGGATTGAAGGCCCATGATAGGCCACTATCCTGAGTATTTTGCATGTATGGGGTGGTAGTGGGTTAGTTGAGTACTTAATTCTGATCTACTGTTCAGTTCATGAACTCAGTTGTTAGTGGTTAGTGTTAATGTCTCTGACTAGTGGTAGTTAGTGTTATATTTGTGTGTGTGTGTATATATATATATATTTGTTAATGGTGCATTTTAGTGAAATGAAATAAGAAGAGTTTGATTTCCATTATATCACTGGTGCATTCTAGCCATAACTGGAATTAGTATTCCAATCAAATATTTTATTCCTTTGGCCCATCTGATTACATTTACAGGTTTCTTTGTCAGTGATTTTGTAAATTGTTTTAGGATTTTCGATCATTTTGCTCTGTTTGTCGGGCTTTAATGTGTAGTCTGGCCATGAGTGAATGAACTCTGTTTTAGAATTGCTCTCATGTTGATGCCTACTTTTAATAGAAGTGTGCTCTGAACTAAATTTATGCGTTATGTGTGGGAATGCATAACTATTGTAGAATCTCTGGATAGGTATTATTTCTCCTTTAAGGTTTGATATCGTAATTAGTACCGATGAAGGTGGAATTAGTTTTGTTGAGTCAATTATGGCGGCTGAGAATTATGTAATGCGGGTGAGAAAGTTGTATTACTTTTGCATTACTCTCACATGGTGTTGGATTAAAAGATGGTATCTCAGCCAACCTTTCAATATAATGGGGGCACAAACTGGGTGCTTGTATAAGTGTGACCTGCTGGCGTTTCCAAAATCGGATCAATCTTTTTAATCTAGTGGCAGATGAGAGATGCGCAAGTAATGTACAAACTCTCATATGCCTTAGAGAAATTCTGTTTGGTTGTTAGTCACATTATGCTTTGTTATTACCTGCAACTTTTGTTTGTAATGTGGGGTGCATTCCTTATGGGCCTTTGTAGGAGAGGCTGTGAGAATGATAAAACACCTTTCCCCTATCATAATTGCCATGGAAAAGTGCTGTTCTTTATTTATTCTTCTCTCATAATAAAATTTGCTTTAGTTTTAGTTTTCTCTCTCTCTCTCTCTCTCTCTCTCTCTCTCTCTCTCTCAGAGGTTTCAAATCAAACAAGAAGATAATACTCGAGGAACAACATAAGCCCCAGTCATTTTCCCCTTTAATGAGTCAATCCCCTCTCTTATCATAGGTTTAGCCTAAGACCCAATTTGATCTTCCTGATTTCTAGGAGATTGAACCTGGATCCACTTTGAATCTATATTTGAGTCTTGATCCGGCAAGATTACAGGGCAGGGCGCTGTAGGTGCCCTAATTAGCCTGTTCAATCCCATACCTAGATGCAATTGGGAAGAAAGGAGTGTTGCATATTTTGTTGGTCCTTTTATCATTAGGTTTTTCTTGTGCACTGATTGACTTCTATATAATGTATTGCATGATCGGGTTCCTGGGGAATTTAAAATCTTATTCAACCATTTAACCGGAACACCCAAGTTCATTATTATGCTTCTTAGTCCTATAACTTGTGCCTCTTAAGTCCCAATTCCGTCTGAGTTGTCCATTCTGTTTCTTGATTCCCTAACATTTACCTTTTGATGTGTGGTTTCTTGATTAGCTGTTACATTTCTTTCCATTCATTCAATTGTTTAGACATTGTGGTGTTGATTCTAGACTTATACAA